GGGAGAGTGGGGGGAGAGTGGGGGGAGAGTGGGGGGAGAGGCAGGAGACTATGAAGGAGTTGAGCGTCTGCCCCACCGCCACCTCCACCGCCATTCTGTAATGCGCTGACTCCAGTGACTGGGGGAAGCAGGAGTGGGGGGGGCGAGGGGAGAGTGGGGGGCGAGTGGGGGGAGAGTGGGGGGAGAGTGGGGGGAGAGTGGGGGGAGAGTGGGGGGAGAGTGGGGGGAGAGTGGGGGGAGAGTGGGGGGAGAGTGGGGGGAGAGGCAGGAGACTATGAAGGAGTTGAGCGTCTGCCCCACCGCCACCTCCACCGCCATACTGTAATGCGCTGACTCCAATGACTGGAGGGGGGAAGAGGGTGTGAAGGGGGGAGTGGGGGGAGAGTGCGGGGAAAGAGAAAGGGAAGAGAGGGAGGAGAGGGGGAAGAGAAGGCGGGAGGGAGTAGGGAAGTGGGGGGGGGCGAGAGGGCACAGACGGGAAATGGTTGAACGAGAGCATGATAGTCCTCAAGACAGGAGACTGTGAAGGAGTCCAATCTCCGCCCCACCGCCACCTCCACTGCCAGACTGTAATGCGCTGACTCCAATGACTGGGGGAGGACAGAGAGGAGGAGGAGTGGGGGAGACGGACACGGAAGGGGGGTGGCCGAAACTCCTGTTGAGTCGCCTCGGATGTAGACAGCAGCGGTCCACTGGCACATCTACTGCCAGGCTGAAGTCGCTGTGGTGCGCTGACTCTAATGGCTGGAGGGGAGGACTGAGAGGGAAGAACGGGGGGAGGGCAAGGGGAGGGGGAGAAAATGTTGTGACAGGAACGAAGGGGGGGGCAAAGAGAAGATGGAGGGAGAACGAGCGGACGAAGAGTGCTTCGAAGCGGCTCCAGGCAGCATGTGGGAGAGAAATGTGGATGGAGGTTTAGAGAGCGAGCATGGATGAAGGTGAGATGGAAGGGAGGGTTATGGGGAGGTGAGGGCGAGTAGGACCAGCGATGGTTGAAGCAAGGCAGAGCAGAGTATGGCAAAAATCGACGAGTTTGCATTGCATTGTGTAGCAAGGGATGGGCACATCTGAAACGTGGGCATCGGCATGGGTACACGCGTGAGCATGGCAATAGGCATGCGCATGGGCATGGAGCATGGGGCATGTGCATGGGGCAAGGGGCATGGGGAATCACCAGATGAGCTCCAATGGGGCCGATGGGCGGGCGCCTGAACCTCCCAATGTTCATCTCTATTTGCCTCAGCAGCTGCGTCACCTTTTGGCCTCCGAATGCCGTCAGCTGCCTCACAGCACCGAACAGCACCGCACAAGACGGCACAGCACAGCACGGCACAGCACAGCACGGCACAGCACGGCACAGCACAGCACGGCACAGCACAGCACAGCACAGCACAAGACAGCACAGCACACAACAAAACCCAAGAAGACAGGCAAAGAATTGCTTATCACAGGAAACAAGATGCGGCGCACAGGGGGCAAGGGCCAGAACAACAGAGTGACCGCGCATGCGAGTGCAGCGCGGACGAACAGGCGGAGAGCAGCATGACGTTGGATGCTTGGAGTGAGTGTCATGCCGTCACTGACATGGACGTGTGCAGTGCAGTGCCATGCCGCACACCACCCCATATCTCACATCATGCCATGCCGCACACCACTCCACGCAGCACCACACCATCCCCCCAGCAGTCTTACCTTGTCCCTGGCCTCATCTCTCCGCCGCCTCAGCCACGCCTGCACGTCCCTCGCCCTGGCCCGCGCGTCATCCTCCTGCAGTGGCAACAGCACGGGAGAGGGCGGGAGACAGAAGTGAGGGAGACGCGATGGGACTTTTGAGTCGACTCAAAAGTCACGCCTGCACGTCCCTCGCCCTGGCGTGCGACATCCTCCTGCAGGAGCAACAGCACGGGAGAGGGCGGGAGGGAGAGGGAAGTGAGGGAGAAGCGAGGAGTTGGGGGATACTGGAGTTAGGTTCAGAAGGCGTGGACGGGGTCCTCCTAATGGGGAGGGGAATAAGGTCAAGAAGGTCAAGTTGCTGATGGGTAGAAAGGAGAGAAGGAGGAGAGAAGGAGGAGCAGGAGGAGGATGAGGAGGAGGAGGAGATGAAGAGGCGGAGGGTTTTGGGCCCTAAAACATATGGTTCTATCCTTGTAACACTGAACTGTAACACATGTGCACCTATGAATAAGCCACGCTAGGCCCCATCCACCTCTTTTCTCCAGCACCTCTCTGCACCGCACCTGTTTTTTCAAATCCTCCTGCTCGCCCTCGGTCTCCCTCATCCCCCCCTGCGCCGCCTGCAGCTCCCGATTCACACTGCCCACAGGCAATCCAATGCAAGCACGAGATGGTTTTGAAAATTTGCGAGAAAAAAAAAATGCCCTTGATGGAAAAGGAAAATGGATGCGAGGGGCCTGCCCCCCCCACTCACACGTGCACAGCCGATAAGTTTTTTCTCTGTAGCACCAAAGAGCATGCTCAAGGCAGACAAAGTGTGGAGAACTGACCTGTCGAGCCTCTCCTTGGCCTCCTCCACTTGGCTCTGCTTTGCTGCCACCTCAGCATCCCGCTGCGACCGATCCGCCTGGGAATGTGCGGGCGGGGGCGAGGGGTGCACAGAGCTATGCACTGAGCGCACACACACAGCGCAGACGCCAGCCAGAGAATGCATCAAGGAGAATGGAGAAAAGCAGAAGAAGCAGGAATGAACGTGCGGAAACAAGAACTCAGGACGAGAAAACGCATCTTCCATCCCCCAACCCACACCCCCCTCTCACTCCCTTTCACCCACCCCTCATCTCCCCTTTCCCGCAATTCCCTCTCCAGAAGCCCTTTCCCTCTCCTCTTCACCCTTCCCCTACCTCCGCCTGTGCGCTTGTGCACCCGTGCGCCCACCTGTGAGTTCCTGCTGGCGCGGTCCTGCAGCTCCTGGATGCGAGCGGTGAGCTCCTGTGCGCGCCGCCTCTGATCCTCCACCGTGCGCTCGTGCCGCCCACACGCTGCCTCCACTGTGCCGCGCTGCCGGGACGCCTGCAGGGTGTGGGAGAGTGTGTGAGTGCCCGTGCAACATTGGGGAAGGAGATGAGGTTTTGAGGGAGGCGGAGGGTGTGCAAGGAGGTGGCAGCGCGCGAAAAGGGGAAGTGGGGAGGTTGCAGGAGAGTTGAGGTCTCAAGTTGATTCCATCATGGTTGTACTTTTGAAATTGACACAGTGGACGAGGGCGGGGTGTGGGTAATGGGGACGGGGAACAGGGGGAGGGTAGGATGAGGAAGGAAAGAGAGAAAGAGAAAGCTATCAGATATGCATTTTGCAATAAAGAAACGGCTCTGGCTCCACACACATCCAATCCAAACTCAGGTAGTGACCATCACTGTTTCTTACCAGTAACCCAAAGGCAAGCACGGACAGCATACCATCTTCCAACTCGTCTCCATCTCTCCCACCCCCTTCCCTTCCCTCCCCATTTCCCTTGCCCCTTCCCCTCCCCCTTCCCATCCCCCCTCCACTACCCTCTCCCCTCCCCCCTCCCTTCCCCTTTTCCTTCCCTCCTTTCCTCACCCCTTCCCCGCTTCCTGCCAAGCCCTTACCAACCCCTCCCATCTCGCCAGCCACCTCCGCTCCCACCCGCACCCCTCTCACTCTCTTCCTCTCGCGTGAACCTGGGCGAGCTGTTGGCGGAAGCGGTCCTGCTCAGCCTTGACGCGCTCCACCTCGTTGCTGCACCCCTTCACGCGCCCCATGTGCTGCTCCATCTGCTGCTGCACCGCCTCCACCCGACTCTGCTCATGCCCACGCATGCAAGAGCCACCAGGGAAGGGCAAGGGCGGATGCGGGAGGTGTGGGAAGAAGGGAGTGGGGAGAGGGTAGAGAATGTGGGGGAGGGGAGAGGGAGGAGAAAAGGATATGGCTTGGGGCGAGAGAATAGAGAAGCGGGGAGAAGGAAGAGGGGTATTTTGATATTTTGTTGCTGCAACCCTTGACGCGCCCCATGTGCTGCTCCATCTGCTGCTGCATCGCCTCCTTCCAACTCTGTTGCCCGTGCATGTGCCACCATGGGGGAGAGAACGTGGGAGAGGAGAGACGGAGAGAGGAGCGAGCAGAGGGAAACAAAAAAGGGATAAGGGGAGAAACTTGGTTTCTTTGTTGGAGTATTTTAAACACTTTGATATGAACCCAAGTAAATCAAACAGAATCACCTCCATCCATCCGCATAACCAGTCATACACATTCCCAAATCCATATCCACCATCTCACCCACCTCACAACCCCACAATCAATTCACCACCCCACTCGCCCATTTTCATACACATCCGCTCCTCCATTCCCACTTCTCCCCTTCTCCCCCTCTTCCATTCCACCCTTTCTCTCCCACGTCCCCACCCCGCCCACCCACCTGTGCAGTCGCCAGGCGCTCCTCCAATTCCGCCACCCTCTCCTGCGCCTCGCGCTTGGCCCTCTCCGCGTCCTCCACCTCTTGCTCCGCCTCGTGCACGTACGCCCACGCCAGCTGCTTCGTCACGCGGTCCGCCTCCTGCCCGCGGCTCTCCGCCTCCTCCATCTCGCGCACCTGCTGCTCCGCCTGCCGCGCCTTCTCCTCCAACGGCCCCAGCGCCACCTCTGCCTCTCCCAGCTGCCGCCGGCACACCACCAGCCGCCCTGAGATGCTGCCCAGACGCGCCGAGACCTTTTCCAGTAGCGTGGCCTTGATGAAGAACTGCATGCGCGGGGGGGTGTATGTGGGGGGGGGGGAATGGGGGACTTTTGAGTCGACTCAAAAGTCGCCAAGACCTTTTCCAGTAGTGTGGCCTTGATGAAGAACTGCATGTGTGGGGGGGGGGAGAGTGTGCCGGGATGGGGGAGTGGGAGAATTTGGAATAGAGAGAGAGGAGCAAGTGTGGCGCGACGGCAGAGTAGGTGAAGTATGGAAGGCCGTGGGTTGTTGTGGGGACTACAAGAGCTTAAGGTGGACATGACAGGTCGCGCGGGGGTAAAAAGCGCGGGGAAAGACGGTTGTCGGGAAGGATAGGGAAACGGAAGGGATAGCAAGGGAAGGGGCAGGGAAACTGGGAGCGGTTATACGAGGAGGGGCAAGGTGAGAAGTTGAGGAGGGTGGGTGGGTAGGTGATTGCGGGTAGCACCTTGTACTTGTCTTTGGGCGTGCCGGAATGCAGGAACTCGCGACTCTTGTCCTGGGACATGACTATGCACGGATTGTCCACGTCCAACTGAAAGCAATGCGTTTATGCACACGCACATGGACATGCACGCACACACAAGCCCCCAACAACCCCTCCTCCCCTTTCCTTCCTCCATCGCCGCACCCAATTTCCACCACACACACACACACACACCCACACACACACACACACACACACACACACACACACACACACAGACACACACACACATACCCCGACGAAAAACGAAACCTCCATCCGACCTTCCCATCCCACAGTAAGATATGTACGCACACAAGCAAGAAACAAAAGGAGAAAAAGGCCAAGGTCAACTCTCATACGAGCGTCAATGCAGTTCGGTGCATGGCAGAATGAGAGAGCAGCACAGAGCTGTGTCTGCGTGCCAAGTCCTGATTGCACCATCCCCATGACTAGAGTTTGTGTGGGAGTGACTGAGATGTGTCCCCAGTGCGGTGCAGTGCTGTGCACTGCATTGTCTTGATGTGTGATGGGCAAGCAGGGGGGTGTTATGGGGGCTACTCACGTTGAAGTGAGCTGTGAGCTCGTCCAGGTCCTCCCTCTTGCTGCGCACCTTCCTGCCTGCTCAGCGGGCCATGTCATATGAGGATGCATCACACATGGGGCATGATGCATGAAGGGTGGCACATGGCACATGACACATGATGCATGGCACATGATGCATGATGCATGATGCATGGCACATGACGCATGATGCATGATTCGAAACACGAAACATGATCCATCGCCACAATCATGCATCTTCCGACCCCCCTGCCTCGACCCCTGTTGCACCCTCACAAGTACCACACCGTTCCCGCTCCCCGCACTTCACGCTTCCCCCCCTTTTCCGAAAATCATTTCCCCTTGCCAGCGGCGGCACGCAACACGGAAGTCTTTGAGGGCGAGAGTGGAGGAGCCGTGGTCAGTGATGTGCCACTCCACCATCAGGCGCGGCCCAAACTCGAGTTTCGAGTCTACTACAAATCAAAACAAAAATCGAATAAAGAAATTCCCTCGCCAGCGGCACGCACCGCGAAAGTCTTTGAGGGCGAGCGTGGAGGAGCCGTTGTCCGTGATGCGGCGCTCCACCGTCAGGCGCGGCCCAAACTCGTCGGGGCGAAACGCCTCCTCGCCCTCGTTGTTCAGCTCCACGCTCACCACCGCCGCGCTGCAGGAGAGAGGGGCATGTGGGAGGGAGGGGGGAATGGCGGATGCGCGGAGGGGGGGATGGCGGACGGGTTCGCGGAAGGGGAGGGAAAGAGGCGGGGAGGGGGGAGAGTGAAGCAGGAGGGGTGAGTGGGAGAAAGTTAAGGGATGACGGCGGGAAGCAGCAGCAGCAAGTATGAGTTGGGACAAGGGGGAAGGTGTGTGCAATGAGACAGACTACTTCGCTCTTGGCTTTGTCAGGCGTTTAGAAGCCACACAGACGGTAGTAGGAGACATGAGTGATGCAGTAGGACGTCGAGTGACCTCCACTCACGGGGTACAGGAGAGAGAAAAGCAAATTACAACTGAGATCAACGAGAGGAGCATCTTCCTAAGGCACGTCGGAAGAACAGTCTGGTCGTGGTGGTGGTGGGGTGGTGATGGGAGATGGTGGGAGTGAGAACGGTACCTGCATCCGGTGCGAATGAAGTCCTTGATGGCGGACGCGCGGTTCGTCGTACGCGCTCGCGTGCCGAACGCCACGCACAGCGCCGTCAGCACCGCGCTCTTGCCGCCTGATGGCGCGGAGAAAGACAAGGACAAGGACACGAGATACAGATGCAGGGGTGAATATGCACTCAGGATGCGCAGGATAGAGAACGGCACGACCTCTTGCACTTTTGAAATTTCTTAAAGTGGCCGCAAGTAACCTCGCTATATGAATATCACTGGTTTCGCAAACTTGACCGGTCTTTCTAATGCGCGGCTCCGGATTTCTACGCACTTCCGTTAGAACCAGTAATGAAGTTGACGTGGCGGATAAAGTCCACGTGGAGTGCCTCGTGGCACATAAAATTGCGCAAGTCCATGCAGCGGATCCAACCCGCGCCTCCCTCACTCCCACTACCACTCGCTGTGCCATTCGCAAGGCCATTCGCGCTGCTACCCGCGGCTGCCTGGCTCATCGTGCTCTAAGATTGTAACTAATAAGTCGACATGGGACGTGATGCTGTAATAGGAATGCAGGGTTCGTTGTTCGAGCACCAAAATGGACCCGAAGCGGAAGGTCTCGAGGTGTTCAATGGATTTGAATTATCAAACATCGAGCCTGGAAGCCGTTCGCTAAAGGGTGACCTGTGACATCGAGCCTGGCCGTCATCTATGTTCGTTGGCTTATGTAAATATCGAAGAGATGTTTACAATGGCTTGTTTCGTGGTACTGGAAAAGCTTTAAAAGGGGATTTTTGCTCCACCAACGCAGAAATCAAGGGTCGTTCCCCACAAATGACGTGGTGGGCAAGGTTCGTCTCAGCGATATCCGTCGCACGGCTGACCAAACCTGCGAAACATATTGGGAAAATATGCGAATGGTAACATACATGGGGCTTTATAACACGTACGGTAACCATAACAATGAATTTTCACGCGTTTGGTAACTCGATTCACGCGTTTGGTAACTATACACTGGCAAGCCATCACGCGAATGGTAACTAGAAGAAACCCTCGTCCAACTTGACCCTGATTCTGGTTTTTCCCGCTCGCGCCAGACTGAATTGACGAGTCCTGAAGCACGAAATTCTGACACACTTTCCGAAATTCTGACACACTTTCCGAAATTCTGACACACTTTCCGAAATTCGGACTATTTCGTAAACAGTTGCTGTTTTGAAAACCGTTTCTCATATAACGCTGATATTCTGGCGCTCGCGGAAAACTGATTTTACTTAATTCTATCGAACAACCGGGGCAAAAAATATATACCCCTTTCGGATGGCAAATGATTTTGAGAGCATCAACCCTAAACTCCTTGCGACAGGGCGTTCAATGCTATTTCTACAATAAAGGCATGCCATTCGGAAGGGTGTATTATTTTCTCACCTCCAAAATTATCCCACGCTGCACTAATCACACATTGATTTTTTATAAAAGTATTGTCGCTTTTCCGGGAAAATTTCATCATTTTGCAATTATGCAATCATGCTTGCAAGAATATTATTGTACTTGTTAATACTATATTTCAGAGCTTAAAATAGATATGAAACGGCTCTGAAACTATTTGGTCCGTGGTAATTGAACAAACGCGATCCTTCAAAGTCACGGCGGGAATCGTTCAAGATCGATTAAACGGTGCGTGAAATATTTCAATTTAACAAATTCCTCTTAGTCAGGATCATTTCGGCAGGAGTTTCATCTAGTTACCATTCGCGTGATCATTCGCCAGTGCTAAGTTACCAATTGCGTGAAACGAGTTACCAAACGCGTGAAAATGTACTGTAATAGTTACTGTACGCGTTAAAGAGCCCCATGTATGTTACCATTGACATACTTTCCCAAACATATTTCACCCATCAGACTAGGCATCGATTCGAGTCTTCACATCCGAGCCTGCTCGTGCCGAAGCAAATTACGTCTGGCTAGTTTTCCACACCCGTCATGCTGTTGATGTTGCCCTCTATACTCACATTTGCCACCACCTGCAACCACTTCGTCTTGCCCAGGCCAATGCCCTTCCCTCCGAACCACCCCATCCCTCCCATACCAACCCTGCTTCAACACTACTGAAGAATCTCACAAGCTCGTTCAATTCAAACCCTCCCACCAATTTTGCTGCCTCACTTCTGGCTGAGCTTCTGCTGTGATTGTCACTACTCCAGCAAATCCACGGTGGAAGTGGTGACAGATTCGCCCTTGAGAAATTTTCTGCTCAGCAACATTATTTTTTCTGTACGTGTCATCTGTTTGCTTGGTAGTCACCGCCTACATGTTCGTCTCTGGGCGTTTGGACATGACATTGAAAGCTGTGACTGAGCGCGATGTATGGCCTCATTTTCGCATGATCGTTTTTCCTGCATCCTCAGTCCCTTGCATCTTACCCTCTCTCATTTCAACGAGATCTAGCTAGCTTCTCCTTGGTAGATGTCGCATTCGTTGGGCTCGTTCAGCTTGTCGCTAGATTTGGGGCTCCCTTGGCACATTTGGGGCTCTAGATTCAGGTGCTCGTTGAACCCAGCCCTGATAGATGATATTAAATTCCACGAGATCTGATGGTTGGCCACTCATACCTGTCATCCGGGTTGTGATTCGAAACAAGAAGTGTATTGCTGCCTGCTTGGCGCAATTTCTCAATGACATTTCCAGATCAATTATCGACATGAGCCATTGCCGTTGGCCATGTGTCGAAATGATGTCAATTTATTTGTGTTCACAAGATCTACGATACTAGCGTGTTTTTTAATTTGTTTTGGTTGTCAATGCCTTGAATCCGCAACCCTTTTTGTTCGAAACTGCAGGCTCTTCTCACAGTCACATTGAGCGCAGTTGACAGCATCAGCCATGGATGAAACCTACGATGTCATCGTGCTGGGAACCGGCTTGAAGGAATGCATTCTTAGTGGTCTTCTTTCTGTCAACAAGTATAAGGTAATCATATCTTTCACATCTAGCTAAGATGTTGAAATTCATAATGTCGTAGTTTTTACTTATGAAGTGTTTGTCCTGTTCTTGGCAGGTTCTCCATATGGATCGCAATGACTACTATGGTGGCGAGTGCGCATCGTTGAACCTCAAACAGGTTCGTAGGCCGTGCTGAGCATGCGCTCGATATATTGACCCTTCGTGTCCTTTTGGTTGCTTTCTTTCGTTTGGGTGGCCTTTTCTTTCCTGACGTCTCCTTTTTCAAATCGCACTTGATCTGCCGCACCAGCTGTTTGAAAAGTTCAGGCCAGGGGAGACTCCACCTACCTCGCTTGGTCCGAGCCGAGACTACAATGTCGACATGACACCCAAGGTACTTCTACACTTTGGTCATTCTATCATTATTCATCTTCTTCGTCTTGCGTCGTTCACTCACTCTGTCGCATAGCCATTATTCCTCAACCCGTCTCCCTCTTCCTTTTTGTCCTCTTCCGTAAATTCCTTGCGTTCTCTCAGTTCATGATGGCGAACGGTCTGCTGGTTCGTGTGCTCATCCGCACCGACGTTACCAAGTATCTGCAGTTTAAGGCTGTCGATGGCAGCTATGTCTTCAAGCAAGGCAGAGTAAGGCAATATTCACATTCGCTGCTTGCTTGCTGTCTCGTGTGTGGTAGAATCTTCTTCTCATTTCTTATCCTCCTGTCTCCAGGTGTACAAGGTGCCTGCTACGGACGTGGAGGCTGTTTCCTCGCCGCTGCTGGGATTCTTCGAGAAGGGCCGCGCCCGCAAGTTCTTCATCTTCGTGCAGGAGTATGACCCAGCCAAGCCCAACACGCACCAGGGCATGGACCTCACCACCGCCACCTCCAAGACCGTCCTAGAGTACGTGATTCTTTACTTTTAACCTTCCATCTCCATCACCTTCCTCCTTTTCTTAGCCTTCGATCTGTCTGTAAAGTCGTTGCTGCGCTTTGTTTTGAACCGTTTTGTTGGGCATTGTTGTGTGCAAATTGCAGGAAGTTCGGGCTGGACCAGAACAGCATCGATTTCATTGGCCATGCGCTGGCGCTCTACGATGACGAGTCCTTCATGTCGAAACCGGGCACGGAACTCATTGCGCGGTGCAAGGTATCACTTTTGACTGAGACCGTTGGCTTCTTCACTTTGCTCGTCTATCCCCCTCCCACCCCCTTGTTTCTGCTCTCTTTTTCTTGCTTACCCATTTCCTCCCCGATTATCCCTGTGCTGCCTCCATGGCTAACCTTTCCCTCCCCCCCCCTCCCCCTCCTTGCGCACATCCCCACCTGCATCACAGCTCTATGCCGAGTCTCTTGCCCGGTTTGGCGGTACCTCCCCGTACATCTACCCTCTCTATGGGCTCGGCGAGCTGCCTCAGGTCTGTACTCGCGTATCTTGCTGTTGGGATGCGTATTGCCTGTCATTCTGATCACCTGCAAATTCCAACTTTTGTTGCTATGATTCAGGCGTTTGCTCGGCTCTCTGCTGTCTACGGGGGGACGTACATGCTTGCCAAGCCAGGCTGCAAGGTATCATACTGTGTCTCCTTCGTGTCTCCTAATCGTCTCTGTAGCTTTCCATTCCTGCCATCTGCTTCCCGTTTTTTGGCAATCCTCTTGAACTACACGTTGTACGTTTTTTGCTGCTTGGGCCATTACTGTGGGCAGGTGGAGTACGACGAGAGTGGCAAGGTGTGCGGTGTGACATCGGACGGCGAGACCGCAAAGACAGCTAAAGTTGTCTGCGACCCGTCTTACCTTCCCGAGAAGGTATGTTCTTTCCCCTTAATTCGGTCCAACCAGTGTCCTTTCTAGCAGGCTGGATATTGGAAAATATAAACATCACAACAATCAATCGCATACATATACAACTGTGCTGTTGCTGGATCCCTTCTGCTGCCTGTGTACTAACCGTCCTGCAGGTGAAGGTTGTGGGCAAGGTGGTCCGTGCCATCGCCATCATGAGCCACCCGATTCCCAACACCTACGACTCACACTCGGTGCAGATCATCATTCCTCAGAAGCAGATCAACCGCAAGGCTGACATGTAAGAAAGGACCCATATTTTCCTCCTCGCCCTAAGCTTCTTTCGCCACACCTTCTCTCTATGCTTTCCCGCTCCCTCCCTTACACTGTCTAATAATCCCTGCCCCTTCTTCTGTTGTGGTCTGCCAAAATGTATCCCTTCCTTTCTTTTGCAGGTATGTCTTCTGCTGTTCCTACTCCCACTGCGTGGCAGCCAAGGGCAAATTCATTGCCTTTGTCTCCACCTCTGCTGAGACCGTAAGACCTGCTCGACTAGCCTATAGTATTTGGGGAACTATAGCAGCACAAGGTAGTAGTACATTTGTGATCCGGTCAAATGCTCACTAGTTGTGTCGTCGTCTTGTTTCCTGATGCTTTTCAGGACGACCCCAAGACAGAGCTGAAGCCTGGAGTGGACCTCTTGGGCGCTGTGGATGAGATCTTTTATGACAGCTATGATGTTTATGAACCCACCAACGACTGCACTGCTGACAACTGCTTCGTCTCCAAGGTATGCTGCTGCTCGTGCTACTTTCCCAGCTCTGATTCCCACCCGCTTCATTGATTCGAGATTAGACAAAATTTGTAGCTGAGCTGGTCACAACTGAGGTCGTCTTATGTCCACTCCGTGGCTCCTTGTTGCAGAGCTATGATCCCACGACCCACTTTGAGACAACAGTCAAGGATGTGCTGGACATGTACGCCAAGATCACTGGAAAGGTCAGTCCAAACCTGCTACCAACCTGAAATACTTCCGACCTCCTTGCCCTGCTTTTACGTGTAGTTCAAATCTTAACCCAACATATTTCACAGCCCAACCTTGTATAGGTGACGGTAGGGTTCTGTTTCTAACTTCATCCCTTGCATTGCACGCCCCGCGCCCCCATCCCATCGCTGTTTTCAGGAACTTGATCTGAGCCACGAGGACCTGAATGCTGCATCGGCCACAGACGAGTAGATTATGTTGGCTCCCTTAGTGGCTCCAGCTTTTGTTCCTATCTGTCGTTGCTGCTGTCGAGAGAGACTACCTTTTTCACTTCGAAGTGAAGAATACGTGTTATGGTCTCCATCGAGACTTAATCATTGTGGTTGTTAGTGCCAAAACTTGTAGACAGCTTACCATTGCTAGTAAACATCATGACTTGCTGAATTCAGCTGCTTTTGGATCAACCTACGGTATTGCTCTCTATGGTTGTGTGGATTGTCTAATCCTTTCTACAGTAGAAAGGAATTCTGAAAAAAAACACACATCTATTTGGGGTTCACATCGTTTTGATCACCTTAGTCACACACAGAATCTGAGAAGCAAAAACTCTAAAGGGCACCTCTGCTTCATTAGCAGCACATTTGTAGAGTACAGTTACTAAAATAGTGACCATACACACCCAGTAGGACAACAGTCCTAGTACCGTACCTTACACTCTGGCTTCACAACGGCACTTCTTGTACTAAACGACTTGCCTGCAACACACAAGCAGCGCACAGTCCCCTCCTGTCACCTCCCCACACTCTACATCCTGCCCTTCCTGGTCTTGGAAGATCTCTTCTTGCAGTCAGGCAGGGGTTTCCCACACAGCTTGGGGTTGCCGGGGCGGAAGCAGGAGGTTGGCAGGTCGGATAGAGTGGGGGGGACGGAGCCAGAGAGGGCGTTGCCAGCAAGTTGCACTTGCAGGGAGGGGGCAGCAGCACGCAGCAGAGCAGGGATGGTGCCTGACAGCCCGCTCCACGACACATCCAGCTCCTGCAGGGCCGTCAGCGATGCCAGCCCTGCAGGGATGCTGCCGCTCATGCGGTTGCGCGCCGCTAGCAAGGAGTGCAGAGCGGTGAAGCGCGAGAGGGACGAGGGGAGCGAGCCGGAGAGCTGGTTGGTGGAGACGTTGAGGGAGAGGAGGGAGGAGGCGCAGGAGGAGGAGGAGGAGGGGAGGAGGGAGGAGAGGGGGCCGGAGAAAGCGTTGGAGGAGAGGAGGAGAGAGGCGAGGCGCTGGTTGCCCTGGCAGAAGGCAGGCAGGGAGCCTTTGAACTTGTTGCGTGAGAGGTCCAGATGGGTGAGGGGGGGGAGAGCAGCGAGCGAGCGGGGCAGCGAGCCTGAGAGCAGGTTGTCGGAGAGGTCCAAGTGGGATAGGGCTGTGAGGCCGGTGACAAGAGCATTGGAGATGCTTCCTGTGAGTTTGTTGGAAGAGAGGTCCAAGTAGGAGAGGGGTACGAGGGAGGAGCTCTGGCTGCTCCCCTGGGGAGGGTCTGGGATGGGGCCAGAGAGCTGGTTGTGGGAGAGGTCGAGCAGCGAGAGGCACGAGGAGAAGACGAAATCGGAGATGCTTCCAGTGAGCTTATTGTGGCCCAGCCGAACCTCCACCCCGCACGCACGCTCCACTTTTCCTGGGCCTGTCGCTCGCTCCAAAAACGGGTAGGTCTGTTGCGCAAGAGTGCCATTGAACGAATTGTAAGAGAGGTCCAGATAGGTCAGGCTCATGACCCCATAAATATAACCCAAAGCCGGCAGATTTCCAGCCATAGCATTGTGAGACGCGTCCAGACTGTTCAACCCCCTACCCTCCAGACCATGCCACCGGGCAATCCCACCAAGCTGGTTCCAGCTCACGTTCAGATGCTCCATTGCAGGCGGCGCCGGTGGGACTTTCCCTGAGAGCCGGTTGTGGGACAAGTCACATGTTATCAGCGAGCCATTCAGTTCGGGAATGGTGCCGGACAGCTGGTTGTGCGACAGGTCGAGCGTCTTCATGGAGTATAAATTGACGATAGCAGGAATTGAACCCGTGAGCAGGTTGTGGGAGAGGTCCAACTCTACTAGAAATTTCTTTTGCAGGAGAGTGGCAGGGATGGGTCCCGACAGCTGGTTGTGCGATAGGCGCAGCAACGTCAACCAGAGGCTGTCAGAGAGCCGGAACAAGCTTTGCAGCGGGGCGCTGATGCGGTTGTGTGAGAGGTCCATGTAGTACGCGTTCCAGGAGGCCTTGCCGGGGCTGCACGTGAGGCGGTTGTGAGAGACGTTGAGTGTGTGGAAGTATTGCGGGAGAGGGGAGAGCGTGGCTGCGTCGCCCGAGAGCTCGTTGCTGCTGACGTCCAGACTCGTCAGCAGCGGGAACACCCCGCGGAGACCCCACAAGATAGCAGAGTCGGCGGTACTGCCATCGCTGGCAGCAGCAGCAGCAGCAGCAGCAGCGAGTGCAGAGACGTCCCCCTGGAGGGCGTTCCCCTGCAGGTGCAGGTCTGTGAGCATCCAGAGCGCGCCGAGCTCCCTTGGCAAGCTGCCGTCCAGCCGGTTGTGGTCCAGCGCCAGGCGCGTCAGCCCCGTGAGAAGACTCACCTGCGCTGGAATGGACCCCGAGAGAGCGTTCCCCCCCACGTCTAGAATCTCCAAGCTCAGCGACAGCGACGGTGCTGCTTCTGCTGCAGTGGTGGATGGGAGGACTTCTCCCGTGAGGTTGTTCCCGCGGAGGGTGAGCTCTCGCAGCGAGGGGAGAGCGAAGAGGGCGGGGGGGATGGAGCCGGAGAGGTGGCGGTTGGAGGAGAGGTCGAGAGCGACGAGGAGAGAGAGGCGCGAGAGGGACGGCGGCAGGCCGCCGGAGAGAGCGTGCCCGGAGATGCGTAGAGAGGTGAGGTGCGTCAGCTGCCCCACCGCCTCCGACAGACTCCCACTCGCGCTCGCACTCGAGTTGTCGCCAGGAAAGCCCCGCAGGAAGAACCGCACACGGGGGGGCGGAACGCCGTGCCCGCATCTCTTGTCTCCGTACTGGTCGTATTCGCATTCGGGCAATTCTGGAACGAAGTTGGGGTGCAGGAAGGCGAAAGTATTGCCCAGCAGGTGCAATGTGTCCACGTGTCCGTCTGCTGTGCATCCCACGCCGTACCACGCACACGCACTGCTGCTGCTCGCGTCCCAGCTGCGCAGTATCTCCGCCCACGAGCCGTTTCCGCCGTTCACTAACCCCGCTATCCCCGCTGCTCCCCCCGCTGCTCCCCCCGCTGCTCCTCCCGCTGCTCCCCCCACTGCTCCCACCGCTGCTTCCCCCAGGAGCGCATCGCGCACCGCCAGCAGCGCCTCAGTCTCCGCAGCGGACGCCTGCACGCCAGGCGCCGGCGCGGGGAGGTACCCCGCGCCCACGGCGCCCGCCATGCGCGCGCTGTTGTTGCTCACGCGCAGCGCATCCCAGTCGTGACTCCAAACCCGAGACCGCGAATCCCAGCGCGCGTCGAACAGCGGACCGCGCAGGTCGTTAAACCGCAGGTCCACGCGCGAGAACTTGTCGGTGAAAAACGCCTCGAGAATGCTGCCGGAGAAGTTAGCAGCTCGGAGTAGGCTTCCGCCTGGCGGAGGAGGGCGATGAGCGCGAGGAGGGCGACGAGGGCAAGGCGCGAGGGGACGGGGAGGGACGACTGGAAGGCGCTAGGAGGGAATGACGTCATGTAGGGATGTGAGATTGGACTGATCTTCGGATAAGAATGGCAGCTTACTGCACTGACTCGGTGTAAATATTGAAAAAGCGGAAATATAAAAGTTAAGTGATTAGTCCCTATGTTCGCTGACAATATCGAGCACAATTGGCGCTTGGAGTACCACTTGTTCTAATGCCGGGCGTTGTTGCACTGATTTTATGGGTGAGAGTTGAAGGAGGTCCAAGTAAATAGTAGTTGTAGTAGTACCTGTGACGTTGAGTAGCGGCACGATCGGGGACTCCCCACGATCGGAACGTTGACTTTGCTGACGGGACGCCACGAGGGCCTAAGGCGGAGGAGGGTTGAGCGGAAGAAGATTGGCGGAAGGGGTGCGCGAAGGGTACGAGGCGCGTTCTGACCCGACGCCTGCTGCGGTAACAAACAGCCATAGTAACAGCGCGTGCTGTTACGGCGCGATCGTAACCGCTGACTACTACCACCGGAAGTGGCGTGAAGAGGGATATTGGTGCAGCAGTGCCAACGAGTAGGGCTACTGCCAGCGAAGCCAAGTGCCTGGAATAGTTTCTGTCGAGTCCAGCTAGGCGCAGCCGTAAAACCTGCTTGTTGGCTGGGATTTCTGCGCGACTGAAGGCACCTACAAAGCGAGCCAAGAGGCTAGGGAAGGGAAAGGTGCGTGCGAGAGCAGCGGCCATGGTGGAAGACACGGCACGACTTGGAGAGAAAGTGGTGGAACGGGGAAGAAGAAGCTGGGAATGGAATGCATGTGCAGGTGGTGGGAGGAAACAGGGACAGGCAGAAAGGGAGGGAGGAAGGGAGTGGTGGTGGTTGGGAGGAATCGGCAGTTGGGTGTTGCTTGATTGGGTTCAAGCCGAGCCGCATGTCGCGCTGCAGGTGCCTTGCCCAGGTTCAGTTGGGATACTGTAGCGTATGGTGTACTGTATGTCCCGTAGGATGCGGCGGCCTCTCCGAGTCGCATGCCATATTGAGATCTATATTTTCAGGACAGTTTATTTGCATGGGCCCATGTATAATAATCACTACACACTACAGATACCCCGTTTCAAGGTACTCAGTGAAACCTGGACATCCTGCATAGTGAATAGCTAGTTAAAGTAAGAGTAACGATGCAGCTCCAAACGAGTCACGGCGGGACCGGAGGCACCAGCAGAAACCGCGCTGCTGGTGCTTGCAGGCCTGAGACGTATGATCATAGCTTCAGGATGTTGAGTGGCCCTGCAAACCAGTCATTGCCACCACTCATTGTGAGAATGGGTAGCCCTGCATGTTGGATACGCTCAATATCTCTATGAGCCTGCCCAGGTGACCTTTTTGCTGCACTACCGTACAAGCACAGCTACCACACTTCCTGCATGCTCCACCAAAAAGGCAAGAAGAAACCACAGCAGCATCACTCACAGATGAGGAATGAGTTGGTGCCTTTCTGAGCTCCTCCATTCTCTTAAAGGGATTCAGAAGCAGGTACTAACCTGTGTATTAGAGTAAAACCGGTAACTGTGGTCTGAAAAAAGCTGAGAAACAACAGAAGAAGCAGCGGTCAGTCCTCTCGCCTCCCCACTCCCCACACCCGGCCCTTCCTGGGCTTGGAGGACCTCTTCTTGCAGTCAGGCAGGGGCTTCCCACAGAGCTTGGGGTTGCCGGGGCGGAAGCAGGAGGTGGGCAGGTCGGAGAGAGAGGGGGGGACGGAGCCAGAGAGGGCGTTGCCAGCGAGGTGCACTTGCAGGGAGGGGGCAGCAGCACGCAGCAGCGTAGGGATGGTGCCTGACAGCCCGCTCCACGACACGTCCAGCTCCTGCAGGGCCGTCAGCGATGCCAGCCCTGCAGGGATGCTGCCGCTCATGTGGTTGCGCGCCGCTAGCAAGGAGTGCAGAGCGGTGAAGCGCGAGAGGGACGAGGGGAGCGAGCTGGAGAGCTGGTTGTCTGAGAGATCCAAGAGGGATAGGACTGTGAGGCCGGTGACAAGAGCATTGGAGATGCTTCCTGTGAGCTTGTTGGAAGAGAGGTCCAAGTGGGAGAGGGGGACGAGGGAGGAGCTCTGGTTGCTCCCCTGGGGAGGGTCTGGGATGGGGCCAGAGAGCTGGTTGTGGGAGAGGTCGAGCAGCGATAGGCACGAGGAGAAGACGAAATCGGAGATGCTTCCGGTGAGCCTATTGTGGCCCAGCCGAACCTCCACCCCGCACGCACGCTCCACACTTCCTGGAGAGCCTGTCGCTTGCTCCAAAAACGGGTAGGTCCTTTGCGCAAGAGTGCCAGTAAACGCATTGTAGGAGAGGTCCAGATAGGTCAGGCTCATGAGCCCATCACTGTAACCCAAAGCCGGCAAATTTCCAGCCATAGCATTGTGAGACGCGTCCAGACTCTTCAACTCCCTGCCCTCTTGATATTGCCACCGGGCAAACCCGTCAAGCTGGTTCCAGCTCACGTTCAGATACATCATTGCAGGCGGCGCTGGTGGGACTATCCCGGAGAGCCGGTTGTGGGACAAGTCACATGTTATCAGGGAGTCATCCAGGTCGGGAATGGTGCCGGACAGCTGGTTGTACGACAGGTCGAGGGTCTCCAAGGAGTATACATTGAAAGTGGCAGGAATTGAACCCGTGAGCTGGTTGTGCGACAGACGCAGCACCGTTGACTGGATGCCGTCACTGGAGAATAAGCTTTGCAGCGGGGAACTTATGCAGTTGTGTGAGAGGTCCATGTAGTATGCGTTCCAGGAGGCGTTGCTGCCGGGGCCCCACGTGAGGCGGTTGTGCGAGACGTTGAGTTTTTGTAAGTATTGCGGGAGAGGGGAGAGCTTGGCTGTGTCGCCCGAGAGCTTGTTGCTGCTGATGTCCAGACTGCTCAGCAGCGGAAACACCCCGCGGAGACCCCACAAGACAGGCGCAGTGGAGGCAGCAGAGGCGACAGTATTGCCAGCGTCAGCAGCAGCAGTTGGGGTGGGGAGGGCAGCAGCGAGCGCAGCGATATCCCCCTGGAGGGAATTCACACGGGTCAGAAGCGGGAACACCCCGCGCAGACCCCACAGGACAGCAGAGTCGGCGGTACTGCCATCGCTGGCAGCAGCAGCAGCAGCAGCAGGAGGGGGGGGGAAGGCGGCAGCGAGTGCAGAGACATCACCCCGGAGGGCGTTCCCCTGCAGGTGCAGGTCTGTGAGCATCCAGAGCGCGCCGAGCTCCCTTGGCAAGCTGCCGTCCAGCCGGTTGTGGTCCAGCGCCAGGCGCGTCAGCCCCGTGAGCGCACTCACCTGGGCTGGAATGGACCCCGACAGAGCGTTTCCCCCCACGTCTAGACTCTCCAAGCTCGGCGACAACGCTGCTGCTGCTACAGTGGTGGATGGGAGGACTTCTCCCGTGAGGTTGTTCCCGCGGAGGGAGAGAACTCGCAGCGAGGGGAGGGCGAAGAGGGCGGGAGGGATGGAGCCGGAGAGGTGGCGGTTGGAGGAGAGGTCGAGAGCGACGAGGAGAGAGAGGCGCGAGAGGGGCGGGGGTAGGGCGCAGGAGAGTGCGTGCCCGGAGATGCGTAGAGAGGTGAGGTGCGTCAGCTGCCCCACCGCCTCCGACAGACTCCCCCTCGCACTCGCACTTGCACTGCTGCTGCCACTCCCGCCAGGCAGGCCCTGCAGGAAGAAGCGCACGCTGTCCGGAGGCGGCGGAACGACAGGCGCGCATGACTTGACTCCGGACTCCTCGTCGTACTCGCATTCGGGCGATTCCGGGACGAAGTTGGGGTGCAGGGTGACGTTGGAAGCGCCTATCAGGTGCAGCGTGTCCACGTGTCCGTCTGCTGTGCATCCCACGCCGTACCACGCACACGCGCTGCTGCTGCTCGCGTCCCAGCTGCGCAGTATCTCCGCCCACGAGCTTCCTCTGCCATTCACCAACTCAATTCCCCCCGCTGCTCCCCCCACTGCTCCCCCCGCTGCTCCCCCCGCTGCTTCCCCCAGGAGCGCATCGCGCACCGCCAGCAGCGCAGCAGTCTCCGCAGCGGACGCCTGCACGCCAGGCGCCGGCGCGGGGAGGTACCCCGCGCCCACGGCGCCCGCCATGCGCGCGCTGTTGTTGCTCACGCGCACCACGTCCCAGTCGTAACTCCAATCCGGATCCTGCAACTCCCGGCCCGTGTCAAACAGCGGCCCCGACAGATCGTTAAACCGCAGGTCCGCGCACGAGAAGCCGCCGCTGAAAAACGCCTCGGGAATACCGCCGGAGAAGTTGTTGTGCGACAGGTCGAACTTGGACAAAGCCGGTAGCACTGTGAAAGCTTTCAAACTGCCCGAGAGGCTGTTGTGGCTCAGGTCCATGTGGATAATCCCAACTATGGAGGGCGCGCGCCCCGACTGCGCGTTCGTCGCCATGAACAGGTCCGGCGGAACGCTCCCCCGCAGCCCTGCGTGCGGCGCGCTGAGTAGCTCTAGCTTCGCGGGAAACACGCAGCCGTGCAGAGAGCCCCCCTCGTCCGCCTCACCTCCGCCGCCGCCGCTCCCGGCGCTCGCGGTGCCCAGGTCGTTGAAGCCCAGCCAGAGCAGGCGCGCCGGCAGCAGCGCGTCGCAGAACGGCCCGGTGAGCGCGTTGCTGTCGAGCCGCACATCCTCGAGCGCCTTGAGCGACTCCGAGTCGCGCAGCGCCGCGGGCACCGCGCCGGAAGGACGGTTCTTCCCCAGGTCGAGTCTCTGCAGCGCCGTCATCTCCGACAGCGCGGGCGGAATGGCGCCGGACAGGCTGTTGTTGCTCAGAATGAGCGCGGTAATGCTCCGCGAATATGCGCCCGCCTCCCCCGGGAGTTCCCCCGTGATGTTGTTGCTCTGCAGGTCCAACCAGCGCAGCGCAGGCGCGCGGAGAAGGGCGCGCGGAAGCTCCCCCGAGAGCGCGTTGCCGTACAGGAATACCTCCTCCAGCGACGGGGAGTATGCGTCGGGCCCGTCGGGAAGGGACCCAGACAGGCCGACTAGTCTTTCCGGTCTAGTGAGTGTCTCTCTGTCGTTTTGAGATTCCGGGAATGCATTGAGTGTGCTCAGGTCCACGTGGCGGAGCGCGGGCAGGCGGAAGAAGCCTGGCGGAATGGGCCCGGAGAAGTTGTTATCGGGCATGACGATTTCAGTCAGCTTCTGGAGGCGCGTGACGGAGTCCGGCAAGTCGCCGGCGAGGCAAGAGTGGCGGAAAACCAACGCGGAGAGCTCCGCGAGGTCGCCAATGGTGGGCGACAGCGCGCCGGGCGGGCAGCTTTCTCCGCTCCCGCCGGGCCCGGGCATGTCCTGGCGGTTCGGGTCGGAGAAGATGCGCGTGATGCGGCCGGCGGGCGTGCACTCGAGCAGGCACCACTGGTCGATGTGGGACCACCACGACTCGCCGACCGGCGTGGTTCCGGGCATAATGCAGCAGTAAGTGACATTGCCATGTTCGTCGAACATCTTGAGCTGCGACCTGCCGTCGGTCCAGGATAAGATACCCTCGGGTAGCGCCGCGAACACCGCGCGCACGGCTTCCCGGTCGACCTCCGCCACCTCCGCGACATACACCTCGGGAATCGGCGGCGGAGCGGTGTAGGCTTCCGCCTGGCGTAGGCGGGCGATTTGAGTCGCCTCAAAACACAAGCGCAAGAGGGAGATGAGGGTAAGGAGCGAGAGGAAGGGGACGGACGACTGGAAGGCGCTAGGAGGGAATGACGTCATATCGGGGTGTGAGATTGCCTGATCTTCGGATAAGAATGGCAGCTGCACTGACTCAGTGTAGATACTGGCAAAGCGAAATTATGATTTTGAAGTGATTAGTCCCTGTGTCGCTGACAATCTCGAACGCTATTGCCGCTTGTACTACCACTTGTTCTAATGCCGTGCGTTGTTGCACGGATATTATGGGCGAGAGTTGAAAGAGGTCCGAGTAAATAGTACTAGTAGTAGTATTTGTAACGTTGAGTAGCGGCACGATCGGGGACTCCCCACGATCGGAAGTTCGGAGCGTTGTCTTTGTTGACGAGAGGAAAGGAGGGTCTAAGGCGGTGGAAGGTCGGGCGGAAGCAGATCGGCGGAAAGGGGTGCGCCAAGGGTACGAGGCTGCGGTAATGAACAGCCACATAGTAACAGCGCGTGCTGTTACTGCGCGATCGAAGCCGCTGACTACCACAGTAAGTGGCGTGACGAGGGACATTGGTACAACAGTGGCAACGATTAGAGCTACTGCCAGCGAAGCGAAGTGCTTGGAATAGTATCCGTCGAGTCCAACTAGGCGCAGCCGTAAAACCTGCTGGTTGCCTGGGAATTTTGCACGACGACTGACAGAGGCACCTACAAAGCGAGCCAGGAGGCTAGGGCAGAAAAAGGTGCGAGAGCAGCGGCCATGGCGGAAGACTGGAGAGAAAGTGGTGGAACGGGGAAGAAGCAGCTGGGTATGCATGTGCAGGTGGGTGGGAGGGAACAGAGACAGGCAGAAAGGGAGGGAGGGAGAGGCGGTGGTGGTTGATTGGGTTCGAGCCGAGCCGCATGTCGGACTGCAGGTGCCTTGCCCAGGTTCGGTTGAGATCCTGAGCGTACGCTACTGTAGATCCCGTAGGATGCGGCGGGCTCCCTTGGTCGCATGCCATCTTGAGATTGATATGTGTCATGGGCCTCCATCGCAATCTCATGTATAATATCCACTGATAACATACCATGACATTGACCCCCTTATCTCCCCAGATACCCCGTCTCGATGTACTCATCGCCTGCTTTTGAAGATGACAATCATACCTACCAAGTCTGGATAGTATGTCCTACAAGCTTGACAGTCTGACTAATCAATGGTACATGATCTACCTCTGCTACAATGAAGCCTCAAACACAAGTGCATGAGTGCCAGTCTGTTGGATGTACTCCTCCTGTCTTACTGTAACGTGCGCAAGTCTCCTAGACACTACAGATACACAAAGACATCTATTACACTGCCGAAACTAACGACGCATTGACGCCTGGGGACTTCCTGCCGATCCTGCTCTTACTGCTGTAGCTGCTGTTCCTGCTGAAGTGGTCTACGAGAAGAGGAAGTGCAGGTGACCCGAGTCTCGGACGTGGGGAGGCAGGGAAAGCTGGGTGAGTGAGATGCTGGGGAGCTCCTTGCATATGTCATCCACGGCAAATGGGACACTGCCATGTGGAAACAACCGGACAAGTGGGGTGGGTTGGGGACGAAGGGAATGGAACAGAGTTGTCAGGGAGGAGGTGGAAGGAAAGGGCATGTCGTCCCATTCCAAATTACATGAATGCAGGATTAGCAACGGAAACATGCAGCACCAGCAGCAGAAGCAGCTGCAGGAACCCGGGCCGTCGCACCACTAAGTGCAGAGACCAAACTACACACCACACACACTCCAGCAAAAGAAAATAAATCTAACCACAGCAGCAGCAGCACTCACGAGGAGTCGTCGTCAAGCAGGAACGAGTTGGTGCCATTCTGAGCCGACTCCTCCGTGCTCTTGAACCGCATGGCGTTCACGACAGCGGGCGCCACGGAGTGTGTGCCGTACTTGTCGTCGCGGTACATGGTGCTGATACGATACAGCTGCTGCATGCTCAGTGCGGGGCACAGGTCGCTGGTGATGTCCTCCAGTGACTTCTTGGGCTTCTGGTGGATCACCTGTGATGTGAGATGCAGGGAGGAGCGATGGCAAGGGGAGCAAGATGACAATGAAGCGACGAATGGACCCCGAACGGAGTGGACAGTATGTGGACGAGAGCAGGAGGGGTGCGAGGTTGGGGGAGAGGGACGGATGGAAAGAGTAGAAACACTACGTGTCAAGATGCACCCGTCGAATGAACAGCAACGGTGGCAGCAGCAGCAAGGAGCACATACCAGGAAGCCCACAGCCTGTCGAATGAACCTGAGTTCCTCCCACGCGCTGCCAGCGTACTCCTCTGTGGCCTCGAATATCCAGCGCTCCAGCTCCGCCAGACCTTCCTTCACGTACTCGCCGTTGCTGAACGAGCAGCACTCACGACGCAGCAGCAGACTGCAACAGGGTACAGGACGCACAAGTGAAGGTGGAACGAGGAAGGCAGGGGAAGGGCAACATTTAACGCTGATTAGGCTGAGACAGAACAGGACATGCTGAAAAAGGGAAATGTGCTACTTGCTGAAAATACACAACGATCAACATAGCACACGCACATGCACACACCCACCCGCCAACACCTTCCCTCCACCCTCCACCTTTCACGCTCACCCCTCAATCCTCTTTCAAGCAGCGCACCTGTTGAAGAGCTGGACGTTGATGTAGGCAAAGATCTGGGTGAAGAGGCTGCGCACGAGGAAGGCAGGCACGTGGTTGGCCTTGAGCGTGTTCAGCAGGTCTGTGAGCCGTGCTATGATGCCGCCCCACTGCGCCACCGCTGCTGCCACCGACGCCGCCTGGTTCTGTGCCGAAACCCGCGCCCCGTCAGGCGACGAGCGGTGCTGCTGACGTGGCGCCATGGGCGTGCGGAAGGAGCGAGAGGCCTGCAGCGGGGAGGAATACGGCAGGGGGAAGGTTAGGGGGGAATTGGGAGGGGGTGCATTGTGACAGGGAATGCAAGTGAGGAGACAGTAGAGGGAAAACCAGGAAACTGGAATTGCGGAAGCCGGCAGTGGTTAAGAAACAGGGAGCGGAAAGAAAGACATTTACAGGGACTCCACACTCCACACGCACCTGTATGCAGGCGACGAGCATCTGAGAGATATCCTTCTTGAGGTTGTCTCGGATGCACGAGTACACCTTCTCCACATACGCCGTGAGCTGCTGCTTGAAGAGCAGCGCAGGGAACTTGGGGTCCACCAGGTGCAACCCGTCTGCCTCCGCTGCTGATGTCTCGTCTGGTGACAGCGTCACAGGCCCACGGAATGTCTGCAGGTGCCAAGAGGGTTGGGAATATTGGGCGCGCATGGTGGATTGAACACACGAACAAGAGATTAGCAGGTGGGTTGGTTCGTGGGCGTGGGCTGGTTGGTGGAATGGTTGGTGTGAATACATAGTCCAAGGACAGGGGGCAGATACAACCTCACCATCCCAATGCGATCCATACTCAGCAACACATCTCCCCCTCACTCTCACCCTCTCCCCACTCCCCCCCACCACACACATTTCTACCCCCCACTTCCGGTCCACCCCGCTCATTCCCTCCAAGCTCCCATCACCTAGCCCCAGTGCCCTCTCAAGCGCACCTGGGTCATGCGGCCGAACAGCGACACGGGCTGCTGCCTCCTGCGCGCGTGCATCTGCAGCGCAGACGCAGCTCCCGGTCGGAACGACCGGTGCAGCAGGTGCAGCAGCGACGACGCGACCGCCAGCCAATACGACAGCCTCGCAGCATTCCCCGCCGCACCCCCTGCCGCCCCTCCACTTCCTGCCGCCGCCTGCAGCGGCGAAGCAGCACCAGCACCGGCACCCGCAGCAGGAGCAGGAGCAGGGTCGTGGTTTTCAATGGCGGAGCTCATGGTCTGGATGATCTTGTCAAACACGTTGGTCTGCTCCGCGTCAAAGGAGCGCCAGTGCACGAGAGCACGGTACAGCATGCACGCTGCCACAGGCCGGTTGTTGTCAAACCCAAGGTCCGTCAGCAGCAGCTTCAGCACTGTGTCCTGATCCGCCTGCAGGGAGGAACAGCAAGCCAAGGGCAGGGGCAGGGGGCAGGCGGTGGCACGGAAGCGAGACAAGTGGAGGGGGAGGAACGGACAGGAGGTTGGGAGGTCAAACACATGAGTTGTGCCCCATGAGAACGCAGTTCATGGGGGACAGGAAGAGCACGAGCAGGGTTAATATTTCCGAAGTCCTCGAAAAGAACATGCACCAAGCTACCATCCAATCTGCTCGCCTAATCCCTGCAGCTCACCTGCTGCCTCTCAGCCAGAATCTGCTGCCTCTTCACCTCAGCCTCCTGCGTGGCCCCACGCGCAGCAGCAGCAGAAGCCGCCGCGCTGCCAGGCGTGCCAGGCGTCATATCATGCCCACTCGGTGTAGACGGTGTCATCGCCGACCCAAACAGGGCAGACAGCCGCCCAGCGGCAGGAGCCCGCTGCGGCGTGGTCTGCGAGGCAGTAGCCACAGAGAGCGACTGGCGGCGGAGCACCTGGTTCTCCCTGTCCATGCTGCGGAACTGGTCCTCCAATCGCTGCAGCTCCACCTTCATCTTCTCCAGCTCAGACTCCAGCGCCTGCAGCTTCCCGTCCTTGTGCACTATCATCTCCTCCATGGCTGCCACTCGCGAGTCCGACACGTCCAAAGCTGCCTTGAGCTTCTCGTTCTCCAGCCCCTCTGTGGACTGGCCTGACGCCCCAGTGCTCGAAACGACCACAATGGCACCACCTGCAGCAGCAGCAGCAGCTGCAGAGACGGTAGCAGCGGCAGCAGAATCGTCTCCGCCAGCAACAGTGGTCGCCACTCCAGCAGCGGCGGCGGCAGTGGCAGTGGCAGCAGGAGCACCCTCCGGCTTCTCAGCCCCAGCTGCAGTCACTGTCGCTGCGGGCACCTGCACTTCAACCACCTTCACAACCTCCCGCACCACTGTCTTGATCACAGGCTCGTTGCTCTCTGCCCCTCCACCCCCACCGCCTCCAGCCGCCAGCCGCTGATGCAGGGACTGAATCTCGTCCTTGGATGCTTGCAGCTCTGCTGTGAGGCGATCCACCTCCTGCTGTAGCTTCGCCACCTCCTGGGTCTTGGACTCCTCCAGGTCGGACTGGAGGAGGGGGGAGAGGGAGAACAGGAGGGAGGAATAGCGGGAGGGAGGAGGAGAGAAACGGAGGAGAAAACAAGCGAAAGAGTCTAAGGTAATTGGAGGTTGAAAAAGGAAGAGAAGGAGGTGAGATCCATGTGCAGTGGATTGCAAAATCACGCGCATGTGCATGAGTAACCCATCCCATCCTCACCCCCACAGTCCCTCCCACTTCCTTGTGCTCTACACCCACCCGCATTCTCTTCTCCAGCTGCAGCCGCCAGGTCAGCTCCTCCAGCTGCTTCTCCAGCCGCGACTTGGCTTCCTGCAGCGCTCCCGTCTGCTTCGCGTCCTGGGAGAAGCCAGGCCAGACAGGGGAACAGGCATTGGTTGGGGGCAGGAAAGGGAAAGGGATGGGAGAGGACAAGAGCGGAGAAGTATTAGGCACATGGAGAGCAGTAGGAAGGTGGGCAGGCCAGAGCAGTGAAACGAAAAAGGGGGACGAGAGAAGATTCAAGAAGTGTACTAGGTTCCTCGTCTCCTCAGGTTCCATATTCACCTCCATCATCACGCCAGAACTGATCGCCGGGAAAACAAAGAGCAGCACCCACCGTGCAACACTAAACAGTACATAGTACAGAGTACTCAGCACTCACATGCTTGAGCTTCTTGAGCTCGAGGCGGCCAGCCCTGCCCCGCCACGTGCTCTGCATGACCAAGGCACTGCGCTTGGTGCGTTTATACTCTGACTGCGCCTTGTGCCGCCGAAAGTTAGTCTGTGTGGAAAAAAGTGGAGAAACAGATGAAGGGCAGAAGGGAGGAGTGAAAGCATAAGAACGACTCAAGAAAGTAGAAAGAAAAATGGTGTGCCGTGGTCAGAATACAACCGAACAAGTAGTTTACAAAACGAGTAACGGGGGAGAAAGGGAGGGGAAAAGACAAAGCAGATTCGACATTGGGGGTAAGACAGCAGTCAGCAGCCTACAAAGGTCTCGTCCCTCCCCTCCCTCCCTCCCCCCTCCCTCCCTCCCTCCCTCCCTCAATCCCTCCCTCCCTCCCTCAATCCCTCCCTCCCTCCCTCAATCCCTCCCTCAATCCCTCCATCCCTCAATCCATCCCTCCATCCCTCCATCCCTCCCTCCCACCGTTACTCCCTCCCTCCCTCCATCCCCCCATCCCTCCCTCCCACCATTACTCCCTCCCTCCCTCCCTTTCTCCCTCCCTCCCTATGCACCTGGATCTTCCTGGCAGCGAGGTTGCGCCTGCGAGAGGACGCCTCGCGCCGTGCAAACATGCCGCGGGTGGCAGACTGGATGGTGACAGCCGCCTTGACCTGCCGCTTGTATTGCACGCGCGCCCTGTGCCCTCTGTACTGAGTCTGAATGACCAGCGCTGCTCGCTCCCTGCGTAGCCTCTGGTACTCGCGCCTTGCTGCATTGCCTGCACTCATGAGACACGAGGGAGGAGGCACAGGAAAGGAGGGTTGGAATCCACGCATCCCTGAACCTCCGACCGAGGAACATCGGACAGGAAGGGAGCTGAACGACTTGGGCGAGAGGCTCACACAGAAGCCAGCAGCCGTGTGAGCCTCATGAGGATGTGACGCACCAACACCAACCAGTCACACCACCGCTCCCATCCCATTGACCGCCTTTGTAAGACCCCATCATTCACACCACCCTCTCCATCCCCCTCTCCAACCCCCCACAATCGTAACCATGACCACGACCACAGTCAGCACCGCTACCTCCTCACCTCGTGTCCGCGCCTGCATGCGAATGGCGGCCTTGCGCAGGGCGACAAACTGCCGGCGTGCGAGCCACGTGCGGACGCAGCGCTGGATGACACGCACGGCGGAGTGCAGCTTGTTGGCACGCATCGCATCCAGGTCTGCCATCTGCCCCGCGCGCAGAAACACCTTGCTCTTGCCCACCTGGAACCCCGTCAGCCCCAGCTTCTCCAGCAGCTGCTTCGCTGTCAACTTGATGTCACTGCATGTGGGGGTTGTTGGTGTGGGGTTTGGGAAGGGTCGTGAGAGGAGTGGAAGTGTTAGGAAGAAGTGTTGTAGCAGTTCTTTTCCTGATGCTGACGCGCACATCCATCTGATTCATCAACAGCATGTGACACCCGGCACTTCATGATTCTTTGGAAAATGTTAATATGTAAAAAAACGGCACATTTCTGTCAACTTTCAGGGACATACTTGATGCTGAATCTTGTGCTTACCTTCCATCATACTCCAGGTCAGGGACCAGCATGTTAAAGCGATCCAGGAACTCCTCGAAGGTACGGCGGGTGGGAAAGCCTGCACAGCTGATACGAATGGCCTCCAGCACTCCCTGTTGTCAACAAGAGCGAGGGGAGAAGATGGGGGGAGGCGGCCAAAGTACGATACAAACGGTCAGAGAAGGCCATTTGTGACTCGCACAGCTGATCCAGCAAGCACATGGACACACACCCTTGCATGTGCCAACACGCGACAGACGGGTGCAAGTGGAGTGTATTTCGAAAACATGCTACAGGCTCTGAATGGGAAAGCATGTGGAATAGCAGGGTATCGAAAGTGAGCAGGGAAAGATGAAAACTTGGAGAGCAGCGGAGCATTATGAGATAGGGTATGGGAGGAAGTGCGGGAGAGGGGCCAGATAAAACGACAGAGTCAGGACATAAAAGAAGCAGCACATGCCACTCACTCCACATCTGAGCTGCTGCAGCACGTTGTGGTTCTCAAAGATGCCCGCCTTGTTCTGCGCGTTGGGCTTCACACAGCGCACGTAGTGCGGCTCCGTGGTGCTGAGCGTGCTCATGAGCTCCGCCAGCTGCTGCTTGAAGCTGGACCCCAGCGACGTGAACTTGGTCTTCACGTTCTCGCCCTCGCCCACCGGGAAGAGGCCAGACACGAAGGAGCACTTGGAGTGGTTCATCAGCTCCTGGTGCTCCATCACCACGTAGTCCTTGTTCTTGTCCAGAAACAGCTCCGTCTGGTATGTCACCTGGTGAACGGGAGGGGAGGGAGGGGAGCAATGCGGAGCACCGACAGGCAGAAGAGACAGGGAGCCAGGTTGGGAACTTCTGCAGCAGACTTGATAAAGACAGTGTGGCGAAGGAGAGGGGGACGGGTAGATGCAATGCCTCACACACATGCACACGCACACACACGCACCTTGCCGGCATAGTGGTCAATTGTGAAGTCTGTCTGTGAGAGCTTGGGCTTCTCAAACCGAGAATGTGCGCCGCACGACTGGTACAGCTTTGTGGCGAAGGTCTCTGCACTCGACTTGGGAAACATGCTGTTGCGTGGGGACACGTGTTGGAGGGATGGCAGGGAGGGGGGAGGAACGGAGAGTGGGCCAACAGGGACAAATGAGCGGGAGTTCAGTGGGTGAGTGCACAAGCGTTAGTGTGAGGGGCGGAGTGGGAAAAGACAGGAAAAGGTGGGAGGGACGAGGGGAAAGGGGGGGGGGGGGGGGGGGGGGGGAGTGGAGAGCACAAGAGAGGGCAAGCGGGGAAAGAAGAAAAGGATCCGATGGAAGCAGCAGGAAAGCAACGCGCATGAGCTCACCATTGCTCGTCCAGAAGGGCGATGATACCCATGGGTTTCTGCAGGGAGCAAGGCACGGACACGGAGGGAAGGCCCAGAGTCAGTCAGTGAAGTGGGTTTAAGAAGAGAGCCACGAGAGGCGAAGCAGAGAGGGGTAGAAACTGAAAAACGCACCAGCCGAGATAAAAAAATTGCAACAATCAGGGCAGAGGGGTGGGGCGGTGGAGGACGGGGTTAGGGGGCGAGTGGTAGGCAGGGTGGGAAGTGCGGCAAGGGAAGTGTAAATTAGTACACTCAGTGTCCACTCACCTTTTCAATGAGCTCCAGCACATCCTTGTTGTCAACAAACTCGATGTAGCTCCAGTCAATCTCTTCCCTCTCATACTCGTCTTGCTCAGCCTTGAACACGTGCTGGTGGGTTCAGTCGAAGGGATGAGAGTGGGGTGGATGGGTGGTGGGCAAGGAGGGAGGGGAGAGTGGGAAGGAATTGACAAGAAATGGGAAGGGGGGGGGGGGGGGGGGGGGGGGCGTGGGGAGAGGGTGAGGCTGAAGAACCAGCAATGATACAAAGCAACATCGTTATTTGCACAGCCGGATCTGTGAAGGTTTGGCCCTGTAGGCAAGAACCTTGATCACTAAGCTACAGCATGCAATACTCTCATCAGTTCAAATCAAACGCGATGCTCCCATTTTAGGGGTTCCTGATTCGTTTACAGTTCCTAGTGTGAGAATCTTTTTGCCTGTTCTTTTCCATCAGGTGTCGAGCGCCTCGTTGACGTGTGGCTTACCTGGTTGAAGTGTTGTTGGAGCTTTTCATTGGCCAGATTGATGCAGAACTGCTCAAAGCTGTTTCAGCAAGTGGAGGATGTGGGAGAGGGGAGGGGAAGGGAACGATGAAGAGGCATGTACGGACAGGCTAGTGCGCTAAAAAAATTGGTAAGTTGTAGTTATACATCTGGGAGTGTGACAGCATGGCCCAGCATACACCAGCATGGAAAACCACGGATAACCATGGCACAGCACGAAACACAGTGACGCACCTGTTGGTCTGGAAGCTCTCGAATCCGTAGATATCCAGCACTCCGATGATAGACGCACAGGCTGGGTCTTGGCCAATGGATTTGTTGACCTTGTCGACCAGCCTGCACAAGGGTCGTGTGGTGCACAGACAGCCAAACCGCCACACGGTAAGCCACAATACAACACACACAGCAACGTGCACAGAAGAATTAGCCTGAACCGTATAGCCCAGCGCTGGTGAGAGAGACCCAAGGGAATTTGCCAATCACAGACCACCCATCTCAACCCGCTTTTCCCAATTACACCCAATCTGATCTCATCCACACTCCTCCCCCACCCGTCCATTCCCTTTCCTCCCCCTGACACACTGCTTCCGTGCCCTTAAAACTCTCCATCTCACAGCCCTCATCCCCACCAGTCAAAGAGGCGCGAGTAGACTGTCTTGGCCAGAGTGTCTCTGCTGACCACCGCTGCCTCGGGATCCAGGTCCCTCTTGATGTTTCCGTCCCTGGTCACTAGCGTTCGCGTCAGCAGTGATTCCCTCAGCTTCTTCTTCTCCACCCGCAGCAGCTCCGCTACCGCCTCCAGGTGAAACTTCGCCTTGTCCCCGTGCAACTTGGACGAATCCGCGGCTTTACCATTGGTGAAAGTGATATTCCCTAGATGCAAAATAGCTGCAACCACGCGGAAAATCGCCTCCTGTTCCTCAATCGTCAGCCCCACGACCTCCATAGCCCGCCTTGTGTTATGATACTCCTCTGCGTTGCTGTTCTTGCCAGGGATCTCGAAGCAGTTGCTCTGGTTTAGGTAGTGGAACGTCTCTGCTGGTGCCAGCTTCAGCCGCTCCCGCTCCTCTTCCGACGCTCCCGCACATAGCTGGTAGAAGGCGTGGTAGTTGCGCTCGGGGTCTGATATCTGCACCACACGGGACCTCTCCAGAAGGTACGTGCGCACTGCAGCTCCTGATATGCGTCCCGCCCTGTCGAACTGGATCTCCACGAATTTACCGAAACGACTGTATCAGGCGGGGGGAGAGGAAGGAACGGGGAGATGAAGAGGGGATGACGGCAAGGGGGGAGGAAATTGACAGGAGAAGATAAGTGACAGGGACAGTGGCGAGAAAGGCACCGGGAGGACGCGTGGTGCGGATAGATGGGATGCAGTCAGAAAGGCAGGTCCAGGAAGGTTGAGGGATAAGGGTACGACGACCTGAGAAGATTAAGTGCTGGTGATTCAGTTTTTAAGGGATGAAAAGGGGAGACGTACCTGGAATTGTTATTTCGCGACGTCTTGGCGTTTCCGAAGGCCTCAAGAAGAGGGTTGGACTGGATAGAAATAAGATACAGGAAAGGGAGAACAATGAATCCGGTCAGTGCAGGCAAAGAGAGGGGAAACAATAACAAGCTATTTCGAGCAAGTCAACACCCGGCCATTGACGACAAAAGCACACAGATATCCAGCATATAGCCACTATCCTAGACACGTGTCTTGCAACTGCCAAAACCACAGAAATCCGCAAGTCATGCACGCGGACTGCCTTCTCTTACTCACTTCAAGCACTTGCGACTCAATGGTTCTGCCGTCGGAATTGGCGCGTCCTCCCATATACGCCAAGTACTGCATGATGAGCTTCGTCGTCTCCGTCTTTCCCGCCCCGCTCTCTCCGCTCACTAGAATCGACTGGCTATTGCCATAGTCGCTCATCGTTCTGCACACAGAGAGCAGGAGAATCGGCGAGGTGTATGATGAGGAGCCGATATCAGCAGCAGCGACGGGAGAGAAAGATAGTGATAGGTGCGCGAGGAAGCAACCGCGACGTCGGACGAGAGGACGCAGTGCAGCCAATGACACAATAAAATCCAAGAAACCCATACTGGTGCGCTTGGCAATGACCATTGCAGACTGTGAAGCTCGTTGTTTGGCTTCGTATATGCCTTTCTCCTTCTTCGAGAGCCACCCTGCTCTGTTTCATTAAGGTCACCGTATCAAATCTCTAAGAGGGTTGGTAAGAAGCGTCTCGCTGATACGTCTACGCACTTGACCACGCAGACCTGTTCACGTAACAGATTCAAGCATTAGCACGTACGCACCTGTACGCGGTTTCGGCGATGGCAAAGACGTGCGGCGACAGCTCTCCCAGTCTTGTGCCTTTGTACTGCTCCATCATTTGCTCGTCGTACAGGTGTGGTAAACTGCGAAATGGATTGATGGCAATCAGAATGCTACCCGTGTATGTCTGTGGAAGAAACATGCAACCCACAACAAGGGAGTGGAATATAAGATGGAGTTAGAAAGTGAGCGTTGAAGGATGAGTTGAGGAGCAAAGCAAGCGCCAGCAACGCTGGTGGCTGACGAGGAAGAGCGCGCTAGGGATGCGCGACTCAGTCGCAGGTGGTGAATCGACAACGAATGAAGAACGTGATGATGGCAGGAACAAACACAGCCAAGGCAAATTCAGCCGAATCTACACAACCATGTAACTGATGCACGATGTCACAGGTCACGTACATAAATCTCGTCGACGCTGTATCTAAGGTACAAGTTGTGAAGCACGCCCGGCTCATGAAGGTATGAGAGCTTAGTCATGTCATCAACGCCATCCGACTCCTCGTCCTTGGCATAACAGTGCTTTAGACGCACTACAATCTGTCAAACGCATGGGAGAAGAGAGGGGATCGTTAAAGTACATCATGGAGCTGGCGAAACTTGGAAAGTGGTTTGAAAGAGAACGCAAGAAGTTAACTGCGTTCAGTTTCTGTAGCGCAAACAGATGAATGGATCAAGCTGATGCTGTCTGATATGACGTGTCATTCGCTGGATACACGTCAAAGAATGACTATGTGCTCACTTCGTCAACGGCTGCTTTCCTGTCATTTGAACTCGTTTCATGAATCATACATACGCCGAGGATGCTGTCACGCACCATCGATACGACGAAGAAAGTAGAAGCAATTTCACTCTAGAAGTTTCACCTCGGAAACAATTCCTGTAACGAATGGAGAAAGGTTCGATCCGTCAACAAAATCTTTCGCTGCAGCGGAGACGTACCTGCTTTCCTCGCACGTCAACTGTGACCTTCTTCTTCTCCACGGCAATAACTTCCGCATCAATCCACGCTTCTTGCTCATCTTCCACCCACACTTTAGACCCCACCACAACCACACTAGATGGGGCCTGGAAAAAGACAAGTCAGAAGAAAAGAAGTCAGTAAACGATCAGAGCAGTGTTTTGGAGATCATGGTCTCAGTTAGAAAGGTCTTCCGCAGAACTGATATCCTCACAATGACACTTGATCTTGATGAAGGCTCTAAGTCGTTCGTTACCACAGAAGTTAACTTGTTGACGAAATATGAAAAGCTTACCATGATTTGCGAAAGTTGAGCCGCTTGAACAGATACAAGATGGGAGCGACGCTACTTGGGTCTGTATTTTGACAAATGCTTCGCCGGAAGTTAATCAGCGATGAATGAATATCCACACCCTAATACTAGGTAAGGTCGCACGGGATCTGTCACAGCTTGACCGAGCGAGGAACTCGATCTCTGCCGTAAATGCACATGTTATCAACGACCCATGGTTGCAACTCGATACCGAGCAGACGTGTTGCTATTCAAAACCTTGCGAAGCAAGGACAAGAAAACGACCCAAGAGCTAGCAGCGGCTCCCGGGAGCTTCTGCAATGGTGACTGCAACTGGGATCTCCAAGGTTTCCCAGCAACAGAACTTGAGGATATCCTTCCTCAGAACACCGAGAATGGTGTTGAGGCGAAAGCAGCCACTCAAAATGGCATCGGCAATTCGCAGGTTCAAAAAGGAGGTGATGATCCTGATTTCCAACCAAACCTGCAATCTCCTCAGCATCCAATCCCAAGGGCTTCTGTTCCGTCAGAAACAGAGGTTCGGAGAACGGGGGACTGGACGCCACCTCACCAAGCCAAAGGAGTCTTGGCTTGGTGGTGGCTGGTTCATTGGCAATTCCAAGGTTGTGTGAGCGTGACCCCCATCCCAGCCTCGATGGAATCCAGGTCCACAAGCAGTTTGAAGGCAATCAGGATTTCTGACGGTAAGAAAATTTCGCTGGTACGAGACGGTCGGGCAATCCTGGCGGCGACTTGATCAGCTCCCCTCAGAATTCGTTCGCTTCTGTCTGTCAGCCTGCGCGTCGCTCCGTTTCCTTTGCTTCGACTCTCTCCAACTTGTCGCACGGGTACGCGTAACTTCTGCGATTATTGAAGTACCTCGTCCACGATTCTTTGGACAGAGAGCGTCCAATGAAGCCAAGGGAAACACCAGTTTGATTGGCTGTAAGTTTCGCAAGGAAATCTGCGCTGCGAGACCAGGGAACCGCGCCAGTTCAATTCCTGGTGGCCCTGAATAACGGCCGTGACTTGTCACCTCCAAGGGTACTGTTTGTGCTGCTCCCTCTCCCGCGCCTCAGAATGCGGTTGTCATGTGTATGTGACACCAACGAGTGACACGTCCCTGGCCTATCACCGCGCGCCGAGGCGGGATCATGTGTGACTGGTTGGGAAACAAAGCCACCGACACAATGCTGGGGTTGAACCAGGCGCTCTCGCTGCTTCAGCAAAAAGTGTAGTTGCCATGGTATGTAGCTTAATCAGTATATATGATCTGAGATGCATCTGGTGAAGTATCAGTAAATAGGAGGGATTCATTGTAATTCGTTGAGAAATGCTAGGATACGTGTAATATTATTAGCTTTTCATCTACCTACATCATCACTATAGCGCACATAAAATGTTGATTTAATTGCCTTTGACTCTATGCTAATTGTTCTCAGATGTTACCTGAAAATTGTATCATTACAATGTCATATTTTCCTTTCTCTCAATGATCTCATAGTTAAATACACATTATGCAGAAAACTCTAGCAGTAACTTACAGACAATCCTAGTATGTAGTTGCGAAAACGAACGATGTACACTCCCAACAACTCGAGCCGCTGGTGGGGGTGGATTAGCGAAGCCGGAGCGCAGCTATGGAGCTTTCCGTTCACCCCGGAGTAACAGAGATCAGGTGAGCACTCAATTCTGTTCCTGCAATGGAGCTGGCATGTCGTCGGCCCGGGGTCAAGGACGTATTGGATACAATCTACACATACCCCTAAGGGCGGAAAACCGTGAAGAGCTGAACGATGCGATCAAGGTGCAATGAAAATATCCAGTACCATCCCAATTTTCCCGCCAGATTACAGCACTAGCTCCATTTGCCTGTGCTAAACGACATTGCTTAGGGGTGGTTGATTATAATAGTTGAACTATCCAAGATCCTTGGTGTTTTCAAAGCAAACATCTGAGCTTATGCATCCGTAAAGAGGAGGGGTCTCTAGCATAAACAACTTTCATACAAAGCCATGTCATTTCAATGAAAGGAGGAGGGTGTGGCTGAAAACTTCGACGCACGTGGTCACAGGAAAAAAATATACATCTGCTTGCTCACCCTCGTGGTACAACCAGCAAGGGTAGGATTGGATGGCAGGTCGGAGCTAATGGCGGTTGATTAGCACAGAAGGCCAACCTATCTGTGGTGGGTGGAGGGGGGGAGACGAAACTGGGTTGCACTGCACTGCACCCCCTACTTTCCTCGCATGTCACACATAACCCGTCTACCTGCTGCCACTGTTGGATAGTTCAAGCACATCTTCCGTAGTTGGCCGATTGCCGCCTTCTTTTTATTTCTTGGCTGGCCGGTGGCATATCGCGTCATGCATTTCACATATGCGAGGGTCCTCTCGCCGTAACACCAGCATGATTTCTCCTCTCGTTCCTCGCCTAGGTGCCTTTGCGTGGTGCCTGCAGGGTAGAGAAAGCGGGTGCAGAAAGAGCCGCGAAATGCGCGTAGTGTAGGGAGTCCCGCCGCAGTCCGGGTCACACTACCGTATTATTGGCGCGAAAAAACCGCGAATCACGGCCTTAATACTAGCGCTGGTTACAGCGCCGTTACTCGCACTCATCGGATCGGGCATTGTCAGTGGCATACGCGATCGTAACCGTGCAATTGCACCCACCCGTGTCGCGGCGTCGTCTCCACCAACCCTAATACCAGGTCTGCACCCAAATGTATTTCCCTCCGCGCATTGTCGACAGGAATCGTTGCTTCAGCACGCTCGTTACATCAACCGGTGTCGCACGTGCCGCACATGCCGCGAACCGCCAGCGTAGGACAACGCGGATGCGACACGTTGCACGTGCGCTCCGCCCTGACGCAAGCCGTAGCGTGTGCGATGCGATCTGCGGGCCTTAGGGTTGCTCACGCTTGCCGGCATGCCGTGTTCGAAGATAAAATCTGCTTGCTAATCCAACGTTCGGCGGCCCCTGGACACGGATCTTTAGGGACGCCCCTCCCTTCAGGACCCCATTCTTTTTCCTCTCCTTTTCCCCCTCCCCGACACCACGCCTGCCTCCATTCGGGCCCCCATTGTTCCCCTGTTCTGCCCAACCAGTTTGTCGATGGCCCCACCCCGTGTGCTGATCGTCGCGCGTTGCGACGATTCCCCGATCAACTATCCATGTCCTATTTTCCTCTTTCCCGCCGCGCCACATCCTTTTCTACTTAATTCGTCTGTTTCCCTCATTTCGTCTCCGTCTTTTTGTCCCTCCGCGTCTCGTTTCCCCATGGCTTGACACTATCCACTGCAGATCCCTCCGCGGCTTCTATCCAGCCGTCTTCTGCCGCGATCCGGCGCCATCGACGGCCTAGGATACACGCGGCGCTCAATCGACGACGTAGGTTAACTGCCGCGATCCACGGCTCAAATTCCCGCTGCAAACGAGAGTGCATTTCTGGAACGCTGGTGAACCAACCCCGCGTTTCTTGATCGCAAATTGGTTTCCGTTCGTACTGTCACAACCCCCGATACTACAACCGTTGGCATCAGTGACCGATCTACGGCTGAGATGGAACCCATGGGCCAGCAGCTGCCCAATGGGTTTCCCTCCCCTTCAGCTGCTCCCAATGCTGCTGCTGGCAATGCCGCTGCTCCTAGTGCAGCAATTGGAGCAGCAGCAGCAGCAGCAGCATCAGCTGGTGCAGCAGCGCCAGCAGCAGGAGCAGCGGGTAGGTGTGGGAGCGGTGGAGTGCGGCGGGATGCGGAGGTGAGGGCGTGGAGTGGGGTGGTGAGAGGTGTGGATGTGGTGATGGCAGCAGCGCTGCGAGCACAGCCCAAACGGCCCGCAGATGCCCCTGCGCACACGGCACTCGCTGCTGCTTCCCCTCCTGCTTCTGTTGCCCCCGCCGCTGCTGTTGCTGCTGCTGCTACGGCGCTAGGAGAAGCGGCATTGCCTGCAGAAACAGCTGCAACTTCTGCGGCAGCAGCAGTAGCAGTAGCAGCAACAGCAACAGCAGCAGCAACAGCAGCAGCAACAGCAGCAGCGGCGGCGCCTGATGCGTCCGTTGTTTCTGGCGCCACAGGTGGTAACCACGTGGGAATCTCCAGCAGCGTTAGTAGCAGCATCCCAGCCGTTAGCAGCACAGGCGCGAATGTCATTGTCACCCCCGATGGTCCGCGGCCAGTCGTCAGTGTGGCTAATGCGAGTGTGCTCGTAAGGGACTTGGGGCCGAGCCTAGCAGAGGGGGGAGGGGGCGGAGGAGGAGACGAGAAGAACGGGGAGTTGGAAAGGTTGGCTGGAGAGGGAGGGGGAGGAGGAGGAGGAGGAGGAGGAGGACATGTGGCATCGGAGGGCGCCTTGTCAGGTATGCTCTTGGTGTGTTGGTGTGGTGTGGGAGAGAAAGGTAATGCTAAGAGTAGACAGAGAGGGTAGGAGATGGGAGGGAAGCGGAGGGAGGTGAGGGGAGAAGCGATTGGCGTGAGAAATGCACTGGTAAATGCAGGTTAGGAAGGTGTGGACCGAGTTATCGTACGAACGAGAAGCAATCAGCCCTGTTGGCTGGGGTGTTGGAAAAATGTGTGGCATGGAAACACAAGGTCAAGCTGGGTATGGAGGCGGAGAGAGTTATGGTGTGTGCGTGTGTGTGACAATAAAGGGAGATATTAGGTCTGGAGAGCGAGTAAGTACAAAGTAGTGTAGCAACCAATCAGCCGACTAGGCAAGTGACGGTGGTTGCTAAACTCTCACCGTTTCAGAAATGAAATGGCTAAGCTTCAGAAATGACTCTTCATGGCTCTCATCTCCTTATTTCCACTCACTCCTCATTCCCTCTCTTTCCTCCTTCCAGTCTCCCGTCCCCTTCCCTCACTCCTTTGCTCATCCCCCTTCCCCCCTCCCCTTCCGTCCCCCATCCTCTCTCAACCCCCACAAAACCCCTCCGCAGCTGTGGCGGCATGGCCTGTGGTTGGTCAGAATCACCACGTGGGCTCAGCAGCAGGCAGGGAGAGCCACGTGGGCAGAGAAGAGAGAGGGCCGTGGGTGGGACGCAAGGTGGGGGAGGGAGTGCCGCAGCAGCTCACAGCAGCACCGGAGTTTGGGGCGCAGAACGGGACATTGGAGGGAGGGAGAGAAGCACAGAGCGCCAGTGGTAGTGGCGTCAGCTTTACCGGTGTCAGCTCTGGTAGTGTTGCTGGTGGTAGTGGTCTGATTGGTGGCAGTATCGCACCCCTTGCTGCTGCTGGCAGTGCTGCCAGTGGCACCGCTGGTTCCGCTGCTAGTTTCCCTGCTGCTTCTTCCGCGCCTGCTGTCGCTTCTCGTCTGCCTCCTTCTCTTCCTCCTCCTGCTGCTGCTGCTGCTGCTGCTTCGCCTGCAGCCGTGGCCGCCTTTCCAGCGGCATCCTCAGCGTTTGCTGCAGCGGCTGCTGCTGCTGAGTTTGTGCCAGCTTCTGTTTCCAGGGCTGTGGTGTATAATGAGGAGTCGACGGTACTCAAGGCAGCAGGAGCAGCAGCAGCCGGGGCAGCAGGGGAAGGGGTTGCAGGGGCAGCCGGGGCAGCCGGGGCAGGGGCAGGGTCAGCATTGACAGGGGGAACAGGGCCAGGGGCAGCAGCAGCGTCTGGGGCAGTAACAGGGGCAGGGGCTGCAGGGGCTGCAGGGGCAGGGCCGGTGGGAGATCTGTACATCCGCGGGCTGTCCTGGGGTACATCGTCTGATAGCCTGCGCCAGTACTTCTCTCAATTCGGCGAGGTAAGGGAGAGAGAGCGGGGGGGACTGGGGGAGGGTGGGGTGGAGGGAGGAGTGGGGGGAGTCGGGGGAGGGAGACGGTAGTGAATGTAGTTTGAAGAGCAAAGGGGGGAAAGAGCTTCTGGAAGGCTCAGATATGAACGATTTTTTGGGACATCTGAAATGAAGGATAGGATGGGAAAGTCTCAGAAGGGCGCAGCGCAGGTGGGCAATGTACACTTGGCCGCAAACGAATGGCACCGAACACTTCACAGGCACATATAGCTTCCTGTTTAGGCGTTTTCTTACTGGCCTGCCACGGATGATTCTGTCTCTGCCTGTGTCTGCCTCTGTCCCTCTCTGCGTCCTTCCCCTGCCCTGTGCGTGCGTCGCTCGGCCCAGGTGTCCCTGTGCTCTGTTATCACGGAGCCCAGTGGGCGCTCCAGGGGCTACGGCTTTGTCAACTTCAGGTACCTCTCACTCACCACACTCACCGCACTCACCACACTCACGACTTGGTATCTCTTGCATTCCACTAGCACTCGCACGGGAATGGCACTCGCGCTGGAATGGCACCCGCCTTGGGTTCCTTGCACCCTGTATCTATGTCTGACCCTCCCTGCTGTTTCTCCCCGTTCTTCTTCTTCTTCCCTGCACTCCCACCCACCCCCAAATTGTCCCCCTTTCTCTGCTGGCTCACGTGCCGGCACGGTGGCGAACAAACAATGACAGTGATTCAGAGGCCATCGCACGTGTTCTCAGCCAAGACCACATCATTGACAACAGACAGGTGACTCTCACTCTCGTGCATTGAGGTGTATTTTGAGGCGCCTCAAAATACAAACAATGACAGCGATTCAGAGGCCATTGCACGTGTTCCCGGCCAAGACCACATCATTGACAACAGACAGGTGACTCTCACTCTCATTCTCCCTCTCGCTCTCACTCTCGCTCTCGCTCTCACGCACGCTCACTCTCGCTCTCACTCTTACTCCCACTCTCACTCTTACCCACCCACTCCCTGCATCACCAGCCCACTCCCCTCTCACTCTCACTCTCACTCTCACTCTCACTCTCACTCTCACCCTCGCTCCCGCGCTCTCTCCCACTCACCACCCACCTGCACGCACGCATGCGACCAGTTTGGATCACATTCGTTGTGTCGGTGACTCCCAGACAGCCGTACTCGGCACGGCAATTCTGCTAGCCTGAAAGAACCCCAAGAAGGGTGCAATTTTCTGCATCGCACTCTCCCTCATATCGTTCTACTTGCAGCATACATGTCGTACATACATACATTTAACCGAGTTTTGAGGCGCATAGCACACATGCATACATACAGCCATCAGCTGGGCCCTCCATGACTTCCCTTCCATGCGCTCCCCTCTCCTATCTTGGTACCCGTCCCTCACCCCAGGTGCAAATACGGCCGCCACGTGATTTTCAACTGCCGCAACAGCAATCACCACTGCAACCACCACACTCCTCCAATGCCCTCCTCTCATCAACTCCACCACCCCTCTCCGCTTCTTCATCCTCCTCATCCTCCTCCCACTCCTCTCTCTCCTCCACTGCTCCCCCCCTATCCTCCTTCTCCCCTTCCTCCTCCGCCCCCTCGAGCATTCTCTCCCTATCGTCCCGTGCTTCGCATCTGGACTCCCATTCGTCTGCCCCTGCAGCTGCCTATCCCGCTCACCTCTCAGATAACCCACTAGCAGACGCTAGCAGATGGCAGCCGCATCAGTACCAGCAGCACCAGCAGTACCAGCAGCACCAGCACCAGCAGCAGAACCAGCAGCAGAACCAGAACCAGCAGCAGCAGCAGCAGCAGCGGGGAGGGTCAATGAGGGAGGCGGAGCAGAGGAGAAAGGTGTTTGTGGGGATTCTAGGCTCTCCAGACGCTCTCTCTGCCGATGAAATGCGTTCCTACTTTCTCAAGTGGGTGCCTTGCCGTGCCGTGCCTTGCCGTGCCGTGCCTTGCCTTGCCGTGCCGTGCCTTGCCGTGCCGTGCCGTGCCGTGCCGTGCCGTGCCTTGCCTTGCCTTGCCTTGCCGTGCCTTGCCTTGCCGTGCCTTGCCGTGCCGTGCCTTGCCTTGCCTTGCCTTGCCGTGCCGTGCCTTGCCGTGCCTTGCCGTGCCTTGCCTTGCCTTGCCTTGCCGTGCCTTGCCTTGCCGTGCCTTGCCGTGCCGTGCCTTGCCGTGCCTTGCCGTGCCTTGCCTTGCCTTGCCTTGCCGTGCCTTGCCTTGCCGTGCCGTGCCTTGCCGTGCCTTGCCGTGCCTTGCCTTGCCGTGCCTTGCCGTGCCTTGCCGTGCCGTGCCTTGCCTTGGCCCAATTGCTGCTTGCCGTTTCACTTCCCGCTCCTTCTCCTCCACTGGTCCCGACCGCTCCCTGACTCCCTCTCTCTCTCGTTCTCCTCTGTTTTCTTTTTGCTCCATGCATTTCTCTCCCTTCATCCTTCCCACTCTCCCTTTCCTCTCCCCCCATCCCCCCACTGTTCTGTTCTTCTCCCTCCCTGCACGGCAGGTACGGCCCTGTGGCGGACCTGTTCCATCCGCAGCCCAGCAGGGGCTTTGCCTTTGTGACCTTCCAAACAGAAGATGCTGCCCGCTCCGCTATGCAGGTGCGTGCATTATGCAGGTGCGTGCATTATGCAGGTGCGTGCATTATGCAGGTGCGTGCATTATGCAGGTGCGTGCATTATGCAGGTGCGTGCATTATGCAGGTGCGTGCATTACGCTGGTGCGTGCATTACGCAGGTGCGTGCATTATGCAGGTGCGTGCATTACGCAGGTGCGTGCATTATGCAGGTGCGTGCATTATGCAGGTGCGTGCATTATGCAGGTGCGTGCATTATGCAGGTGCGTGCATTATGCAGGTGCGTGCATTACGCAGGTGCGTGCATTATGCAGGTGCGTGCATTACGCAGGTGCGTGCATTATGCAGGTGCGTGCATTATGCAGGTGCGTGCATTATGCAGGTGCGTGCATTATGCAGGTGCGTGCATTATGCAGGTGCGTGCATTACGCAGGTGCGTGCATTATGCAGGTGCGTGCATTACGCAGGTGCGTGCATTATGCAGGTGCGTGCATTATGCAGGTGCGTGCATTATGCAGGTGCGTGCATTATGCAGGTGCGTGCATTATGCAGGTGCGTGCATTATGCAGGTGCGTGCATTATGCAGGTGCGTGCATTATGCAGGTGCGTGCATTATGCAGGTGCGTGCGCCATTTCAAGGTGTGTGTGGCTTGCCAGTGAGGTAGTGAGAGAGTGTGAGAGGGAGAAGGAAGGGGATCGAAAGGTTGAGAGGGAGGGAGAAGAAGGAGCAAGAGGCAGGAAGGGTTAGAGCCTCCATCCCCAGCATCAACGCTATCTCCTCCCTTTTCCACCTACCCTCCCAGCATCAACGCTATCTCCTCCCTTTTCCACCTACCCTCCCAGCACCAACGCTATCTCCTCTCTTTTCCACCTACCCTCCCAGCACCAACGCTATCTCCTCCTTTGTCGTCCTTCCCACGGAGACGCCTTCTGAGTCTACCCCCAAAAGGCCCTGGTTTTGAGACGTCTCAAAACGAGACGCCTTCTGAGTCGACCCCCAAAAGGACCTGCAACAATGCTCTCTCCTTCCCACAGAAGCGCCTTCTGAGTATCTGTGTACATATGCCCGTATGCTCTCTGGGTAAATGAGAGCGCATTGCTGCAGCTCCTTCAAAGAGTCAACTCAGAAGGCGGCTTTCTACAGGATCTGCCGCACCAGTGCCCTCTCCTCCTCCTACTCCCTTGCCCTCTGCTGCAGCTCCTTTAAAACCCGGGGTCCAAGAGTTTCTAAGTTAGGAAGGTTGCTAGGGGCAAGAAACGTGACTGGCTCGCGAAACAGGGTGTTGTCGAAATCGGTGATTGTGCGTCGCAAAGTATGAAAACCTCGCGAGTGTAACCAGATCTGGAATGCAACGTCAAAATTCGTTCGCAAATAGTATCGGATGGGCGCGAAATCTGTTTACGAAATCGTCACTGCTATCGCCCAGTAATTTCGCGTGGCGAAAATTTTCCCGAAGGGTTTCGAAGTTAGGAAGTTTGAGTCAGTATCTACTCGGTCACACCCAACCAAAGTTAGGAAGTTTGAGGCAGTTTTGGCCTGTTTGGGACTCCGGTTTTAAAGAGTCAACTCAAAAGGCGACTTTCTAAAGGATCTGCTGCACCAGTGCCCTCTCCTCCTCCTGCCTTGCCCTCGCCACACGTGGCGCTGTCTGTCTTCAGGGGAAGTAGCAGGTCATCGCAGCGGTGAGGATTCCACGTTCTTTCCTCCTCCCCTTCCTCCCTACAGGATCTGCTGCACCAGTGCCCTCTCCTCCTCCTCCCTTCCCCTCGCCACACGTGGTGCTGTCTGTCTTCAGGTGAATGAAGGAGCAGGTCATCGCAGCGGTGAGGATTCAATGTCCTGCTGTGCCAATGTTCTTCCTTCCTCCCCTTTCCCTCCGTGGCTGGCACTCGTTGGGTTGTTGTGCTGTCTGCAGGTGAAGGAGCAGGTCATTGCCGGGGTGCGGGTTCACGTCAAGCCGCCAGCGCCAAAGGCTTCATTTTTGGGTCGAGTCAACAGTCACCAGTCAGCTCTCGCTCCCTTGCCTTCACACCACATCTCATGCCGTCTGCAGGTGAAGGAGCAGGTCATTGCAGGGGTGCGGATTCACGTCAAGCCACCAGCGCCAAAGGCCTCGGCTGCCTCACACACGCAACAGTTCCAGCAGAACCAATACCAGCAGAACCAGTACCAGCAGAATCAGCTTCAGCAGCCACTGCTGCAGCGCCAGCTCTCCTCCTCGTCCTCGCCTTACTCCCCGAGGTCTGTCTGTCTGTCTGTTGTGTCCCTCCCAGTTTGACTCATGATGCCTGCCTGCCCTCCTTCCCTGCCTCTGCCTCTGCTTTCGCCCTTGGTCCCCACATGAAAGAGAACCTGTGGCTTCTTATTCGACTCATTCAAGTTTTGCTCCTTGTTATCCTGCCACCATCAGTTCTGTGCTTTCAGTGTGTTCTTCTTGTTTGTTTCTCGACCCTGTCTCTCTTTTCCCAGCTGCTTTCATGCATGCATGCATGCGTTCGTTCGTGCATGGATGCCTGCTCATTTGCCTTCTTCACATACATGAAGGAATAAAAAGCACTAGAGTTTTCACGGGCAGACTGTTGGAGGAAAAGGCATGCCTTCAAACCCGACTCTCTTTCTCTCTCTATCTCTCCCTCCACCTCCCCCTCCACCTCCCCCTCCACCTCCCCCTCCACCTCCCCCTCCCCCTCCCCTCTGTCCAACGCCCTCCTGCGTGTGCCCCTCTTCTTTTGAGGCGCCTCAAGAGGTTAAAGGCATGCCTTCAATCAAACCCGACTCTCTTTCTCTCTCTCTCCCTCCCTCCCCCTCCCCTCTGTCCAATGCCCTCATGCATGTGCCCCTCTTCTGCTGCTGCCAGTGCAGCGACGGCGGCGGCGGCGGCAGCTGCTGCGGCTATGGGCATGCCGGGCTCATTTGGAGGTGAGCCGCATTGGGGTGTGTGTGTGGGTGTGTGTGTGGGTGAGTGTGTGTGTGTGTGTGTCCTGGCTTAAGAAAGTCAAGTCTGTGGCTGTGGGCATGCCTCGCGTGTTTGTCAATGAGGTGCGTTGGGGTGTGTGTGTATGCGTGCGATGGTTCAAGACAGATGGCACACCTCACAAGTCTGCCGCGATGGGCATGCCGTGCGTGTTGGTCGATGAGGCTCACAAGTCTGTGTGTTGGAGTGTGCTGGGATTTGTTTGTGTGTGTTGGAGTGTGTTGGGATTTGTTTGTGTGTGTTGGAGTCGCTGCTGCTGAGGCACCCGCGCCGTCAAACTTGTAGTCCCGCTCTCCTCGTCTCCCGTATCCCTTTCCTGGGCCCAGCAGCTCTAGGCCCAGCAGCTCTAGGCCCAGCAGCTCTAGGCCCAGCATCCCTGGGTACGGTCGCAGTTTTTTAGTCGACTAGAAACCTTCAGCCGCCACCCTCCTCCTCTTCCCCTCCCTGTCCACTGCATCATCCATGCAAGCGAGCACTGGTCCTCTTGCATGAATCCGCTCCGCATGAATCCGCTCCTCCCGTCTTCCCCTCCCTGTCCACTGCACTGCACCCCCATACAAGCAGCGTTCTTGGACCCGGCGTCCCTGGGTGGTGCGGGAGCGTCCCCCTTGGGTGCGCCGCTGCCCAGCATGCAGCAGCTGCAGCTGGCCACACAGGCCATGCAGCTACAGGCGCAGATGGCCCAGCTACACATGCACCAGCAGCACTCCCTGCAGCAGCAGCAGCAGCAGCAGCAGCAGCAGCAGTACCTGCCTCACCTGCAGCAGCAGCGGAAGGAGGAGGAGGACAAAGAGAAGGAGGGGGAGGGGGAGAAGGAAAAGGGAAAGGTGGAGAAGGAGGGTGGGAAGGAGGAACGGGAGCACGAAGGGGAGGAGGAGGGGCTGCAAGGAGAGCGGGATAAGGCGGGGGGGTTAGAAGACGGAGAGGAGAAGGGTGAGGAGGAAGCAGGGGGCGAGCGTGGATTTGGAAATGATATTTCGGCCCATGGGCAGGGGAGCGAAATTAAGGGCTCTAGCGACGAGGGGCAACGAGAGGAGCAGCAGCAACAGCAGCAGCAGCTGCTACTTCAGCAGCAGCACCAGCAGCAGCAGCAGGAGCTGCAGCAACTACTGCTCCAAGCACAGTCGCTCCAGAACCCCCTACCCAACCTCCCTCTCTCTTCCAACCCTCTCACGTCGCCCTTCTCGCCCCTGCCTCTGCCTTTGGCATTCAACCCTATGCTTAACCCAGCTGCTGCAATGGCTGCATTGGGAGGTTACCCTCCAATTCCGGGGCTAGACATGTCGTTGTTTCCAGGCTTAGGGAACATGATGGGGGATGGAAACCTGGGCATGGGGATGGGGATGGGGATGGGGATGGGGATGGGCATGGGAATGGGAATGGGAATGGGCATGGGCATGGGTGGCATGGGTGGTATGGGTGGTATGGGTGGCATGGGCGGTATGGGCGGCATGGGCGGCATGGGTGGTATGGGCGGTATGGGTAGCATGGGTAGCATTGGCAGCATTGGCAGCATGGGTAGTCTGGGTAGTATGGGCGGAATGGGCGGTATGGGTGGTATGAGTGGTATGGAAGGCATGGGAAGCATGGGGAGCATGGGGAGCATGGGCGGGCTTGGGGGACAGCTGGGAGCGTCGCCATTAGTGGGGCAGCAACCGGCATCGCTGCCAGGGCCTTCTCTCTTTATAAGCAACCTGCACTACAGTGTCACAGTGCAGGTGCGTTTTTGGGGCATGCACTTGGATGGGTGTGAGTGCGTGTGGGTGCGTGCATGCGTGCGTGCGTGCGTGCGTGCGTGCGTGCGTGCGTGCGTGCGTGCGTGCGTGCGTGCGTGCGTGCGTGCGTGCGTGCGTGCGTGCGTGCGTGCGTGCGTGCGTGCGTGTCGTTTGTGTGATTGTACCACGACTCTGGTTAAGGGGTTGGGGTGAAGGGGTCTACCCTCTCTGCTTAGCAAATACTTCTCGTGGGGAGCTCAAGCACAGTGGACTAGCATGCTTGTTCTGTTGTCTGACTGTGTGGCTGTGTCCGTCCCTCTGTGTGTCTGTATGTCTGTGTGTCGCTGTGTCGCTGTGTGTCTGTATGTGTGCATGCATGTGCACCAGGACCTGACGGAGTATTTCATGGTGCATGGTGCGGTGCTAGGAGTGGACATGTTTCGAGACGAAAAGGGGCGATCCAGAGTAAACTCCCTACCTCCCTACCTCCCTCCCTACCCAAGCCGACACGCCGACACGCCATGTTATCGTCTCACCATCACCTAGCTCCTTTCCACAATATTTGACACAGCAAAAGCTATGGTTTCCTTACAGCTACCATAAAAGTTGCTGCTATTTCTACTGCCCAGCCGTTCCGCCTTCCCCTTCCTTCCTCTGTGTGTGTGTGGCTGTGCCGGCCTGTGCGCGCTCATGCCTGTGTGTGCGTGTCCGTGCCTGCGTCTGTGCATACGTGTGTATGCGAATGTGTGTGAATGTGTGCACCACAGGGCAAGGCGTGCATTCATTTCTCCAGTAGCACGGAAGCTGCCAGAGCGGTGAGTCCCCTCTGCCCCCATTCCCCCGTATCCTCCCTCTCTCCCACCTCTCCTCGTGCCTCGCGTCCCCATTTTCAAGGTGCCTCAATAATCCTCTCCTCCACCTCCTTTCATGCCTTGCGTCTATTCCCCCTATGTGTGGAAGTCTGGCAGTCGAAGCACTTCCCAGTCTGCTGTTATCCCCTTCCGTATTCACCTTTCAGTCGTGCCTTCTCACCTCTCTTCACCCCTCCTCACTTCTTGCCACCTATCCCCACCTCTCCCCCCCTCTTCCCACCTCTCCCCGCGTCCCCCCACCGCCTCCCACCATGCTGCGCATGCATCGACCCCAGCTCGCAGCCACCAACGGCAAGCCTTTCAGGGGGCGTCTGCTGGTAGTTAGGGAGGACAGTGGCGGCCGCACTGCTGCCTCTGCTTCTACCTCTGCCTCTGCCTCTGCCTCTGCCTCCTCTCTCTCCGCCGCTGCCTCGTCTGCCACGGGCTGACTGCTTGCACCTCGCGTCTTGCACCCTGCACTGTGGGGAAAAATGTAGAACCATCGGTGCTGCATGGTGGTGGTTCTCGACCTTTTCAACTTGCGCGACTCGTCGCTACAGTACTTGTCTCATGCGATCTGGTGCCAATAAACGTTCCTAGGCAACCTGGGGGGAAAGCCGGACCGCGTGACAAACTGGCTCAAGGACGTAAAATCTCCGTAATCGCTTCATAACTTTCCCAAACAGATGAAAACGTTGACAACGCTTATTACGACAACACAAAGTGAGCAACTAAAGCACTCATGCAAAAAGCTGCTTAGTAGAGCAGCATAAGAGCACCTCTCTGGTGTTGGGGCAACACGCAGGTTTATAATGGAATTGCCGACTGTATTTGTCACCCAAGTAGGGTGTATTTTTCAGTGTAGTGCAGCAGTCCTCCACCATCCTCCACGGTGTATCCGCGTTGCGCTGTAACACGCTGCTCACTTGCAAGTACCTCCAATTCCGATTAGTGTCTCCCAGTATTTTTTACCCCATATCGCAGCTCATCAAATGGCCACTGGTTCCCCTCCACCCACGGCACCACACGAATCCGCAGCACTGGTGCGGGGGAGGAACACCCCCGTGCCCGATGACCCTTCCGCCGCCATTGCAGACGCAGCAGCCCCAGCAACCCCCCCTACACCCGCCAACTTTTCCGCCTTCCCGCCGCTCCGCGGAGCCCCTCCGTTGCCGGGCTTTCCCGCAAGTCCAGTCCCGGGGAATGGACGGCAAGGGAACGCGAGATGCGGGGGTAGGTGGACGCGAACGGAGGATAGGGTTAGGGGATGGACGGGCATGGTCATTGGCATAGCCATGGCAACAGGCATATGCATGTGCGCGTGGTGATGATGCATTGCCATGGGTGGGTGGTTGGGACCAGGCATTGGCATACCGAGCATGCCCATGGGCATGCCCATGTGAACAGGGACATGCATAGGCGCGGGAATGAGGGGGTGGCGGAAGTTGTTGCGTGCGCATGCGCCAATGGGCGGGAGCACGGAGCCAGACGCAGGCCATGCGCGGAAAGGCTGTGGCTGCTGGTGCTGATGCGGAAAGCCGGTGGGCGAAGGGTGGGGAGCGGACGGACCCCGGGAAGGCACCGATCGGGGGAGATGGTGCGCGGCTGGGCGCTGATGGTTGCGCGCATTGGCGGAAGACACAGGGCTGCGGGAACTTGCGCAGGCGTCTCCGGGGAACTGGGTCTGTCCGTGGTTTAAACTATTCTGGGTGGGGCTGTTGCGGGCGCGGAGGTTGCACCGCCCGGAAGGAGAGTGCGCGGTTGCGTGGCTCCAGGCAGGCGGAAGAGGATCATTGCGCGGGATTGGCGGGGCGCCAGATTTGCGAGGCGGAGGAGTAGCGAATGGAGATCGAGGGCACGGCGTCGCCTGTCGTGACCAAGGTGCAGAAGTTCCGGCCGCCACCGCCGCCGCCGCCGCCGCCGCCGCCGTGGCTATCGCGTCCGCGTCCCCTTCCGCCCACGCATCGTCCCACGCGATGGGCAGCATGAGCAGCGCGTCTTCTTCCGCCTCTACCTCCGCCATCTCACCCAACGATGTGGACAGCGACAATACCAGCGGCGCGGGTAGCACGGACATGGGCGACACGGCCCCCGAAGTGCACGACCGGGGGGATCCCGCATCTGGCGGCGAGAACCGCGGCGGAGATTGGGGAATGCTGTCGCCCACGAAAGAGCTCTGCCGGCTTAGACCAGAGAGCGAGTCGCGAAGAAGAATGTCGGACTCGTCAGAGCTTGAGAAGAGATCGCATCGAGTGGCGAAGCTATCACCGTCGGACGAATCACCTTCCGCCTCAACGTTACTGTCGCTGCAGCCGCTCTCCTCTCCCTCACCTTCTGTACCCTCAGTGCTGTCCCAACCCAGAGCGTGCCGCACTCCCGCCAGCTCGTCGTCACGTCCGAGCGCGGTTCGGCGCTTCGTCTTGCAGCAGTTCGCGTCGTCCGTCCACGAGCCGCGGTGCGGGGGGGGGCTCGCAGCGGGGAAAGCGGCGGCTCCCTTTCCGAATCCTGGTGACTGTCCCCACACCGCGTCGCCTCCAAAGTCGTTTGGCAGGAACAGCGGCACGGCGGCAGGGCTGCCGCGTGGCTTGACGGCCACACGAAGCCGACGCGGTGTGCCGTGGCACGAAGTGGAGAGCGACTCCTCGTTTGTGCTACAGTCAGCGGAGGCTGGTGTGTGGGCTGTTGCTTGAGACGATTCGCATATGGAATCCAGATCTACAACACTAATGCTGCTGCCGCTTCTACGGCTTTTGCTTCTGTCAATACTGCTGCTTCGCGTCTTTGATTGGATTGTGTCGATCGTTCTCTCGCGGAGGGGAGACTCGTCGCCGAGGCTGCCGTGAGACCCACCGCATTGGCCGTCGTCGAGTGAAGCGTCGCACAGACACAGCTTTGCGACCCATTCGGCGACAAACCCGGCCGTTGCTGGCCCATTTCCCGCTTGAAATTCGTCAGCCATGGCGTGTGGCGCAGCTCAGGACTTTGCAGGAAGTATAATCTCTATGGAACGCACGCTTTGCAAGGCGACTAGATCAGTGAAAGTATACTGAAAGGAAGGTTTCCTTTCGTAGTCTAATGCGTAATTTGCGGTCTTGGAATATAGTTATAGTTTGCCTCACAGAGGGGCTAGCTAGGCACAGGGCTCTGAGACTATGCCGACAGAGAAGTGGGAACGAGAGTTGCTGCCAAATTCGTGTTTGGGATGAATTCGACGATGGTTTAAGTACGGGCGTCGGTGGATGTGGAAGAATTGCGTGCGCCGTGCCGTGCTGTGCCGTGGCGTGCCAGGAAGTGGTGCAGGCTGGGATCAGAAAGGTTGGTCAGTGGTCGCCAGGCAGATTGTTGGCACACTTGCGGCTGCGGATGATGGGAAGACTTTGCGCCTGTCAGCGAACCAATCAGAGCAGGCGCAGATGCGCGCGACTCGGTGCATCGCCCGCATCGCAACCCATACCACGCGACATTCGCAACCTCTGCGAGTCGCACGCTCGTCGCCTTGGAAAAAAGGGGAACATTCGCGTGGCAGGAAGGAATGAGGATGGTTGGCCTGGATTCACTAAGAGTAAAAGATTGGAGGGAGGCGGAGGAACTTGGGGAAAGGGGGGGGAATTCCAGAGCGGGATATTTCCGTCCGTACGGGGAGGAATCGGAGCAGGGGAAGGAAGGGAAGCGAGGGAAGTCGAGTCAGGCTGGGGGCTAGGTGGAGGGAAGAAGGCATGGATGGTGATGGTGGTGCCCGCAAGACAGCCATGTGTCGGCGAAAACATGCATGGTGGAACTGTCAGCAGCATGCCACTGGGCGCTCATCTGCGCTGGTCCATTTCTAAGGAAAATGTTTACCGACTGCGCGGTCTTGGCTTGGCCTCTGCAAAATGGCAGAGGTGTCTAACACTTTTGGAGGGGCAACCTGGCGGGGTTTGGTACGCGCGCAAGTCTGCGCCCTCTGTCATCCTCGTTTGGTGAACTGGATATCAAAAAGTGCAACAGACTTCGGCCAGCTTTGGCCATTTCCTGTCGTCGCGCCTCCTCCAACCAAATATCCAAACCATCCCAAGCTTTAGTGTACCGTACTCCCTCTCTCCATGCCTCATCTAGCCCCCGCAACCATACCAAACCAACTGGTCGGTCCAGGCAGAACTTCATTTGGCGGCATCGCCCATAGTTCCCACCACGCTGGCGGCTGTTTGATTCGTCATTCATCTGACGCTGCGATGCTGCGACACTGGGATGCTGCGACGGTGGGCGCATCAATGCCGTCGCAGAAAACCCTGACACAATCGCGCAGGTGCAACAGCCAGTCGCGCGAACTGTGCTAAGAAACCCTCAAGAAGGTTCTTACCAGGCACCAAGCTCCTCCACAAGGATCTTCACGAGTTTGTCATAACAACCCGACCAGAAAGACGTAAAGATGCAAGATGTCATAGGAATCGTAGTGATGCTGAAGAAAATAAAACATAATTGGATGATCGGTATTTACATAACCTATCCATGGATTCCGTGGCTGTAAGGTTGATGTAATGTCCTCTTGATTTAAACACGTAATGACACGTTATGCTTGACACCCATCAAAGGTGCTGCATCCATTTATACCCAAGCTTCATTTGCACCATGTTCCCATTTTATTCCCATACCGGTAACATAGACACACATGTTCATGCAGCCTGTTTGCGTACATCTCAACTGGTCAGAAACTAGAGTACAGAAACTCCTAATTTTTCCCGCAATTGGCCAGCCATCCATCCCTTACCGTCCCAGCAGCACACCATCACATCATCGAGCAAGCGCCTTTTCAAATGCCTGCTGGAAGGCTGCGGTTTCCTGCAACAAGCACAGCAATCCAGTAAAGCGATAATACAGCTACATAAGGATACATGAACTCCATAGGAACAAGTTAGCGAGAGGCTAATATAATTCAGGCACAACTGGAAAGGAGGATCACAAGCATAGAAGAGCTGTAACCACTACCTTATAAGAGAGGAGAAACGGCTGGTTTCGTCCTCTGTTTGGTTAACTAAAAAAATCCCATAAACGGGGTTTTGCTGGGAGAGAGAAAGAAGTACCTGGCAGCCCGCGATACTAAACTTGCTGTCGACAAGAAAGAAGGGAACCCCAGTGATCCTCAGCTTGTCCTTTCCGTACGCATCGTCCTCCAGCACCTCCCGCTTTCCCTCTTCCGATTCCTGCTTTTGGGCCGCCTCAACGCACACACAGGCACGTGCACACACACGCAGGCAGCATGCATACACATTTACAGACAAATGAAAACATGCAACCGGTGCAAGTACGTGCTCAAGAAAAAAAAACGATAGAAACACAGAAACACATCCATACACATGCAAGTTCATGCACGGTCATGGGATAAGATATTTCCATGCGCTCGGATCCCATCGCATATCCTAGCCTCTCCACAGCCATCCATGGCCATGCATGGCCAGGCACGTAAGAACATGTTCTTGGAATCCCAACAGACACCCCTGTGGAGCCTAGCAGCACAGCACGTACGAAGTAGGCGGGAGAGTCGATGTGAAAGAGGCCGAGGTCAGCAGCAGCAGCAGCCAGCTCGGAGGCGTCAGACACGTTGCGTCCCTCCTCGTACGTCATCTCAAACAGCCGCTGCTTCGCTGCACTCCCCTTTCCCTGCTGCGTTGCTGCATGCACCAACCTGCCCCACCTCCTCGCCACACATACCATGCCCATGCACATGCACCACAGACATGCCCATGGGCCATGAGCCATGCACATGCACATGCGCATGCATATCCATATCCACATGCACATGAACACGCACATGCCCATGCCAAGTCGACAACCATACCATACTAGGCGTCATTGTACGCCATGCCATGCCATGCCATGCCATGCCATGCTCTCACGATATCCAGTCATGCATCCAAGAAGCAGACGAAACAAAGTCAGGGTAAGCAGGGCAAGGCGAGGCTACACACAAGAGTCAAGGTCTCACTACACAGAAGATTGGTTCTGTGCAGGGGAGTTCGTGCCGGGTGTGCGGCTTTTGAGACGTCTCAAAACAAGCCAAGGCGAGGCTACACACAAGAGTCAAGGTCACGGTACGGTACACAGACGATTGGTTCTGTGCAGCTGAGTGCGTGCAGGGTGTGTGCGGCACCTGTGTGCGTTGAGGGTGTGTGCGGCACCTGTGTGCGTTGAGGGTGTGTGCGGCACCTGTGTGCGTTGAGGGTGTGCGGCCACCACTGCCAGTCCGCGAATTTGAGCCCGCTACGAGCACCCGAGCTGCAGAGATACGAGGCAGAGATGCGTGGAGAGGGGTAAGGGAAGGAGGCAGCATGTGCAGCAGGAGAGGATGAATTGCGAAAGGAACGAGAGGGCCAACAAAGAGGGGTCAGCACAGAGGCAGACGCAGAGGCAGACGCAGAGGCAGACGCAGAGGCAGACACAGAGGCAGACACAGAGGCAGACACAGAGGCAGACACAGAGGCAGACACAGAGGCAGACACAGAGGCAGACACAGAGGCAGACACAGAGGCAGACACAGAGGCAGACACAGAGGCAGACACAGAGGCAGACACAGAGGCAGACACAGAGGCAGACACAGAGGCAGACACAGAGGCAGACACAGAGGCAGACACAGAGGCAGACACAGAGGCAGACGCAGAGGCAGACACAGAGGCAGACACAGAGGCAGACACAGAGGCAGACACAGAGGCAGACACAGAGGCAGACACAGAGGCAGACACAGAGGCAGACACAGAGGCAGACGCAGAGGCAGACACAGAGGCAGACACAGAGGCAGACACAGAGGCAGAGGGTGATGGTGCGGGTGAGGGTGGGCGCTGACCGTCTGAGGGAGGTGGTCCAGCCGTCGCCCCCCCAACGCCTCTGGTTGTATGCCAGGTACGGCTCCCCCTGGCGCTTGGTGCGCGGGTCTATCATGTACGCGTGCCTGCACACACATGCGTGGGCAAGCATGGGTAGGTAGGGCGAGCGTACGGGGTGCCTTTTGAAGCACTGTGACAGCACGGCTCCCCCTGGCGCACTTTGTGCGCGGGTCTATCATGTACGCGTGCCTGCATGCAAACGTGCAAGCATGGGTAGGTAGGGCGGAAGGGGTGTCGTGTCGTTTTGAGGCGCCTCAGAAGCATGGCTTTCCCCTGCCGCTTGCTGTGCATGCACAGTCCAGGGCAGCACACGACATGGGAGGAGCAGGAGGAGGAGGAGCAGGAGGAGGAGGAGGAGGAGGAGGAGGAGGAGGAGGAGGAGGAGGAGGAGGAGGAGGAGGAGGAGGAGGAGGAGGAGGAGGAGGAGCAGGAGGAGGAGGAGGAGGAGGAGGAGGAGGAGGAGGAGGAGGAGGAGGAGGAGGAGGAGGAGGAGGAGGAGGAGGAGGAGCAGGAGGAGGAGGAGGAGGAGGAGGAGGAGGAGGAGGAGGAGGAGGAGGAGGAGGAGGAGGAGGAGGAGGAGGAGGAGGAGGAGGAGGAGGTGGAGGAGGAGGAGGAGCAGGAGGAGGATGAGGAGGAGGAGGAGGAGGAGGAGGAGGAGGAGGAGGAGGAGGAGGAGGAGGAGGAGGAGGAGGAGGAGGAGGAGGAACGGCGGGAGTAGGAAGGGGTGGGGGAGGAGGAACGGGGGGAGTGGATATGGGGGGAGGAGAACTGGTGGTTCCCCCCACCTGCACCTTTCCCCTTCCCCCTTCTCCCTTCCGCGCGCACGCCTTGCATCTCTTCCCCCCATCATTCCCCCACCATCCCCCCACCCCCCTCACCACGTCACCTGCACCGTCACCGCCTGTCCGTTCACCGGCGCTGCTTCCACCGCCGCAATCGCCGCGTCAAGCCGCGCCTGGTGGCGCGCGCACCGAGGGGGAAGGTTGCGCGCGGAGGGGGAGGAGGGAGGGGAAGCGGGGGAGTTGGGGGGTCGTTAAGGGAGGTGAGGGGGGAAACGTCGAGGAACATTGTGTGAATCGTAGTTGTGGTCAGGGAAAGAGAAGCGAATGTCAAGTGTTAAAAGTCCAAGCAGTCCGAGCATTCGAGGCATTCCATGGCTCCGCGCGGGAGGAGGCGCGGGAAGAGACGCAAAGGAATTTTGGTGAAACTTCGACCTTCCTCGCCTCGATCCTTCCACGTCTACGCTACTCCCGCTCAGCGACAGAGGCAGCGGCGGCGGCGGCGGCGGCAGCTAACCGAGGCGCATTGCCGGGCGCGCCTCACCTTACCGACGTAGCACCAGGGGCACGCAATGTCGCTCCAGACGTCCACGGGAAGAACGCGCAAGACAGGCGGGGGGTGAGCGGCCATGGCGACGCGATACGAGAGACGAGAGGACGAGAAACGCGAGACGGGGGACAAGAAGTTGTAGTGAAGGTTACAGGCCTGGCCGGCAAATGTGCTATCGGAGCAGCTATTTTCGGAATGACATGCGGCTATTTTCAGGACGTCAGCAGCAGCACTTGTCGGTGGGGGAAGGGAAGGGAAGGGAGTGGAGGTTGCTTTTGGCTTTCGGTGCCACTGATCCTCAAGTGGTGCTACTGCGTGACTCGTTCGAAGCAAATAAATTTTGTACAGTGCGTAACCTGCGGTTAAAGGAAATTTAACATGTGTTTAACTTTCATGTTAGACCATCCCCTCACCCATGTGTGCTGTGAGAGGCAGTAGGGGGAGGAAAAATGTGGGGTGTGTGAAGGGGTTGTTTAAGAACAGGATTCCCTGGACGTGCCTAACCCTAACCCCTGTGTGACGACTAGTAGTTTCTTTTCTTCTTTTTCTGGAGCGCACTTGCACGCCCTAACCAACATTCCATAGCGCCACATACATTGTCCCTTCCACGCCAAGTTCATCCAATTCTCCAACCTACCTAACCCAAAACCTTCCCAACCCTCTTCGCCACCCCTCCCTTGTCCATCACAGATGGCCCCTCCCCCCATCCCCACCCGCCTACCCCATCCCCTCCCTTTTTTTTGCGTCAACTCAGGATTCTTAGTCGGATAACTTATAAAAAAATCTACCCCTCCCGTTTCCACGGCAGCTGCCCCCTCCCACCATCATCCCCACCCCCCTCTCCTCTCCCCTCCCCTTCCTCCTCCACCTCAAACCCCTCCAAAGCCAGCAGGTCTGCCACGAGACGCTTCTTGGCAGCTTCCTCGGCGCGGCGGCGCTCCAGGTCGCGCTTCTTGAGCACGAGTGACTGGCGCTTGATCACCGTCGCTGCTGCCTCCATGGCTGCTGCTCGCTCCCGTGCCAGAATCCTCCTCTCGTCCGGGTCCGACTGGGGGATTGGGGGGTGGGGCGGGGCGAAGGCGAGGGGGGGCGTGGGTGCAATTGAGAGCGAGATGGTGAGAGTGAGGGGTTGGGGAGTGAAAGGGGGGGGGAAGCGAGGGGGTGGGAGTGTGGAGGTGGGGAGTGAGAGGGTGGGGAGTCAGAGGTGGGAGTGAGAGGGTGGGGATTGGAGGCTGCTAGCTGATCGTTCCAGGTCGCGCTTCTTGAGCACGAGTGACTGGCGCTTGATCACCGTCGCTGCTGCCTCCATGGCTGCTGCTCGCTCCCGCGCCAAAATCCTCCTCTCGTCCGGGTCCGACTGGGGGGTTGTGGGGGAAAGTGTGTGTGTGGGAGCGGCAGGGAGAGTGGGGGGACGGGAAAGCGGATCGGGGGAGGAAGGGAGGGCGTTGGGGGGTGGGGGTTGAAGAGAATGGGGAGAAAATGGAAGAGGATGCTAGTGGATAATCTGGACAGGACCAGTAAAAGGGAGAGCCTTGTCTAAACACAGGGCCTTTACTGAAAGAAAGACAGAAAGCAAATAACGTGGGCATGTCATTGCATTGCGGGTGCATTGCGTGACAGAATAGCTGCGGGCACAAGCAGGCGCAAGCAAGGCAACCTTGTCCTTGGAGAGCTGTCTGGCGCGCAGGTTGAGCCAATCAAAATGCTTGCTTGCTATGTTTTATTCAGGACCAGCTATCCAGATATTCGGCCTCAAGCAAGCAGGCAGGCGGGCGGGCACAAGCAGGCGCAAGCAAGGCAACCTTGTCCTTGAGGTGTATTTTGAGGCGCCTCAAAATACACCTCAAAATACACCTTTTGAGGCGCCTCAAAATACGCCTCAAAATACACCTTTTGAGGCGCCTCAAAATACACCACAAGCAGGCGCAAGCAAGGCAACCTTGTCCTTGGAGAGCTGTCTGGCGCGCAGGTTGAGCTCGCGCTGCTGCTGCTCTGCCCATGCCGACATGGCCATGTCCCCCCGCTGGTCAAACGCCTTCCTCTTGCGCCGCACCCACTCCACCCACGCCTTGCTCGCCTGGTGGTGGCGCCACACGGGGAAGAGGGATTTGGGGCGGCGGCGGAGACGAAGGGAGCGGGGAGGAGAGTGGGCAGGGAGTTTTGAGATGTGTCTCAGCAAGGTTTGTGAGGCGTGTGAATGGAAGAGAACAGAATAGAAATTAATAGTAGACATGCGCGCACCTTCATGGGGTCGACCCGGTTGTCCATGTCGTACTGCCTGCGCTCGTCCCGGTCCATGAGCAGCTCGTACGCTGCCTGTATGCGGATGAACTATTGAGTCAACTCAAGAGTCAGCACGCACGCACCTTCATGGGATCCACTCTGTTGTCTATGTCGTACTGCCGGCGCTCATCCCGGTCCATAAGAAGCTCAGACACTGCCTGTATGCGGATGAACGTTTGAGTAGACTCAAAACTCAGCACGCACCTTCATGGGGTCGACCCTGTTGTCCATGTCATACTGCCGGCGCTCGTCCCGGTCCATGAGCAGCTCGTATGCTGCCTGGATGCGGATGAACCGCGCCTCCGCCGTCTCCCCCTCCCCCTCCGCGCCCCCCTGCGCCTCCGCCTCCCCCCCCGCCTCCCCCTCATCCCCGCTGCCGCTCGAAGCATTGTACACTGTGTTGACAAGTTAGCAGCAAACGGACAGGGAGTGGGAAGGGTGAGGGGGAAGGGGTTATGTGCGGGGATGCCGAATAGAGAGGGGAGGGGGGGCAGGGTCATACGAGGTGCTACTAGGCGGGTAGGTAGTGACGGGGCATAACAGATGCTTGATGGGGAAATATGGATTGGGAAATATGGAGTATCTGGTTCTCCCTGCTCGCCTCTGACACTTGTCATGCTGCAGGAGTGCGACACACTGCCACCTGAGGACCCCCCAGTGCCACCACCCACCCACCCCAACTCGCCTCCCGCTCCCCCCCCCCCCCTCACACACACACACACGCACACACACACACACACACACACACACACACACACACTCACACACCATCGGGATGGAACCGCTTCACGAGCCGTCTGTAGGCCGACTTGATCTCGTTCTCTCCCGCGTCACGCTCGATTCCTGCCACACACACACGCCACGTGGATGCACCCGCCCGGCAGAATCGACGTGGCACGCGAAGCAACATGGGAGATGAGGAGGAGACGCAAGGGGGTAAGAGAAATCGTCAGCACTGGAAAAAAAGAGACCACAGAGGGCAGGGCAGAAGACGTACGAATGCTGCTGCAGCGGAATTTTCTATTGCATTCCGAAACAATTACTCACAACAATCACACCATGACTCACACACCAAAACTCACACACCAAAACTCACACACCAAAACTCACACACCGAGAGTCTCATAGGGGGACTGGTCCGAGGTCCACCCCTTGTTGCTGCCCGCCCGACACACCACCGAAGGATACCGAACCGAGACTTTCTCCGTGTTTGGAAGACCGAAAGCTCTCGACGCGCCAAAAATCTGGTGATTCTGAAAAATTACTCTCGTAGAGCAAAGATTGTGCGAGGTCTCCCTGAAGAATGAGCTCTTAGGAGCGTGTTTCTGAGGAGAATTAACTGCGACTGCTACCGACGATGTCACTGGCACCTTGCTCCGTGAGAATGATAATCTCGCTGGTTCGGCAGCAGCAGCCATTGGATGGAATCTGCACCGCTCGTCCGTGCATTGCGGCGTCCGGAGCGGCGGGTTAGCCCGCAACGCCGCCGCCATTGCTGAGTTTATTCCGCGGATTGATATCGCAATAAGGAGAGGCGCAATGCGAGCAAAACGAGAGTAGTCGTTCAGACGATATAAATTAGACGGACGGGGTCCGCCATGGACCGTCAGCAACGGACCAGAGGCAGCCTGACCGCCAATGGCCAGTGAACAGGCAGGCAGGCACCCAAGGCGACTCAAGGGTGATGAGATGAACAACTCACAACTCCCTAGGCCAGCCAACGACAGATGGACGTGGACGTCACGTGACGACGAACCCAGGTTTGGTTGGTTGTGTGTACAGTAAAGAGACGCACTGTACTGTATCTTGAACCGAACTGCCTTGGATTCAGTTCTGACCTCCTGTGTGCTGGAGGCGGTCGTTTCATTTACGGTAATAACGGGGATTTTGAAGAGGTTTGGTGACTCAACCGCTTTAGAAACCGCATAGTCACACTAAACCTTAAGAGTTACTACAAGCTCTGTAGCCTCTAGTGTTCCACCAAACCACACACTGACACGAAGTTTTGACCAAAACGAAACGAGCCCTTGCTGAACCTTCAGTATCGACGCCTGTGGTGGAACGATTGCAGCTTGTGAAGGAGCTCGCTCCTTGGGTTTTCCGAACTGAATCAGCTGGGCAGATTCCTGGAAATGCAACCTACAAACTGGGAAACATCCGTTCAAGAAGTGAAATGATCCTTATCGAACAAAAGAAACACCCCACCACCACCCTTCAAACCCTGACTAACAACAGCCAAGTTTAGTTAGTTGACACACCATTCTCTCCTAAAGTTACATCAGTGCATCGCCGCTGTTCATCCACCTTCCACACCCTTTCCCCCCCTCCCCCCTCCCCCCTTTCCACCCCTCACGCCTCCACCTTAGCTTTCTCGACTTCCCCACCACCGCTCACGATGCTCCACTCACCCTCGTCCAAGCCACTCCCATCACCACTCCCTCCATCCTTCCCTTCACGCACAGGTGAAGCTGAAACACCACACACCTCAGACCCCCCAGCTCCCTCAGGCCTCTCAGGCCCCTCGTGTGAATCTCCACCAGCCACGGGCAACCCAGCAGTGGAACCACCGTCCACCACTCCTAACTCCCTGGCACCGTCATCCTGCCCTGGTCTCTGCACATGTCCCTCACTCCCTGTTCCCCCCTCCTCCTCTGCTCCCCGCTGAGCTTCCATCTCTGCATTTCCCTCTCCGCCACCCCCTCCATTCGCTCCTCCTCCCCCCTCAATGCTTTCACCCACTTCATCCAGTTCCCCATCATCTGTGCTCCACCCATCATGCGACCCCATTGCATGTCTCACCTCCTCCTCCCCTTTGTCTCCTTCCGGCCCCCCACCTCCCACCAACCGCCCCTGCTGCTCTCCACTGCATGCATCCATCCCTTCTCCCAGCCATTCTGCAGCATGGCCTGCAGAATCAGGAGTAGTGACCGCACCAGCAGCGGCAGCGGCAATGGCAGCAGAAGCAGCAGCATCAACATCATCAGCACCAGCACCAGCATCAGCAGCGGCGGCGGCGGCAGCAGCAACAGCAGAAGCAGCAGAAAAAGACCCAGTTGTTCTCACAGCAGCGAGTTTAGGTGCCCGGCGCCCCACACTCCGCCCTCGCCTCAACCCCCTCCTCCCATCACCACCCACAGTCGCACCAGTTGGAGACGACACACTACTAGACGCCCTGGACGGTTCTGACGACCCCCCACCCTCACCTGCACCCCTATCCCCACCACCACCTGCACCTCCCACACCACTCTCACCACCGCTTGCGAACCCCCCTATTCCGCCACTGCCACTGCCACTTTGCTCATGGTAGTGCTGCTGCTGCGGGTGGGGGTGGGAGTGTTGGTGGTGCTGCTGCTGCGGCTGCTGCTGGGTGGCAGCGGGAGCTTGGTTGAGGTGGCGGCAGTGGGGGCAGATGTAGGTGATGTAGGGGAAGTCCTCCTTGCGCGCCAAGCCTGGGGAACACACACGAAAGGTGGCGGGGTGGGGGGTGGGGGGAGGTTTTGAGGGCGGGAGCAGAGGGGGAATGGTGAGACAAGAAGAAGGCAAGTCACTGCCACGCACACCACTGCCACTCGCACTGCTACACCTGCACTGCTACATCGCACTGCTACCATTTGCAGGTATCAGATGTAGAAAACATGGCCTGTTTTGCCACGCACCGTTGTGGCTGAAGCACTTGTGGCAGATGAGCGCATAGCACTGAGTGGCATCCTCCCCCACCAGCATCGCTGCTATCCTCGCCATCCACCCCTCCTCCGACGCCCTTCCTGTCCTCCTCGCCCCTGCTCCACTCCCCCCACCCCCCCAACCACCTCCACCAACACCGCCAGCACCACCAAAACCCCCACCAGCAGCAGCAGTAGCCGCCATTCCCATCCCGGGACCTGACATCGCTCTATCTCCATACCCGTGCGCTGATACCCCCATTCCTGCGATTTCTCTCCCTGCCTCAGCCCCTGCTCCATGGCCGAACGCCCCACTAGACGGGCGCCCTGCTACTGCTGCTGCCGCGCTGCCACCACCAACACCACCGCTGCTGATGCGGCTGTGAGATGGTGTAGAGGCCAGAGGCCCTGGGAGCAAGAGCGAGGGCGATTTCGCTGCTGCTCCCGCTCCCGCTCCCGCTCCTGCTGCTGCTCCTGGTCCACTTCCCCCTGCTGCCGCCCCTCCTTCCCCTGCCACCGCATCCCCCAGAATCAACCCAGCAATCCACCCCAGCGCCCCTCCCCCAAACGAGTTACCTGCATCCGCCCCACCTGCTCCTCCTCCTCCCCCTCCCCCTCCCCCTCCTCCGCCTCCTCCCCCGCCCGCGCCCTGTCCCCCAGCCGCCCCAGGACTCACTCCCGCACTCCCATGATTCCCACTCCCCCTGCGCCTGCGCAGACCAGCAGGGCTGCTCAAACTCATCCCCCCTGCTGCTGCCTCGTCCTGGTGGTACCCTCCCTTTCCGCCCATGAATCCACCCCCCCCGCCCACTCCTCCTCCTGCCACCCCTGCCGCACCGGCAGCGCCGTACCCAGCAGCATCAGGGGAGGCGATACCGTTGGTGTCTGCAGACGCACCAGACGCACCACCGCCAATGACGCCCACGATAGATGGTAGCAGGGAGGAGGAGGGCGTGTGGGGCGTTTGAGGAGTTTGGAAGGAGGGAAGAGAGCTCGTTCTACGACCCTTGCCAAGCACACCACCAGCAGAGCCAGCAGCACCCGCACCAGTACCAGCACCAGGGAGGCCCTTTGAACCGGCAGCATTACCAGCCTTCGCGCCAGCAGTACCTGCTGCTGCTGCTGTCAACGGGTCTGCCGCCGACCAGCCAGGATCCTTCTCGTATTGCTGAGAATAATCAGCAAGAGAAACGGGGTAAGGGTACGCACAAGACAATCAGTGAGGAAGCAGGGGTGGATTCAAAGATGAGAGAGAACGGGGGGGAAGGGGCAAGACACCAGCCAAGCTTTCAATCGGATCAAACAAAAGCGACGGAACGATGTTCTGAGTTCATCAGAGCTGATGAGCCAAAGAACACCCAACCGTGAATAGACACCGTGGCTTGACTTCAACAGCATGACTCAAAGGGCAACAGAGACGTCTCCATATTTACATGCTAGGACAAACAATCACCTGAAGCACTGCTAAGCATGCTCACCCACGCCACCACAGGCGCCCTCCTCGCCTCTATCACCAACGCATAACGCCGTGGTGCTGACCTGAACAATCTGCAGCGCCTCACGCCCTTCTCACCTGCACGATCAGCCGTGCTGACCTGAATGATCTGCAGCGCCTTGTGGTGATTGGTGCGCTCCTTGAGCTCGCCCAGATGCGCCTGCCTCTATTTTTAGGCCGCCTAAACGAAGATAGACACCTGCTAGAGCCCTTCTACCATAAACGCTAGCGCCCCGTGCTGACCTGTATGATCTGCAGCGCTTAGCCGTGCTGACCTGGATGATCTGCAGCGTCTTGTAATAGTTGGTGCGCTCCTTGAGCTCGCCCAGATGCGCCTGCCTCTCTTCTTGAGGCGCTGCAGCAAAAACACACACCTGCTAGCGCCCAACTAACATGCGCGCTAGCACCGCCATACTGACCTGGATGATCTGCAGCGTCTTGTAATAGTTGGTGCGCTCCTTGAGCTCGTCTAGGTGCGCCTGCCTCTCCGCCTTGAGGCGCTCCAGCGTGTCCCGATCCCGATTGTCGTCTGTTGGTCGTGCGGGAAAGGGAGGAGGGGTGGTGTGTGCGCTCAAGTGCGTGCGTGTGTGAGCGTGTTCCCACACGAACTCCACCAGATAAAGATTCCGATACAGCGCACAGCTCTCTCCTCCCATCCCACAACGCACACCCCCACCACACACTGCACAGCCCACCCTACGCATCCCATACCCCACACTCCACACTCCACAGCGCACAGCTCCCAGCCCCCCCATGGCCCCCACGGCCCACTCACACAGCTGCACGAGGCGCGAGCAGAGGGTGTAGAGCGCCGTGTCGAGCGTTGCGGCGCCTCAAAACTCGCCTCAAAACACACACCCCACCCTGCACATTCCACAACTCACACTCCACAGCGCACAGCTCCCAGCCCCCCCATGGCCCCCACGGCCCACTCACACAGCTGCACGAGGCGCGAGCAGAGGGTGTAGAGCGCCGTGTCGAGCGTTGCGGCGCCTCAAAACTCGCCTCAAAACACACACCCCACCCTGCACATCCCACAACTCACACTCCACAGCGCACAGCTCCCAGCCCCCCCATGGCCCCCACGGCCCACTCACACAGCTGCACGAGGCGCGAGCAGAGGGTGTAGAGCGCCGTGGCGAGCAGTGGGAAGAGCAGCACGGGCGACGTGCGCACGAGGCGGTGGTGCCACAGCAGGTCCGGCGAGCGCGCCACCACCACCGCCACGCCCACAATCAGGAACTGAAGGAGAGGGAGCGGGGTGGGAGGTTCAAGGAGAGGCAAGAGAGTGAGGGAAATGAAGAGGAGATGGAAGTCGTGGTCAAGGATAGGGGGTTGGCACGGGCCGACGAAAGGAGGGAGGCGCAGGGGAGATTCACAGGCGCAAATTCTGGTGCTGAGCTGAAACGCACTGAATCCGCCTGAAACCGCCTGCTCGATTCGCCGCGACAAGGCACACGCGCCATATCCAAGTGCGGGGAAATCGAGACACAGGTGCTGAGTCAAGAACCACGTGCGGTGATCATCACCTAGGGTTGCGTCAGCAATTGCTTCTAGAGAGCGATGACGAGACGTTGACTGGGTTGGCTGCTACGGTCGTCGGCCGGTCGTTGGCTGCTACGGTCAACATGAGCCCGCGAGTAGTTTAGTCTAGCCAGACGATAAAGAGTTTAAACAATATTCGCGCACCTCAAACGTCGACGCCTTCAGTCGTGCCTATGATCACACGTGTCTGTGGGAATCGCTAAGTACTTGCGAATCCCGCAGCCGGAATTAGCAACCTTAACTCGGTTTCAAGAAAACAGGTCAACGCAACGGCGAGGTTTCTTAAAGACGCCTTCGGTGCCAAGAGGCGCGGGTCGACGCACATCCTGAGTCTGACTCCAACTGAACTTACGCAAACGACAAGGAGCGATAGAAAAGTGAGTAACGATTCAACAACAAACGGGTGACCGAATCTGGAAGACTAAAAGCAGGTCGGGGAGAAAAGGAGGGGTAGGGGGTGCGGAGGGGGGGGAGGAATTCATTATCCAAACGAGAGATTAATCGCAAGCACGCAAGCACGCGCGCACCTCGAGCGAGGAGGAGTAGAGCATGATGGAGCGCGCGGTGCGTCGCCACCACACGATGCGCTGCTTGAGCCGCCGGTGCACGTTCACCTCCTCCGACGACAGGTGCTGCAGCTTCCGCTCAAAGTCGTCGTCGCTGCGCCGCCGCCAGAACAACAGCACCCGCAGCAGCCATCGGAACGGCGCGAAGACCCACCACCCGCTCACGCCGCGAGATCTAGAACCCGGGTTGTTTCTGCTGCCGGATTTTTTCAGTAATAGCTTGCTGCCGCTGCTGCTGGTAGCATCTTTCCCGCTTGCGAGTAGGGAAGCTTCGGTACTGGAATCCATGGTGCTGTTCGTGAATTGGAGTGATAGTATCTGGCTCTTATTAAAGCACGTCTCCTCCGCTGGCCATAAGCTACTTGACGAAAATGATTAAGATGAACCAACTTGGAAGCGACGCAGATTATAGCAAATCGGAAAGGACTGGAAAAGACTTTAAGGCCAGACAAGCAGGAAACGAGGGAGGTGAATGAACCACGATAATCCCAAGGACGGATGTTAGCAGCAACCTGAGAAAACAAAATGAACGAATTTGCAGCGAGAGCAGTTAGGATCTAAACGGAGTGGGCGCAAACACCTCGTTTGCAGGCTGAAGACGGAAAACGGACGGGACGGTAAGGAGGGAAGCAGAGCAGATGAATCCCGATTCCCGAGATGGGAAGGTGAGATGGCGAAGGTGGGAGTGGGCGAGAATCGGCGACGAACAAACCGAAAACGTATGCACCACGCCCAGTCGCTAGCTATCGCTCGCAGCATCGCCCACATTCTCTGTTTTGCTCGCATGTTTTCGCCCGGCATTGGTTATCGCAGGTTCGAGAATCGTCGGGAGATTGAGTGAGCTCATGTGCCTGACCACTGAGTTACCGCGCGGGCGCTGGTGTGTCAGTGTCGCCATCCGCACCGCACCCGGGTGAACCCTCGATGCTCTGATTGGCGGGCAGCACGGGTTGCGACAAACGACGACAAGTAAAGGGCCAGTCAGATTCCAGTCCGTTTAGGAAACTCCGTCAGATTCGTTTTAAGCAGCCTTCGTTTGGAACGTGTGTGACCCTTCGAAACTGGCTCGTGCCTTCATACACTCATCGTCATGCACCCTTCTTCAGATCCAAGTTCTGCAGTACAGCAATTTCAACATGGCTGGCATTCTCTCTAAGACGTTGCTGCTGCTGCAGTCTCAGCCAGGCACCCGATGCCCACAAAAATGGTAGAAACGTCCAAACTAATTCCAATATTCCCCATAATCCCACAACAAACAGAAGGAACCGTACCAGCACACAGCCCAAAAGTCACTGTTCTCCCTGGCCCCACCCATCTCCCTTCAGCATTGTTCTCCATCTATACTGCCTCCATTTCCATGTCCCCAACAACTGAATCACATAGCACATGCAGAGACAGTAGATACATCCACCACCCCTTCCACTTCACCCTGTTGCCCCTACCCCTCTTTCCCACACCCCCTCATACTGATACACATGACATTCCTTGCCTTGCACCCATGCACCCACCCACAGCCTCCAAGGCAGTGTGGGCGACAAGACGAGAACCTATCTAAGTCCATGAACAGATGAAACTCACGCCTTTGTGTGTAACCTTCCACCTGAGTCCCGAGTTCTGACTTGTGATTACCCCTGCAAACCACACCTCCTCGTCCCTCCGCCCTCCACGACCCTTCTCTCCTCACTCTCAACCTCCGTCTCCTCATCCTCTTCCCTCCTCCTCGCCCCTCCGCCCCATGCATTCTTCGGTCACGCGCGCCCTGGTGTTCAAACAGCACGCATCGCCTATTCTCGAGGAACCCTTAGAGAATTTAGACATATAGATAATCCGTGCTCATCGCCCCTTGCCTCTCCTCTCTTCTCATCAATGCATCCTTCAGTCGCGCCCACCCTGGACCGCAAACAGCACGCACCGCTTGTCCTCAGGGAACCCTTCTAGCCCGTCCCCCTCGTGCAGGCTCACCACTGTTCCATCCAGCAGCAGCGACACAGAGAGCAGCTGCAGACGCACCGTCACACCAGAGTATGCTGCTTTGCTGGATGCCGGATGGAAGGGGTGCGATGCTAGGCGCTGGGGAAAGGCCAGGGGGAGAAAATGGGGGAGGACAGGTGGGATGGGGAGAGGATGGGAGGATGAAGAGGCGAACAGTGGGGACGAGAGGAAATGAGCATGGAATGAGGGAATGAGGCGAGAGGAATAATGAGAGCATGCTGTTATTAAGAGGGAGGTGATGCAGGGGGGGCTGAGGAGGGGTGGGGGAGGGGAGGGGTGGTGAATATGCACACAAGCACATGTGCACGTACATGCAAGCAAACACGTATGCACAAGCACACACATGCCACATGTTCACATCAACACACCCACACGCCACTCACACACGTGTTTGCCTCTAACTTCCCCGAAGCGCAAGTGCCACTCACATGGTCATGCAGGTAGAACTGCTTGTCAACGCTCGCAGGCGCCTCCTCCTCATCGCACGCCGCCATGCGATGTTTTGAGCCGACTCACAACATATGCTCACATCAACTCACCTCACATAATCTCCTCCCAAGTGCCACTCACATGGTCATGCAGGCAGAACTGCTTGTCAACGCTCGCAGGCGCCTCCTCCTCATCGCACGCCGCCATGCCCTCCCCACTCTCCACACTCACTACCTTGGGCGGCAAACACTCCCTCTCCCCCTCCCTCCCCCTCTCCCGTGCCTCCCTCTCCTCCACCTTCACTGTGCGAGCAGCAGCGGAAGCGCGGAAAGCAATGGGCGGCGTGTGGAGAGCACCGCCGGAGGAGGGCAGTGAGGAGATGTCAAAGAGAGGGATCGAGTCCGCGTGGCCTTCAAAGTGAAAGTCACAGTCGGTTGCAGGCACACAGGAGAGGGAGGAGGTCGGCAGGAACGAGAAGGGGGTGTCTTCTTGGAAAGCATCTTCAGTTGCTGCTGCTGTCGCTGCAGTGACATGTGCTTTCACTGCAATGCTGCTGCTGCTGCTGCTCTCATCTGCGTTTTCCCCAGCTGAGTTATCACCAGGAAGCACAGCGACTGAGAGGGGGTTGTTGTAATCGATGGGCAGTAAGTCAATGGAGTGAGCGAATACCATCTGCCTATCCGCACCTCCCACCTCCCCGGCTCTCTCACCAAGGACGGTAGCATCACCAGCAGCACCACCAGTAGCACCATCAGTAGCACCAGCACCAGCAGCACCACCAGTAGCACCACCAGCACCAGCAGGACCAGCAGCAGCACCACCAGCAGTACCAGCAGCACCAGCAGCAACACCAGCAGCAGCGCCCCCAGCACCACCAGCAGCACCACCAGCAGCACCACCATCACCACCATCACCACCAGAATCACTGGACTTCACTTCTCCCGCTGCTGCAGCAGCGGCCTCTTCCGCCGCCTCAGCCCGGGCGATCTTCCCCTCCTTGGCTGCTTTCACAGCCGCCTCGTCAAACTCCTCATCGTACACATCCCCCATCACATCCACTCCCTCCTCTAGCGCCTGCTCGTACTCCGCCGGTGATGCATTGATCACCTTTTCCCTCAGCCCGTGCTTCTTCTCATACTGCAACGCCTGCGCTATGCTTGCTGCGTCCGGGTATGCTGCATCGGAAGCAGCTTCCGCGGCCGCAGCTTTGGCGGCGGCAGCTTTGGCAGCGGCTGCTCCAGCAGCGGGATTACCAGCGGTTGAGCCTGCAACACTCATTGTGCCTGTGAGTCCGTCTCCCGCCTCCTTCCGCCCCACCACCTCCCCAACCCCGTCCTCCTCACCAAAGCTCTGCACCCGGAACCCTCCCAGCCCACTCCCTCCTCCTCCTCCTCCTCCTGCTGCTGCTACGCCTGCCTCGCTGCCCGAGCGGTCCGATTGACGGTCCAGATTGCTCGGATCAAACCCAGGAGCAGCCGTAGAGGCAGCGGGGGAGGAGGTGTGAAGAGGCCATATTGTCCACCAAGGGGGGGCGGAAAAGATAGGGGCGGGGGGACCTTTCGCCCATACACGGGGGGGGCGGGTCCAAGGCGGGGGGAAGGCAGGGGGGGGATCTTGGGGGGAAGAATCGGGAGGGGGAGGCTGGTCGAGTGACCCTACGGGAGGCTTCGGGGCCGGAGAGGGAGGGGGCAGCGGTGGGGATGGGGGGAAGATGTAACCCGGGGGGAAAGGTGGAGGGGGGGGGGCGTGGGGGGCGAGGGGGTTTGAGAGGGGGAGCAGGGGGAGGCATTGGGGGAGGGTTTGGGGGTGGGCGTGGGGGTCGGGGGGGGCGAGTTGGGGGCGCTGGGGGCGGTTCTGGGGGGGGATTGGGGGGAGGGCGGGGCGGACGGGGGGGGGCGCGTAGGAGGCTTTGGAGGCGGTTCGGGGGGGGGGATTGGGGGGAGGGCGGGGCGGACGGGGGGGACGAGGAGGGGGAGCAGGTGGGGGCATGGGAGGAGGATTCGGGGGAGGGCGAGGGGGGCGGGGGGGCTTTGGTGGGGGCGCAGGGCCAGGGGGTAAGGGCGGTTCAGGGGGAGGGGGACTGTCAGATGCAGTAGGGGGGGGTGTTGAGGATCCAGAGCCAGGGGGCTTGGGAGCAGGGGGGACGGAAGAGGTAGGGGGAGGGGGCTTTGCAGGGGGAGGCGGGGTGGAAGTGGTAGAACCAGGAGGTTTGGGGGGAGGAGGGGCGGTGGTGGTGGAAGGAGGGGGCTTTGCAGGGGGAGGGGGGGCGGAAGTGGTGGAACCAGGAGGTTTGGGGGGAGGGGGACTTGCAGGTGTTGGTGGTTTCAGTGGGGATGGGGGAGGCTTAGGAGAAGCGGGGGGAGTCAAAGGGGGAGACGGGGGGGGCTTGGGGGGGGAAAGCGGGGGCTTAGGGGGAGATGGGGGCTTCGGGGGGGAAGGTGGAGGGGGTTTGGGGGGAGGAGAGGGGGGCTTTGGGGGGGAAAGGGGAGGCTTCAAGGGGGGAGATGGAGGGGGCTTGGGCGGAGGAAACGGGGGAGGTTTGGGCGGAGAGGGGGGCTTGGGGGGCTTGGGAGGAGGCGGGGAGGGGGGTTTGGGGGGCGGGGAAGGCGGTTTGGGGGGCGGCGGGGAGGGGGGAGGCGGATACTCGTACATGGGGGGCGCAAGGGGGGTGCCGGGGGGAGGGGAGGGCGCGGAGGGCGGGGGGCGGAGGGTGAAATTGGAGTAGCGGAGGCCGGTGGTGCAGTTCATGTCGAACCAGGAGATGTCGTTGGTGATGAAGGAGTAGACCACATACTTGTTGCGCAGGAAGGACTCTGAGGGGAGGGAGAGAGGGCGGGCAAGGGGGGGAGTGGGGCCGGATGGAAAATTGTTTGTTAGGCAAGTCGAAAACAGATGTCGTTGGTGATGAAGGAGTAGACCACGTACTTGTTGCGTAGGAAGGACTCTGAGGGGAGAGGATGGATGATGGGGGAGGGGGGATGGGGGATGGAGATGGGGATGGGGATGCAGATGCGGATGGGGATGGGGGAATGGAAAGGGAGGCGGATGGGAAAGGGTTTGTTTTGAGGCGGGTTAGAAACAGAGGTCGTTGGTGATAAAGGAATACACCACGTACTTGTTGCGCAGGAAGGACTCTGAGGGGAGAGAGGGAGGGGCGGAAGGGGTAAGAGAAGAAGGCATGCCGATATATAAAGAGGAGCAGCAGCGGTCCGAAAGAGCACGAGGAGAGGTGACGGCATGCCAATGAAAAGCCAGAAGAGTGAAACAATTTCGCTGTTCCATCCAGCCATCGCAACCGAACCGAACCGAACCGAATCTCTTCCCCGTACCTCCGATTGTGGTTCGGCTGTCCTCAGAGGCCGCAGCAGCGAAGCACACTTTGCCAGTAGAGGGGGTCTGCATGCAATGCAGGGTGAGAAGGTAAAGGGGTTGTTGGGTCAGTGTGAGGCACGAAAATGAGTTGGGTCAACTAAGAAGGGGACTTTCTTAGTTGACTCAAGAAGCACTCAGGGTGAGAAGGTAGGAGTCGGGACGGTGTGATGTGACGCGCCGGAATGAAGAATAAGTGAGCAGAGCAGCCTCAAATGCAGGTAAACGGGTGAGTGTGAGGGGGTGCAAGAAATGACCGCAACACGAGAATGGGCACCAGAACAGTGAGAACAGAAGGATACACGCAACAGATATGGTTGGAAGAGAAGATATGGTTGGATGAAGAGATATGGTTGGATGAGGAGATATGGTTGGATGAAGAGATATGGTTGGATGAGGAGATATGGTTGGATGAAGAGATATGGTTGGATGAGGAGATATGGTTGGATGAAGAGATATGGTTGGATGAGGAGATATGGTTGGATGAGGAGATATGGTTGGATGAGGAGATATGGTTGGATGAGGAGATATGGTTGGATGAAGAGATATGGTTGGATGAGGAGATATGGTTGGATGAAGAGATATGGTTGGATGAGGAGATATGGTTGGATGAGGAGATATGGTTGGATGAGGAGATATGGTTGGATGAGAAGATATGGTTGGATGAGAAGATATGGTTGGATGAGACGATATGGTTGGAAGAGGAGATATGGTTGGAAGAGGAGATATGGTTGGAAGGGGAGATATGGTTGGATGAGACGATATGGTTGGAATGGAAGGCAGGGCATGGTGGGACGGTAAGGCATGGTGGGAGTGGGAAGGAAGGAGCACTGACGGCAATGAGGTAGGTCTCTGGGAGGAGGAAGAAGTAGGCCCCGTTGCCAAAGCGCATGTGCATGGTGGGGAACTGCTGGTAGAACGCCGTGTAGTTGGCACTGCGGGGTGAGACAGGCAGGCGGGAAGCGGGCGTGGGGGAAAAGGGGAGAGGAAGTTTTTTTAGGTGCCGCGAAAATCGCCTCACTACAAAGCGCATGTGCATGGTGGGGAACTGCTGGTAGAACGCCGTGTAGTTGGCGGGCACTGTGGGGTGAGACAGACGGCCAGCAAAGGGGGTGAGCAGGGGAATGGGGTGAGGAGGTAGGGGAGGGGGTGAAGAGGAAGGGGACGGGGTTACGGGGGAGGGGAAGGAAAAGGTGCAAGCCGGGGGTGGTTTGGGTGAGAGGGGGAACAGGGAAGGGGGTATAGTGAGTGAAGGTGGGGTTGGGGAGAGAGGGGAGCTGAAAGCGATCAGGTTTGCGTGGTTGATGGTGCATGCACGTGCAGCAGCAAGAGCGTGCATGCGGAACAAAGCACGCAGCACAAAGCACTCAACACGCAGCACTGCAGGCAGGCAGGCGGGGCACGCACTCACTTCTTGTACATGGTGCCTGTGAAGCAGCGCAGCCCCAGCGCAGCGCAGTGGTCGTGGACGTGGCACTCAGCACTCACTCGGCACGCATCACGTATCACTCAGCGCTCTCTTGTTCCTGCAGGCGGGGCACGCACTCACTTCTTGTACATGGTGCCTGTGAAGCAGCGCAGCCCCAGCGCAGTGGACGTGGTGGCGTCCGGCAGTAGACCCGGGCGGGTGTACACCAGCTGACAGCAGGGCGGGGCGGAGGAAGGCGGGGCGGGGAAGGCACGGGAAGGGGAGAGCATGTGCGGGATTTGAGATTGAGTCTGAGACTGAGACCCTTCTTTCTGTAGCCCCAGCGCAGTGGACGTGGTGGCGTCCGGCAGTAGACCCGGGCGGGTGTACACCAGCTGATAGCAGCGGAGGAAGGCAGGGCAGGGCGGGGCGGAGCAACGCAGGGCGGGGCAGGCACAAAAAAAAAAAGAGCAGGTAGCGGGGAGCAGAGAGCAGGGCAGGGCGGGGCAGGGCACAGGTAGCGGAGAGCAGAGAGCGAAGACCAGAGAGAGCAAACGAATGCAGCAGAGAGAGCGGTGCCTTTCGAGAGTTCCAAAGAGTGGTGCAATGCAGTGGTTGGTTGGTACAGCGGAGATGGCAAGCCACCCCATCCTAACCCTTCAAATCCCATTCCATTCCATTCCATCCATCCCATCCCATGCCGTTGAGAGAAGCCTTTCTAGTCGACTCGGAAATTTGTGACGAGTCGAAAGCCCATCCGCTCGCATCAATCCCGCCGTCACCCTCCCTTCCCCACCCCCACTTCCCCCCCCCCCACCCCCCACCCGTCCCTACAGCGTCAATCATGCCGTTGAGAGCAGCGGGCGGCAGGCGCGTGATGGTGGTGAAGGGGTCAAACACCGTGCCGCCCAGTCCCTGGTCGGACGGCAGAGTGAACGTTCCGGGCGGCAAGTTAAGAGTCACGAGCCCCACAGCCACAGATACCATGTCCACGAACAGCAGCGGGCTGAGAGGACGGGAGGAGAGGGGGGGGAGGGGGGGAAAGGGGGACGGGGGAGAGGGGAAGAATGAGATTGGAGGTGTCTCAGTGCCCCACAGCCACAGATACCATGTCCACGAACAGCAGCGGGCTGAGAGGCTCGGGAGGGAGGGAGGGAAAGAGGGGAAAAAGGGGGGCGGGGGAAGAGGAGAAGAAGGAGAATAGAGACGTCTCAGTGCCCCACAGCAATGAATCTGTTTTTGTTGGGTTTAGGGTGGGAAAGAGCACGGGAGAATAGACAGAGACGTCTCATCCTATTTTGCTCTCCCCACAGCTCTTTTCCCCTCTTTCCTTCCCTCCCTAAACCCTGAATTCTAAAAAAACAGATACAGTCTCAGTGCCCCACAGCCACGGGTACCATGTCCACGAACAGCAGCGGGCTGAGAGGTTGCGCGTGGGGAAAAGGGGGGAAGATGGGGTGGGAGAGAGCACGGGGGGATGGATGGAAGGAAGAATGAGATTTGAGACGCCTCTGTGCCCCACAGCCACGGGTACCATGTCCAGGAACAGCAGCGTGCTGAGGGGTTGCATGGAGGGAAAAGGGGGGAAGATGGAGTGAGGGAGAGGAGGGAGTGGGAGGGGGAGAGAGCATAGGGGAAGGGGGGGGGGGAATGAGGTTTGGGACGCCTTTGAATTGAACAGCAGGCATGGGTACCAGAGCCCATGAACAGCAGCAGGCTGACAGGTTGCGAGGAGGGGGGTTGGGGATTTCCAACGAGAGGTTGGGAGGCGCTGGTGGGTGCCTGCCGTCAATGCAGTCGCTGCCCCGCGAGAGGTATGACTTGGGTCACCCACACCCACACCCACACCCACACCCACACCCACACCCACACCCACACCCACACCCACACCCACACCCACACACACACCCACACCCACACCCACACCCACACCCACACCCACACCCACACCCACACCCACACCCACACCCACATGCACACGCACACCCACACACCCACACACCCACACACCCACACACCCACACACCCACACCCACACCCACACCCACACCCACACCCACACCCACACCCACACCCACACCCACATGCACACGCACACACACACACCCACACACCCACACACCCACACACCCACACACCCACACACCCACACACCCACACACCCACACCCACACACCCACACACCCACACCCACACACCCACACACCCACAACCACACCCACACACCCACACCCACATCCACCCAGGCGCCCATGCACGCACCTGTTCCCGACAAAGATAATCGGCACGGAGTCATTGGCGCCGCCTATGCAACCACTCTCCAGGGACAGGTACGACTTGGGTCACCCACACCCACCCACCCATCCACACGCACACACCCACATCCACCCACACCACCCACACACGCACCTGTTCCCAACGAATATAATCGGCACGGAGTCGTTGGCGCCGCCTATGCGCCCGCTCCCCAGGGACAGGTACGACTTGGCGTTTGTACTCGAAGCGTCGCCCTCCAGACACATGCCGTACCCATACTCCCATATCGCCAGGTCGTTCATCTGGCTCTGAATGCTCAGGAGGGCCTTGCCTTGAGGTACTCACACCCACACCCACATGCACACGCACCCCCACACACCCACACCCACATGCACCCCCACACACCCACACCCACATGCACACGCACACCCACACCCACGCCCACACCCGCTCGCCCACCCATGCGCGCACCTGTTCCCAACAAAGATAATCGGCACGGAGTCGTTGGCGCCGCCTATGCGCCCGCTCCCCAGCGAGAGGTATGACTTGGCGTTGGTGCTGGAGGCGTCGCCCTCCAGACACATGCCGTACCCATACTCCCATATGGCCAGGTCGTTCATCTGGCTCTGGATGCTCAGCGGCCCCCTGCCCAGCCCGTATATGCCGTCTGGCGCCTCTGTCACGCCGGCTAGACTGCCGCTCTGCGCCATGCCGCAACTGAGAGGGGTGAGGGGAGAGCGGTGGGAGGGAGCAAGGTGGGAGGGAAGGGGGAGGGGGAAGGGAGGGGGGGAGGATGGGGAGAGGGGAGGTGACGGGGAGAAAGAAGAGAGTGACGCCTCCAGCACCAACGCCAAGTCGTACCTCTCCCTGGGGAGCGGGCGCATAGGCGGCGCCAACGACTCTGTCCCAATTATATTCGTTGGGAACAGGTGCGTGTGTGGGTGGTGTGGGTGGATGTGGGTGTGTGCGTGTGGATGGGTGGGTGGGTGTGGGTGACCCAAGTCGTACCTGTCCCTGGAGAGTGGTTGCATAGGCGGCGCCAACGACCCAAGTCGTACCTGTCCCTTTCAACGCAATGTTGCTACTCTATTCCCTTTCCGCGCAATGTTGCTACTCTATTCCCTTTCCGCGCAATGTTGCTACTCTATTCCCTTTCCGCGCAATGTTGCTACTCTATTCCCTTTCCGCGCTCCCCCTTTCTTTCCTCCCCTGCACTGCACTGCATCCTTCCCACCCCTCTCTCCCCTCCAGCTTTCCCCCTTCCCCCTTCCCCTCCTCGTATCTCCCCCCTCCCCACCCCACCCCCCTTCTGCTGCGCTCCACCCCACCAGTGCAACGCACCCGACGGTGAGCAGGGGGTTGACGGTGGTGTTATCGGAGTGGGTGAACCACACTTGCTCCAACAGCAGCACGCCCTCGCTCTTCCCCCATTCACACTTCTCCTTTCCCCCATTCCCCCTCTCCCATTCCCCCTTATCCCTTCCCCCTCCCCCATTCCCCTTTCTCCCTTCCCTCCTCCCCCCTCCCCACCAGTGCAACGCACCCGACGGTGAGCAGGGGGTTGACGGTGGTGTTATCAGAGTGGGTGAACCACACTTGCTCCGACAGCAGCACGCCCTCGCTCTTCCCCCATTCCCCCTTCTCCCTTCCCCCGTTCCCCCATCTCCCTTCCCCCATTCCCCCTCCCCACCAGTGCAACGCACCCGACGGTGAGCAGGGGGTTGACGGTGGTGTTATCGGAGTGCGTGAACCACACTTGCTCCAACAGCAGCACGCCCTCGCTCTTCCCCGTGCTCGTCTTGTCCCCACTCAGCAGCAGGCTGCCGGGGGACCCCAGAGGGCTCTTGGCGATGGGGAACGAGTGCGTGTACGTGCACCTGCCTGCGCGCATGGAGGATGGAAAAAAAATACCGAAATCACATTTGTAATTTGTGGAGAGAAGAGAAAAGAAAGGAAATAATAATAATCATTAAAAAAAAAAAAAAAAAACACCACAGGGCACTTAGTGACGGGGAACGAGTGTGCGAACATGCACCTGGCTGCCTGCGCGAACGGCATGGCAGGGAGGCTAGCAGATAAAAGCAATGCTGGATTCACTATGGAGAATTCTCTTAAGGGACCCCAATGGGCTATTGGCAATGATGGGTAACACAGGTAGTGAAGCGCCTACGAACATGATGATGATGGGAGAGGAATTGAGGCGAATAAAAAACCTGGCGATGGGTAACGAGCGCATGTGCGTGTGCGTGTGCATGGGCACGTGCACGTGCCTGTGCGCACAGCAGAGGGGATGACGGTGGAGGCGAGGTTGCAGCCGACTTGGCCGAGTGGCACCGGTTGCCCTGTCACAGCAGTGCACGCGGGGGTCGAGCACGCCACGCGCGTTGAGTTGCTGGCTGTGGTGTTGAACGGCGGTCGCTCCTGTGGACAGGCACGCACAGGTGCATGCAAGGCAGTGGGGGGGGTGGGAGGGGGGAGGGGAAGGGGTTGGTGAGCCGGGAGAAACATGTATCTTGAGCACAGCACCAGCAGGGCGGCACTGAATGCAGTCACAGGAGAGACAGGTGAGGGGCGTGAGGTTGTTATTGAAGCAACTCAATAGTCACAGGCCAGTCCTCACCCACTCACCTTAAGCACGGCACCAGCAGTGCGGCACTGGATGCAGCCGCAGGACATGGCTTTTGAGGCGCCTCTAAAGTCAAGAGTCAGACTCAATCGCACCTTGATCACGGCACCAGAGGTGCGGCACTGGATGCAGTCGCAGGAGACCCAGGTGAGCGGAGAGAGGTGGTATTTGGGGAATGGCAGCAAAAAATTGTCTCACCTTAATCACAGCACCAGAGGTGCGGCACTGGATGCAGTCGCAGGAGACCCAGGTGAGCGGAGAGAGGTGGTATTTGGGGAATGGCAGCAAAAAAATTGTCTCACCTTAATCACAGCACCAGAGGTGCGGCACTGGATGCAGTCACAGGAGATCCAGGTGAGGGGCGTGAGGTGATTATTGGGGCCGGCACCGAACAACGTCTCACCTTGATCACGGCACCAGAGGTGCGGCACTGGATGCAGTCACAGGAGATCCAGGTGAGCGGTGTGAGGTTGTCGACACGCAGGTTCATGATGTGCTTGATGGGGCCGAACTCCATGCTTATGTAGTACGACGACCTGCCATGCCATGCCATGCCAGACACGCACGCACCGTTTTGTCATGATGCATGCTGGCATGATGCTATGATGGCATGATCGCATGATGGCATGACGGCATGACGGCATGATGGCATGATGGCATGATGGCATGACGGCATGCTGGCATGAGGGCATGAGGGCATGATAGCATGATGGCATGATGGCATGAGGGCATGATGCTATGATGGCATGATCGCATGATGGCATGATGGCACGATGGCATGCTGGCATGAGGGCATGATAGCATGATGGCATGATGGCATGACGGCATGATGGCATGACGGCATGATGGCATGATAGCATGATAGCATGACGGCATGATGGCATGGTACGGCGTTACCTGTTGACGCTGAACGGCCCTCCTCTGAACATCTTGATCACTCTCCGTCGCCGCAGTGCGTTGGTTACCTGATAGCAACGCACAGGAGCAAAGAAAAAGGGAGGCGGGGCGGGGGGGAGGGGAGGGTACGACAGGGACAGAGGGGGAGAGGTAGAGGGAGATGGTAAGACGGATGGATAAAACCGGCGAGAGGGGGGGGAAAAGGATGCGAGGGAAGTGAGAGAGGTCGAGGGAGGAGGGAAGAGGGGAAGGGGGAGAGAAAGCCAAACGGGAGAATGGAGGGAAGGGCGGTTGGGTTGGGGGGAGGGGGGAAGAGGGGAAGAGGAGAAGAGCTTGGGGAGAGATGCACAGAAGAGCGAAACTACGTTCCAGCGAAACAGTGACCCCAATCACCCAACCAAAAGGAGCACGCAACGAGGGAGGGAGGGGAGGGGAGGGGAGGGGAAGGGAGGGGACCCAGCACGCCCATGTCCACTGCGCTGCGATCTAACCCGCTCTTGGCAACACTCACTCCTCCCGAGAGAGGACGAGGGCTCACATGCTGTCAAGACGACGCAACACACACTATGTCCACCCCCACTGCGCTGCAATGCAAGACCCTCCCTCCTTCCTGATTGAATTCACTCCTTGGAAAACATCTAGCAAGTGAACCCGCTTCCAGCAGCAGAGGCCCCTCTATGGTATGGTATGGCGCCTCTGGAGCGCAGGAACCATGCCCATGGCGCCCCTCTAGCAGCATGAACCATGCTCACGGCACGACACAACCCCGGCACGGCACGGCACGGCACGGCACGGCACGGCACGGCACGGCACGGCACGGCACGGCACAGCACGGCACGAACGAACGAACCATGCCCATGGTGCTGAGTGATGTGATAAAAGTAACATTCTGAGACGTCTCAAAATGGTCACTTTTATCACGCGGCAGGATCGAACGAACGAACGAACGAACCATGTCCATGGTGCTGATGCCCTGCCGCGAGAGGCGGTACGCCGTGCCGCTCCCCGCGAAGCCCGAGGTGGCGCCGTACAGGCCCGTGCCCGGCAGCTGCTCCTCCTCGTCCTTCACCTGGAACGCGCTCTTCACATCGCCGCCCTGCCGGGCCATTTAGGGTAAAACGGTAGTAAATGCGTTTGCTTGTTAGGTCATGGCAATCATTTGGGGCCCGTGCCTAGCAGCTGCTCCTCCTCGTCCTCGTCCTTCACCAGGAACGCGCTCTTCACGTCGCCGCCCTGCCGCGCCATCCGGGTAAAAAGGTAGACAAGGTGTTTGCTTGTGAACATCAGTTTTCGACCTAAACATCAGTTGCTGGTACGTAAAGCCATGGCACCTATTTGGGGCCCGTGCCCAGCAGCTGCTCCCCCTCGTCCTTCACCAGGAACGCGCTCTTCACATCGCCGCCCTGCCGCGCGCCATTCAGGTAAGAAAAGAGGAAGGTGGTAAATGCGTATGCTTGTAAAGAGTCATGGCGCCTATGTGAGGCCCGTCCCCGGCAGCTGCTCCTCCTCGTCCTTCACCAGGAACGCGCTCTTCGCGTCGCTCTGAAGCGCGCCATTCGCGCCCGCGCGGAAACGGAACGGAGCGTGACGGCGGTTGGGAGAAACGTTGGATTCGAGAGGCGCGGGGGATCCGAGGGAGGGGAGAAAGAAGGGGGTGAGAGGGGGGGGGGGGGGGGGGGGGGGGGTGGGTGGTGGTGTTGAGAGGGAGCGGGTGTGGGGGGGAGGGAGGGAGGGGGGGGGAAGAGAGAATGAGGCGTGGTTGTGCGTGAGTGAACGGAGAAGCAAGGCACGGAGGAACGGAGGACCGGCAACGACTATTGGAACTCAGGGACCGCGATAAGGCAGGCGTGAGCTCCACAGCTCCACAGCTCCACATGTTGTTGTCGTGAGTGAACGGGTGAACACAAGTTGTAAGGCACACGCCTCTCGCCTCCCGCCTCCCGCATCCCGCCTCCCGCCTCCCGCCTCCCGCTTCCCGCTTCCCGCCTCCCGCCTCCCGCTTCCCGCATCCCGCCTCCCGCCTACCGCCTCCCGCCTCCCGCCTCAAACGGGTGATCCGAAAGCCACTGATCCGTGTCGCGCGGATAACAAGACGCAACCACGATCTAGAACCGCGCTGCTTCGCGTTGCACCCGCCATTACACCCATCATTTCACCCACCCTTGCATGCACCCATCATCGCAACGTTTCGCACCCTCGTTGCACCCGTGAAAATGCAACCCACCTGTTTCCGCTTCTGTTCCACGGTAATAGCGCCGCTCGCGCGCGGAATCACCAGGACCGCAGCAGCCAGCAGGCCTACTAGAACCACGCGAGCGAAAGCCGTGGCAAACGCACGAACGGGGAGCAGCGGAGCCTCCAGCCGCAACCCCTCCCGCGATCCCCGCCGCGAATCCCGCCGCGAGTCCCTCCCCATTTCCCACACCGACGGAAGGAGCTTCCGACGGTCTCGTTTCCGCATGGCTAAGGTCGTATTAAGTTAGCGGATCAGGATTCAAACGAGGACGCGGAAGGGATAACAAGGGCTTCATGGGAGATGGTAGCTACAAGGAACGAAGAGGAGGAGCGGCCAGGAGGACACGGTCACCAAAGCCGCAGTTGAAGCGAAAGCGAATGTGAAGGCGGGAGATTCGAGACAAAGCTGCCTCGAGCCAGAGTAAGCCTACGCGTGAGATGCGCAGAGTGGACAATCTGGCAGTCGTGATGCAGCGAGTTCGCTAGGTGAATGATCAAATATGACAATGTCGCGGCAGGTGATTGGTATACGCAGGAAAGGACAGCAGTCTCTGTTGGTCGAACAGTGGGATTCCTTCATACGCAGTAGACATGTCACACACCCACCAACTAACTGCTGTGATGAAAGCTCTCAACTCAACTCGACGTGGGAGTGAGTTCGTTCGATTGAACCTCTTCTGCACTGTATGCTCGGTTCTACGGCGCTGTTCTTTTGGCAAAAAATGGCCTTCGCGGATTCTTCCATCCGCACCAGTGGTGCTTCGGTTCAGGTTGGGCATTGTCCGAAGCTAGGCGCATCAAGAAAACCGAGAAAACCTGCAGAACGGCACTTTTGTGACACTGTACCAAAACCGCCCGTTTGTTCCACGCCATTTCCTCTACAGGCAAATGGTCCGCACCACTGGTTCTACCTCTCGAGGTGGAATCACCTCCGCACCACTGGTGCGGGGCAGAAACCATCAGCCCAATTTTTTGCTCGTGGTAGGCTTGAACGCCCAACACTTGACCGCGATCAAATTTCAAAAAAATCTTCTCAAGAAAATATTCTTGCTGCTCGATAGTCTTTCATATATCGATCAAGAAATTCATATCGTTGCCTTTACAAAGATGAGTAACCCTCGGTTCTCATTTCGCCAGACCGTGTTAAAAAGGGCAGACCCGAGTTTGGCTGAGCTGTTCACACGAGAAGTTTACCTCGGTTATAACTGAACCTTCATGTGTTGCCAAGTCAACCAAAAAGGCACCTGAAGTTAATACGAAATTTACCAAATCACCAACGGTGCGGCGATGAGAACTCCAACAGAACAGCACCTACGTGTATCGCTCAGCCTGTATGCCAGGAAAGCTGCGTGTTCCTCCTCCCACACACCTCGCCTTTATTGGAGCATTTCAAGGTGTGAGTTAGTAACGTTCCGAGTTACAGTACAACCAAAGCTGACAGGTAGGTATGGATCAGACAGGGCCACTGACTGCTGAATGTATGGAAAACAGAACCAGGGAGAAGAGGGCACAGCCATTGGATCAAGCAACATTCAAAGGGTCAGGGCATATCGGGCGGTTGGTTTGGTAAGGCAGCATGCAACATGATTGTGCGGAGAACCAAGGTTCGGGAGAAGCACCCAGGTCAAGTGAACTTTACCCTAGCTGTTGATCTCACCTGACCGCTAGCGCCTCGAACCATCGAGAAACTGTAGCATCATTCCTGCTTCCTCACCTGAGTCAGGTTATTGAGTACACGGCTTATAACATGAAAAGCCTCCACATAGGCAGTCCACACAATAGACACAAGAGTTCGGGATGCACCCTGATTGCGTTTGATACACTACAACTCTCAAATCTATTAAAATGCTCAGGGGATAATAAACATGCTTCCCTCCCTTCACTCACCCTTCAACTGCCTACCTTCCACATGATCATGTTGTGAACTCTACAGCCATATGCACTCAAGCCATGATGTGCATCCACACATTTATGCCAACTGGCACCAATGTAGGGTGACACCTAATGACAATATGCACGTCACCCATTCCAAAGAAATTCCTACTCACGCTCATCCTTCCTACTCGATGCAAAACGGAGATGAGAACAGGAATATTCGCCTCTACAGCCAGCATCAATCAACATAGCCCCTTGCAAAGCAGAAGCGACACCGCAGCACCAATCATGCCTATCCCACCCAGAAAAAATCGTTAACTTCCCAGAAGCAACCACTGGAGAAAGTTATCTCATCGCCCCAGCAGCTCCAGTATCGCCTGAACTGCCAGCAGCCGTTACGGCAGAAGCAGCAGACGCAGCAGCAGCAGTAGCAGCAGCAGAAGCAGAAGAAGAAGAAGAAGAAGAAGAAGAAGAAGAAGAAGAAGAAGAAGAAGAAGAAGAAGAAGAAGAAGAAGAAGAAGAAGAAGAAGAAGAAGAAGAAGAAGAAGAAGAAGAAGAAGAAGAAGAAGAAGAAGAAGAAGAAGAAGAAGAAGAAGAAGAAGAAGAAGAAGAAGAAGAAGAAGAAGAAGAAGAAGAAGAAGAAGAAGAAGAAGAAGAAGAAGAAGAAGAAGAAGAAGAAGAAGAAGAAGAAGAAGAAGAAGAAGAAGAAGAAGAAGAAGAAGAAGAAGAAGAAGAAGAAGAAGAAGAAGAAGAAGAAGAAGAAGAAGAAGAAGAAGAAGAAGAAGAAGAAGAAGAAGAAGAAGAAGAAGAAGAAGAAGAAGAAGAAGAAGAAGAAGAAGAAGAAGAAGAAGAAGAAGAAGAAGAAGAAGAAGAAGAAGAAGAAGAAGAAGAAGAAGAAGAAGAAGAAGAAGAAGAAGAAGAAGAAGAAGAAGAAGAAGAAGAAGAAGAAGAAGAAGAAGAAGAAGAAGAAGAAGAAGAAGAAGAAGAAGAAGAAGAAGAAGAAGAAGAAGAAGAAGAAGAAGAAGAAGAAGAAGAAGAAGAAGAAGAAGAAGAAGAAGAAGAAGAAGAAGAAGAAGAAGAAGAAGAAGAAAGAAGAAGAAGAAGAAGAAGAAGAAGAAGAAGAAGAAGAAGAAGAAGAAGAAGAAGAAGAAGAAGAAGAAGAAGAAGAAGAAGAAGAAGAAGAAGAAGAAGAAGAAGAAGAAGAAGAAGAAGAAGAAGAAGAAGAAGAAGAAGAAGAAGAAGAAGAAGAAGAAGAAGAAGAAGAAGAAGAAGAAGAGAAGAAGAAGAAGAAGAAGAAGAAGAAGAAGAAGAAGAAGAAGAAGAAGAAGAAGAAGAAGAAGAAGAAGAAGAAGAAGAAGAAGAAGAAGAAGAAGAAGAAGAAGAAGAAGAAGAAGCAGCAGCAGCAGACGCAGCAGCAGCAGACGCAGCAGCAGAATCAGCAGAAAACCCTACTCCAGATGGCCCTGGGCTCACCACCTGTTGCACTGGAACAGGAATGTCCTGCAGTCCCCTCAATATAGTCACCATCTCAGACATCTTGGGCCGTGATTTAGCATCGAGCAAGCAGCAGTGTGCGGCCAGGGCCAGCTTCTGTGCCCCTTTCACAGGGAACCGCCCCCCGAGCCTAGGGTCCACGAGCTTGACGCTCTGGCGCCGATCCAGGAGGTATGGTTTGGCCCAGTACACGAGGCTACGCTCCTGCCACACCCGGTCCATGTCCACTGCTCTCCTGCCCGATAGCAGCTCCAGCAGCAGCACCCCAAACGCATACACGTCACTGCGGCTCGTCAGATGGCCTGACAGGGGGGAATGAGGAGGCAAGGCAAGGGTATGTGGAAGTGGGGAGAAGGTTTGTGGGTGGGGGGTTGGGGGAGGGGGGGGGTGAAGGGAAAGGGGGAGGGAGGAGGAGGAGGAGGAGGAGGAGGAGGAGGAGGAGGAGGAGGAGGAGGAGGAGGAGGAGGAGGAGGAGGAGGAGGAGGAGGAGGAGGAGGAGGAGGACGACGACGACGACGACGACGACGACGAGGAGGAGGAGGCTTAAGGAGGATGGGAGAAGAGCGTGAGAAGGAGAGCATCATCATTGATGCACCGGCAATCGCACACCGGTAATCGCACACGCACACACATGGTAGACACACATCATCCCTGCAGCTCAGCACCACACCCAACCGGACCGCACCGCACCGCTGCACACCTGCACGCACCTGTCTGCATGTACTCAGGAGCAGTATAGCCGTATGTGCCAACCACTTTGGTGGACACATGGGTCTTGCCACCCCGTGGCCCATCCTTGGCCAACCCAAAGTCTGACAGCTTCGGGAAGAAATTCTGCCGCCGGGTAGAGTTGGGTGTTGTACCAGGGCAGCATGAACAAGGGCGGTGGGGGGGTGGGAGGCAGGACGAGGCAAGGAAGGTGTGGGTGGGGAAGAAGGGGAGAGATGTGAGGCGAGGTTAGAGTTACAACGACCATGCCAAAAAGCATGTTGAGTCGCATAGAATCTGATTGGACTGCATTGTCCTGTTTGGGCTCGGTTTCTGATTTGGAGTTGCAGGGCAAACTACATATTCTGCGCTGTAAAAACATAGCAGGTGCCACAGTCATACACACAGCCCCACTCAGCACACAACAGAGAGAGATACCCACCCAGCATTGCACCGCACCACACCGCACCGCAGCACACTGAACCGCACCTCGTCCAGCAGGATGTTGCCGGCCTTGAGGTCTCGGAAGATGACCTGGTGCTCTGTGCCCTCGTGCAGGTATGCCAGCCCCTTGGCTGCTCCCAGAGCCACCTTCACCCGCACCTCCCACGTCAATGGCGGCTCCGCTTCTGAGCCACAGAGACACAGAGACATGGAGACACGGACAGAGACACATGGATGAACGGATGAGAGAAAGGATTAAGTGAGGGTTGGAGGGACTTCGGGGCCGAGGCGAACAAAGTTTGGGGCAAGCAAGTGAAAAGGAAGCAGTGGTGTGCGTGAGTACGTGCATGCATGCGTGCATGTGTTTCTGTGCGCGCGTATGCAAGTGTGCGTGGGCGCGAGTGTATGCATGTGTGTGCGTGCATGCATGCACGTGTGCATGCGGATGTGGGCGTGGGCACCATTGAAGAGATGGCAGTCGAGGGAGCAGTTGGGCATGTACTCGTAGACGAGGAGGCCCTTCTCCTTCTCCGCACAGTACCCCACCAGCTGCACCAGATGCGGGTGCTGCAGACGCCTCAGGAATATGACCTCCGTCTGCCAGTGCATGCCGCCCACCATGCCACGCACACATGCCACCGATACATGCCACGCACACAAGCCACGCACACATGTCAGGCACACATGTCATGCACACATGTCATGCACACATGTCATGCGCACATGTCATGCACACATGTCATGCACACATGTCATGCACACATGTCATGCACACATGTCATGCACACATGTCATGCACACATGTCATGCACACATGTCATGCGCACATGTCATGCACACATGTCATGCACACATGTCATGCACACATGTCATGCACACATGTCATGCACACATGCCACACGCACACAACCAGGTGTTCACAAACACGCCCATGGGTCGGGTACATGCAAACAAGAGACAGCAGATGGTCGCTACAGCACAAACATAGAGAACGAGTGAGTCTCGGACCACAGTAAACAGCAGGAACAACCATGAATCCAAATCCCTCCACCACCCCCATAAAACCATTCTACTCCGTTCACCCGATACCATCCCCCTCCCACCCTCTCTTCATCCCTCCTTTCCCCCCAGCCCCCGCCACGCACTCCAGCCCACCCCCTTTCCTCTCACCAGCCACTCCTTGAACCCCTGCAGGCCCTGTTGGCTCAGTTGCTTCACAGCAACCCTCGTCTCCACGTGCTGCCCAGTGTCCTCGTCCCTCACCAAGAGCAGCCCCTCATACACCTTCCCGAACCCACCCTCCCCCAGCACCAGCTCCTCTTTGAAACACTGCGTTGCGTCCCTCAGCTCTTCGAATGAAAACTCCTGCGGGGCCACCGCCTTGTGCTGCTGCAGCTCCAGGGCTAGCTCCGCTAAATACCCTCCCGGGTTCAGGCTTCTCCAGCTGTTTCCCCCCCCTGGCCCCGACCCGCTGCCGGGATTTTGTTGGGCCCTGCTCGCAGCAATAGCTGCGGATGACGATTCTGCTGCTTCTGCCCCTACCTCTCCCTCTCTAACGCCTGTCCCTTCTCGCGGCCCTGCTGTGTCGTCCCTTGATCCAGAAGACTCCCTAGATATGCGCTGTTGTTCTGAACCCGCTGCTCCATTACCTACCACTGCACCCCCTACACCCCCCACCCGGCCATTATCCTCTAAGGCGGGATTCGGCGGAAACGCATTCTCATCATCTGAGCCTTCGCCAGGCGTCAGAGCCGCACTGCCTGGTTCGGCCGCTTCTAACCCTTCGTCTCGCAACCTTTGCCACGCCGCCCCGCCGCCGTTGCCGCTGGCGTCTCCCATTCGCCCATCCCCTGCCCTATCTCCATCTCTCTCCACCGTTTCGCCCGGCAGCCGCACGCCGACCACCACGCCTTCATGCATCTGAATCACCCCGCCGTTCTTCCTCCTGCTGCTGTAGTTCTCGTTATTGCCATCCTTGTCATTGCCACCGTTGCCGTCGCCGCCGCCGCCGCCGTCGTCGCCATTGCCCTCGTCGTTGTCGCTGTTGTCGTTGTCGTCCCTGCCACCGCGAGCCTCCATCTCCTGGCTGCGCTTGAGCGTCTGCCTTATCTCCTCCATCACCGCATCCATCTCGTCTGAACCCTCACTGCTTCTCCTCCTCTCCACCATCGCTCTTTGCGTCCCAGCATCACTTCTTTCTCGGCCTCCTCCCCCTGCTGCTCCTCCTGCTGCTGCGTCTCCCCCTCCTCCTCCTCCTGTTGCTGCTGCTGCTGTTTCTCCTGTACCACCTCTTTCTGTTTCACCTCCTTGCCTTACAGCTCCTGAAACAGCTCCATCCGCCTCTGTCACTCTCCTTGCCACCTCATCACCTGCTCCTCCCCCTCGGACTCCGCCCCCTCCTCCCACCCCCCCGCCACCTCCCTTTCCCCCTCCCCCTCCCTCTCCCCCTTCCCCTTCCCCTTCCCCTCCCGTTCCGCCACCTCCTCCTCTTTCCTCTATGCGTGCGCTCGTCGTTCCGGGCAGGGGGCCAGGCTCGGCAATTCCGCCTCCTGACGCCTCTCTCGTTACGACTACAGCGGCAACAACATCGGAACCAGCAGCATCAGCACCGGCAACAGCTGCTGCTGCTGCTGCTGGAACGAGAGCAGCGGAAGCAGGTAAGCTTATCTGACTGTCCCCGCCGGCAACCTGTTTCTCAGGATCTGCTCGTTTCGGCGATATCCTGCCGCCCCTTGTCTCGTTTCCGCTTGCGCCTGAACCGGCCTTATTTGTCGATCTTGGATCGTTGCGTGCGTTGCTAGGGTTACTGTCGTCGTCGGTGGTGTTGCCCGCATCAATGTTTTGCCAGGTAGGAGACCCGTCCTCGAACCCATCTGTGCAAGGCCATGAGAGACGCAGCGGGAAGAGAGGGGGAAGGAAAGGTGAAGGGCGGGAAGAGACGAGAGGGCCGGGACAGCGGAAATCGCTTGTTTAGAAGCTGGACACAACCAAAATACAAATCTGGCATAGAATTGTTAAGAATCACGCCATATTGTGAAGGCAGCCGGGCAACGGCATGAGACTTCAGAAGTTCTACAGCCCGGCATTATTCCGGGCGAAACCAAACCCTAGGCCAGGCAAAAGGAAATCACGCGCCGAAACGTGACGACAAACATCTATGGCCAAGACCTTGGGCTTCGGTGGCCGTACTAATGCAACGCAACTGTCAGAATGGCTCAGTCTGTTCCGCTGCAAAACATTCGTGAGATTAAATTGGTGACTTCCTAGCACTTTTCACGTATCGCAATTGTCGCGTGGGTGGACGGGTAAAACGGCTAGAATGGGGGGGAAAGGATTTGTCGGATCGCCTTAGCTCGACAATGCTTAAGAACGGCAATTCTCCGTGATAGCGCGCTTTGACGTGACTCGACCGTGGTAAAAATCGGTGACAATGTAGTAAGAGCTGCTGGATTGCTTACTCTCGTCGAGCGCAACCTTAGGCACGGAGACCCCACAGCCCATGCTCTGCTGTCAGGTGACATCAATGCCGGTAAGCCAATCGAGAGAAATCGACGGCCACTGTACTACTAGTAGTAGATCGGACGGTGCTGCTGCCGGTTCGACGACGCTTGTCGATTGAAACAAGCCGTAGATCGTTGATCGGTGCGCAGCTCGTCTGGCAAGAGGGAAACCCTAGATCGTTTCTAGGTTCCGCGATAACGCTATAGCAACGACGAAGCGAAAGGAACGGACGGTGAGATTATTGACGAAATCGACAGTCATTGTACGACGCTCGCCGAGGACATTCGATCATGGCTTTTGTAGGAATTAAACGTTGGAATTGGACCTTTCGCTACAGGTAATGTGGAACAGTCCGAGGAAAGTAGACTGAAGTGGAGCAGGAGCAGAGGAGGCGATAACCTAGCGTAAGTTCCTGATCAATCAAGGTTGACCTTTTCCTTCGTGCAAGAGGTGGAGCGGACAAGAACCAATCCAGGGTTGGACAGGAGTGCTCGAAAGGTAGGGCGTGTCCCACGAGTTCGTTTTGGGAGAAAAGCTTTTTTTTACGTAACTTCGAGTCAGCAAAAGAGTGTACACTCTGACGAAAATAACACGCAGCGCGTCAGCACTGCGCCAAACGAATTTGGACCACGCGGACCCCAGCCCCGCCCTCACAAAACTCGTATTCCGAATCACATTTGACACGGGTCGCGAGCTGTAACCCGGGCCAGTTGCGAATCTACTGTGCCAAAAATGACGGAGCTCGCACAACCAGAAACATACAAACCAGACTGTCGACTCGCTTGCGACGCTTGTTTTTTTCGCGCGAGTGAGGGTTGGGCGAATTACGCGGACCTGTTCGAGCTGATGGTTCGTAACTGGAAGCTGTTTTTGAACGTGTACATTACGAACCTTTTGACGTTTACAGCACGTCAGTGTCGCGCGTCATTGACGACGCATGTCTACAGTGGGCAAATTTTAAGGGTTACAAAGAGAAAATAGGGTTACAACGCTGAACCTGAACTGTAAACGAACGCGTGGGACACGCCCTTCGGGAGAAAACCTTGAACAAGTTGCTGTAGACATGGTTGTAGTGCCGTGTACGTACATGCACAATGCATGTACACCTTGCGATGACAGTACGATACAGTGGAAGGTAATCTGTGCTTCCAAGGTGATTTTCCAAAAACTCTCAGTCTCCTCTCTCTCCACCAACACTGCCGGCAACGCAGAAACCATGTCCACATAATTGCGCGTGCCCTTCACCAGTTTGAAGAGCAAACCCCAGCTTTCCGTGTGAGTCGTCGTCGTGAGCTTACGGTTGAGATTTGGCGGGCAGAGGCTAGCATCGGCCGTGGTTTCCGCCATGCATCTGGATCGCAGTTACAAGAAAGTCCAATGTGTGGGTGAAACTAGGGGCGGCATCCATTTTGACGCCAGCATGCACCCTGTGGTCTACAATATTTGTTTTTTTTTCATTTCAGCTAGCTTGGGTGATTCAAAATTAGGTGAGATGTTTAGTACAGTGATATGAACCAATGATTGCGGTTATGGACAGCAAGCTTCGTCCTGAAGGTTACAATAACAGACCCCTTATGTCACGGATCAGAGGAGTTACTACCCTTGAGAGACGCTACGGAATCTGAACCTGCCCCAGGTTTACATCAAGGAGCCCAGCAGCACTGGCTTGTGGTGCTGGGTCCTGTGACTGTACCGAAATAAAAACTGCATTCCTTACTATTGCATATCCACAGTATTAGGGCCACTTTTTATTGCAGATTCCACAGAATATCCACCCCTGCTGTAACTTCAAAACAACTAATAGTGATTACACAAGAACTCTTTTTATCGCAGAGTTTCGTGCACACAAAGGTTGATGACGTAGGTGCGAAAGACTGCAACTCTGCAACTCCAATCGCCTCGCTTCGTGGTGCTGGTGCGAAACCTTCTTCCTTTTGTTGCGGCTGACCGTGTGTTGAGATGAGACTCGAGTTCGAAATCACTTCTCTCTGCGATTCAAGTCTGGGATGATGGGGTGAAGGATACACACTGTACTACACACAATCGGCAATTCCTATATGCTTTCGTCGTGCCATTCAGTGCAAATGAGAGACTGGTGGCTACGCTTATTGACATGGCCGTCATGGATTGGTTGAACACGAAGTGTTGTCTGTACAGTGCAAAACTTCCGGGTTCCCGCCTTTTGGACCCCCAAAACCAGGATCCTCGTGCATGGGGCGACCGCTTGGAACAGAGAACTCTTTGGTGCGCTGCACAACATTGGCGAAATACATTATCCCCTATTATTTCACTACATGGGTTATCACCTCGTTTACGAATTTGGTTGTTCTGTAGTCGTTTCGATGATTCTGGTTGTCCTGTTTAAGGTGGAAGATGTTCAAACCGAAGCCTGTATTTCATATTTATTAGACCTCATATATGTTTCCAGTGCGAGGGTTTGCAGAAACAGGGGTGTAAAGTAGTTTACATACGAATATGTTTTTTCTAAATTACCCATACCCTTTCCAGAGGTGAATGTCCTACGAATGGGGTATCTGCGTGCAGGATGGTTTTGCTGCTCCCTACGGAGAAGCCATTCTACAAAAGCTCGGAACCAGCGAATTCACAAATATCAAGGCCTGCTTGCATGGACAGTGTTATAGCTTTCCACGAATCAGTCACCGAAAGCCAAGACTATGTGCTGGATCGTGCACCGCGCATCTACAGAGATTCGTTGAAGCATATAACTTGCACACCTGCCGCCTGCTCAACACGCAACTAACTATTCACTACCGTCGCACGGTCTCGCATCGCTTCATCACGTCTGCTTGCATCGCTACTGAGTGTGTAACCGCACTTATTCAGTGGTGAACGAACCCCAGCGTCATCGCCTTGACACCGCATCATCGGCATCTCCTTGTCGCCGCATCATGGTGGAAATGAGGGATCACGCGCTAGGAATCGTGCTGCCTGTGGTTGTGTACTGGATATATGGCGGCTTTCTGGATTTCCTCGACAAAATGGACGTCAAGGTGCGTCCCCTGCTATCTTCTCGTCGTTTATAGTCACGAAGTATTGGAGGTTTTGATCAGGTGTTTAGAGGATTCTGCGTGCAGTTCAGGGCAACCGAATCTTGTTGATTCCGAGAGTTTATGGGCTTTACAACGAACAAACTAGCCGTGTTTTCCTCATGAGTGTCTCATCCCACGTGTGCATCCGGTACTCCTTATCCAGCATTGTTCCGCATTGTCGTACAGGGTAATGTAGTTCCGTGTGCTCGTCGCTTGTTTCTCTGCTTGCATTTTGTGTTATCACGTGCTTTGCACCCTGCTTGTGAGTGTTTTTTTTTTTTTTTTTTTTTCCAGACCGCTGGTTTTCGTCGGATTCGTGTCTCTTGTGCTCGTTTATCGTTCAGCTGAGAAAAGTACCAGGCTTGAAAAATGTGAATCTAGTTCAGGCCAAACAAGGAAGTCAACTCTCTCTAGCGTTTTTCGGAAAGATGCGATTGTAGCAACAGAAAGGAGAAGGGATTCAAACTGTCCGACATGAGTCGATTAGGAAACGCTGAATGGAAATGTGTGCGAGCTCCGGAGTGGGAATGAGAATGTACGATTTCACGCACCGATTTCCAAGGCCCTAACTTTAGCGGTCACTTGCGACTCAATAATGGGAAGGTCAGTATTCACCGGCCATGGTGAAGTGCAGACGAGCCGCGTGGTTCTGGAATCTGATAACGTCGTTATGTGTTATTTCGTGGGCTGTGGCAAGCTTGTACGTCTCACCTTTTAGTCCATGTTCTATACTGTCATGTCTCGTCCAAGAAGCTGTTTGGTGTTATCTCCATTTCGTCCCCGCGTGCCGTTATGGTGCTCTTTTTTTTTGTCCAGGTCATGAATCGCTGGCGACTGCATAGTCGAAGCGACGAGCAGAAGCTCAATCTCGTTCCCAAAGGAGCCGGTACGACTTTCGTTTTACCTATGAACCTCGTCCCCTCTCGTCCTCTCTCCCGGTTTTTCCCCCTCGTGTCTCCCTTTCTCTTCCCTTCCCCTGCCTTTCTTTGGCCTTCCGTTCGCTGTCTCTTCCAGTCGATGCTTCTCTGATCATTATGGCCTTCATTCGTTGCTCCTAGACTCGGAGCCGCATTGCATGCCCTCCCTCTTCTCGCCTTCCTCTTTCTCATCCCACCTCTGCGCAGCAAGCTTCCATTCCTCTTCTGGCTCCGTGTCCGTTTCGCCCTCACCCTCCCCCTCCCCCTCCCCCTCCCCCTCCCCGTCCCCCTCCCCCTCTCCCTCTCCCTCCCACTCTGCCTCCCTTTCCCCTTACTCCCTCTCTGTCCTCCCCCTCCCTCCTCCACCTTCAATCCACGCTGCTCCTCTCGCCGTCGCGCCCGCAGTTGTCCGAGGGGTGCTGCTGCAGCAGCTGCTACAGGTTGTCGTCGCCGTGCTTCTATTCCTGGTACGCCCTCCCTCCGCCCCCACGACCTCTCATGTCTTGCCGCCCCGCTCCTACAAACAATCTCTCAATGTCTTTGAGTGGACTCACTAATGATTTCGTCCCAGTTGTCGAGCGTTGAAAGCGTCAGCTCTACTCGTTCTCATTTCTCGCACAGCGACCATTATCTTGCCACTTGATGCTTGCACGACGGGAGCGATAGGACCGACCTGTGTCACTGGGTCAAGAGCGCGCACTCAAGTCAAGCCACTCGCTTCCTGCCCGTCCGCCATACTCTCGCTTCCCTGCCCCTTCCCCCTGTCTCCTCCTGCTTCTCCTTCAGGTGGACCCCAACAGTCAGAACCACGGGGATGTGCCGCCCAGCCTGTGGGTGCAGGTGGCTTTTGAGCCTTAAAAGGCTTCCCTGCCCCTTCCCCCTGTCTCTTCCTGCTTCTCCTTCAGGTGGACCCCAACAGTCAGAACCACGGGGAGGTGCCGCCCAGCCTGTGGGTGCAGGTGGCGCAGGTGGGCGTGGCCATGGTGGTGATGGACGCGTGGCAGTACTTCTGGCACCGCCTCATGCACGAGAGCCGCTTCCTCTACAGGTCAGCAGGTTTGTTCCTCTGCTGGTGACAGCACGCGGTTGAGGGGTGTGGTGAGGGGTTTGGTTGGGTCGTTCGGTTGGGTGTTGGGAGGGGTTTGAGTGATTGTGGGTGTGGGGTTGGGATTGAGACGGGAAGGGCGAATAAAGGGTCGGTTCTTCACTGCGTCTCGGATGAACTCATGTATTGTTAGTCACACGTACACGCACAACGACATTCTCAAACACGCTCACACGCGTTTTTTGTCGCTTGCACACAAGAATGAGACACGTACAAACACACACACACACACACACACACACACGCATCCTCCATTCCCTCATCCCCACGACCCCTGCCTTCCCATGCGTCTCCCAGGAACCTGCACAGCTGGCACCACAGGCTGCTCGTGCCGTACGCCTATGGTGCCCTCTACAACCACCCCATTGAGGGGCTCATTCTTGACACCTTTGGCGGCGCCGTCTCCTTCCTTGTCTCTGGTAACTTCCGCTGCCGTGCTGTTCCCTACCTCTCCCCGCCCCTTCTGTACCCTCGTCTACGCTTGCCCCCCTCTCCCCTCTCGTCTTCTCGCCTCTTACCCCTCTTCCTCTCCACCGTTCTCCTCTCACCCCCTTTCCCTCTCTACCAGCTGCGTTTTCTCTCCGAATTTGCTTGCCTGCATCCTTCACCACCCTCCTCCCCCCCTCCCCGCCTCCCTTACCCCCTCCTCCCCCTTTTCCCCTCCTGCCCTTTTTCCCTTCCTCCCCACCTTCGGTACACCACCAGGCATGCACCCGCCGCGCACGGCCATTTTCTTCTTCACCTTCGCCACCATGAAGACAGTCGACGACCACTGCGGCCTTTGCGCCGTCCCAAAAGCCGTCTTCACCGTCCTTCCCCCCTTCCCTCCTCCCCTCCCCCACCCCTCCCTCCCCCCACCACCAGGCATGCACCCGCGCACGGCCATTTTCTTCTTCACCTTCGCCACCATGAAGACGGTGGACGACCACTGCGGCCTTGTGCTGCCCTTCAGCCCCTTCCAGCGCTTCTTCCACAACAATGCCGGTACGCTCGCAGCTCGCACGCACCCAACATCCTCATGCCCCCCCTGCTTCTCCGGGACTTCTAATGGATCGTGCTGTGAACGAACTGGTGTTGGACTTGTGCTTTGAGCGTCGCAGACCATAGATGCTGCTCCCGATTGATGCCATGCACTGCACTGCACTTCAGTGCATTGCTGAGCAGCTCCTTCGCAGCTTCAGTTTTCTTGTCGTTCCTGCTGCCTACTGTTCCTCTTTCCCGTCCCTCACTTTCCACCTCCTCAGCTCCTCCGTTCTCTCATCCCACTCAATCCCCCTTCCCCCCCACCCTCGTCCCGCCGTCCCACAGCCTACCACAACATACACCACCGGCTCTCCGGGTTCCGTTTCAACTACTTGCAGCCCTTCTTCCCCGTGTGGGACATGCTCCTGGGCACCCACATGCCTTTTGAGGCGCCTCAAAAGTCTGTTTTTCCCTCCCCCCTCCCCCCATCCGCCACAGCCTACCATGACATACACCACCAGCTCTCCGGGTTCCGCTTCAACTACTCGCAGCCATTCTTCCCCGTGTGGGACATGCTCCTGGGCACCCACATGCCCTTCACGCTCGTGCAACGGGCAGACGGGGGAGTGGAGGCCAAGGCGATCCGCAAGGCATCGCTCTCCTCTGACGCTAAGACCACCGCCGCTGCTGCTACTGCCGCCAAAGCTGATGCTGCCGGGGCTACTGCTGCTAATGGGGGTGGGGAGGGGGAGCGCAAGGATAAGAAGAACGACTAATGGCTTGGTGGTGGAATTGAGCTGCAGGGACGCGGGGCAAAATGCCTGTCTTGGAGTCGTCGTCTTCACCTGCGATATGGAAGTGATGATGTTTCCCTGACCAAAAGCTGGTGTTATGGAGAGAAGGGCAGGGGTGTTGTGGCAAGAATCATCGCAGCATCGGCTGGTCAAACGCCTGAGTTGTACGGTACTTGGATGGCATCTAGCCAACCATCCCATCTGCTTCAGCAAGGGCTGCTGCTGCTGCTGCTGCTGATCCCATGTGAAGCGCATCTCAGCTGCTAGGGGCTTCTTCCCTGCTGACGCGCGCCGCCATTGTTTCATACCATATCATTATATGATTAATTTCTGCACAAGTTTCGTCCTGCTCCCGTTCCTGTACACTGATAACATTAGGGTACTACGGTAAGTGTTGCAGTAGTGCAGGTGATTTTTTTTTTTTTTTTTTTTTGATACGGAAAAGTACACTAAAAGGATAATGTACAAAAACGCATCAGGCAGTCGTAACTGTGTCTGAAGGGACACGCCACGGCACCATGCACCGCAGGCTCCCTATAGCGAGCCTACGGTGGCTGATGAGTCATCTTCGGGTTGTTCCAGATGGAGCTAAAGCTGTCCCTCCACGTCAGCGTCACTCCCTTGCTGCATATTCGCCTCATCACCCCCGCCTCATCTGCTTCCAGGTAGCCCCAGTTGTCATCCTTGACAGCCACGCCTTGCTTCCGCGCTGCCACTTGCCTTGCCGGGCAATACACCCTGGCGTGCGCGACAAACTTTACCACCGCCAGGCGTATCACCTTCTTCGGCTGGAATCTGATGTCCCGACGGCTCGCGTCACACCTTGCTAGCCACACCTGGTGAAGTGTAGTAGCAATGAAGGAGCTTTCCGGAAAACCGGACTTCGTGCTTCCCTGCATGAAGAGAAGGTCCTCCAAACCCTGCCAGCTCAACTGCGGATTCATCTCAGCCAGCCCCCTTCGTAGGAAACGAACCACCTTCTGAATTGCCGGGCAGCTGAGCAGGCAGTGCTCCGGTGTCTCCTCGGCTTTGCAGTGTGGGCAAACCACCTTGTCCTTCATAAAGAAAAGTCGCTCCCCCACCTGCAGGTTCCTACAGTGCAGCCTCAGCAGAATTTCACGTGCCCGGGCAGGGGTGGCGAGAGAGTCCCTCTGCTTGATGACCCGCTCCCACTCAATAACCCTCCCATCACCAATCCACCTCCTCTGCTCCTTCACAACACCAGCTGAGGTGACCAACCCCTTCCTGATTCCTTTCAGCGGTAGAACCTCTCCGTCCTTGATTAGCTCAGATTGTAGAAACTTCGTCCGCGCCTCGCCCATAGGCCCCAACACTTTATCCCCCTGGGCTACCATCGGCTCCCCGCTATGCAGTCCAAAATTTACCGGGTATCTCCCGTCTCCGACTGTGAAAGTACCGTCAGCGTTTTCCCGACACAGCACCCCCGTCACTCTGCCGTTATCCGCGCCGCCAACCTTCCAGAGCGTAGGGCGCGCGAAGATACTCCTCTGGTGCCGCAGCAGTGAAACCTTAGCTACTACCTCCTCGCTTGACAAAGTTTCCAGCAGCATGTCTCTCCATCCGACCGGCGCCGCCGCAAAAGCTTTCAGCGCCAACTTAGCCGCTTCTCCGCTGCCGAGCTCGCTCACCAGAGTTTCCTCACTCTTCAGCGCCCGCGTGCCATCCGCCCGGCGCCAGACCAGATCTCCCATTGTTAGCCCCAGTAGCCGTGCTGAACCTTCCTGATTCCCGAAAGGACTGGCCCCCCTGAAAGGTATGCGTCTGTTGAAAGCTAACTTCTCCCGCTCCGCCTCCCAGCGATTCTTTGGCTCCGGGGTAACACAGAACGGCGATTTCCAGAATGCTTGCGTCATGTCCTTCCAGCGCTTACTGCCCTCCTTCCAGTGTTTTAGCAGGGACTGGTGAGCGTAGATTGTATCCAGGCCCAGAGGCATCGCCGCCGCCTGTTCCGTCAGCCACCTCTTGACAGGATTCGCTTGCAGCATCATGCGCCCAACGTTCTGCACCGCTATGCTGTCGAAACGTTTCTTGGGGCATATCATCCCCAGCCCTCCTTCTTCCCGGGGTGTGCAGACCAACTCGTAGTTCCAGAGGACGAAGGCCTTTTCCTCCGTCGCCTCCCCTCCTGACACGAAATGGTGACAGATCCGCTTGATCTTCGTCCAAACCTCCTCCGGTGGTGGGTAAATGTACGCCTGGAACATGAAAATCGGCGATATATACCCGTTGATTATCGTGACCCTTGCTGACGTTGTTAGGTGCTGGATCTCCCACTTGGCTAACTCTTTGCGCGCCCTGTCCAAAGCTTTCTCCCAGGACGGAAGTGGGTCGCCGTTCGGAGTGATCCAGACCCCCAGTAACCTCTCCGGTGCAGCTGTGTCTGCCCATTTGAACTGCAGGTCCGCCGGCGGAGGTTCCCCCCTGTTCTTCCCGAGTGGAAAGACCACCGTCTTCCCCTTGTTCACTTTCAGCCCTGATGTTTTCCCGAAGCTCTCCAGTGCTTCAGCCGCTGCAGTCAGCTGCTCTTCCCCCTGCAATAGTAGCGATGTGTCGTCGGCGTACCCCAGATACGCCAGCCTCTCTGCGCCCTCATCGCCAATTCCCAGCCGTCGCCGCGCAAACTCCTGGCAGAGCGGCTCCACCGCGCATAGGAAGAGGTACGGCGCGAGCGGGCAGCCTTGCCGCACCCCTCTTTCCACCGCGACTCTATCACCTGTCCACCCGTTAATGTGCAACCGTGTGCCTGCTCCTGTGTGCAGGCCTTCTGCCCAAGACACGAACTGCTCCGGAACCCCCATCCCCCGCAGCGTACGGAAGAGGAAGGGCCTTGAGATGGTGTCAAAAGCCTTCTGAAAATCAATCATCAAGAGGAACCAGTCCTTGCCACCATTGGCACCCGCCTCGATAGCATCAGCTACCACCGCGACAGCGTCCGCCACCTTCCGACCAGGTAAGAAGCCCGCTTGGTCCTCTGAGATCACTTCATGCAGAACCTTCTTAAGCCTTGTTGCCATTACTTTCGCTAGCACCTTGTAGACCGTGCTTAGCAGTGTGATAGGCCTGTAATTCCCTAACTCCTCCTTACTCCCCTTTTTGTGCAGCAAAATCGTGACCGCAGTTGAGATTTCACGTGGAAGTTCCGCCGTTCGCGTGAAGTTTTCGACAAACTGCATCAGTACCGGCCCAAGCAAGTCCCAGTTGTACTCGAACAGCTCCTTGGGAAGACCGTCATGACCAGGCGACTTCCCCGGAGCTAACTCGCGCACCGCCGTCCGGACTTCCTCCTCCGACCATGGTGCACTGAGGGTGCGGCGGCTGGCGTCGCACAGCGTTCGGCCCATAACCGTCGGTTCTGCTTCCTGTGGGTCCGCCTCCCCGCCTCCGCCGAAGGAGTCCCTGAAGAACTCCGTCGCCGCTGCGAGCACTTCTCTTGCACCTGAGTGGGTGCAGCCCTTGAAGTGAACAGCACTCATCTCCGTTTTTCCCAGGAAGAAAACCAGTTGTCGTCTCTCCGTCTAGCTCCGCCTTCACCCCGAGCCACTCCTGCAACTTCTCTTGGTGATTTTTTTCGTACGCATTGAGTGACTCCTCTTTTTTTAGCAGGATCGCCCCCGTCCGTTGACAGCTTGGGTTCTGCGACAGGCGCTGCCGGAAGACCCTCACCTCCCTTTCCAGATGTTTTTTGGTTGCCCCGACCCTCTTCCTTTCCTCCCTTGTATACGCTCGCAGGCACGCCGACAGCCTGGGCAGCAGCACGCCGAGGTCCCCACCCGCGCCCCTGATCACCTGCTCCACCCGGTTCCTGACTCCTTTCTTTTTTGCTTGTATCGCCCTGAGCCGCCAGATTCCAGGTCCCCGCTCAACTGCCGCCGACGACTCCAGCGCAACTATCACCGCGCTCCAATGATCCGTCATTTTATTTGTTATGTCTGCATGCCGCACCTCCACCAGCTTGCACAGCAGCTGTTGCGACACCAGCGCACGATCAATCCTGGTGCTCACCCCCTTGGCCCTCATGTGGAAAGTATACTCCCTCTTGCCAGGGTGCATAAATCTGAAGGCATCCGTGAGCGGGGAGCTCGCCCAGTAGCTCAACAACCTTCGGTTTTCTGCCGCCGACCCCACCCCTGTTGACTTGTCAAGCGCCGGATCCTCCACCACATTCATGTCGCCCATCACCAGGACACCCGGCGTCTTTGGTAAGGTGTCCAGGAAGGGTCCCAGGCAGTCTCTGTGAGTAGTGCAGTGCAGTGTTGCAGTAGTGCAGTAGTGCAGTGCAGCATACTGTGAGGTGAAGACATGGCTGGCAGTGTCAGCTTTATTTTCCCCACGTTCTACCAGTTACCAGTAATAGGTTGTCCTTTCTAACTTTCACTAGCAGTTCTATTAGTACCTTTATGTACCCAGCAGTGGTTATTTTACATTGCAATGCAGACGTACCTTGTTGCCATGATGCCATCACTTACAGTATTTAGGAGTTGCTCCTGCATGCCAGATTGTCTACGCGTAACATTGCTCGTATAGAGAACAGCTTCTTGTACCGGAAAAGGTTAAGGTTCTAGATACGAAAGTTGCGGTACTGTGAAACAACAATTCAGAATTGAGCAACACCGCCGCTTCGCTTATTCTCCTGAGATGGATGAATAGTTGAGACTAGGGCATTAGGTGCCAGAGTTGTTGATCAAGTGTGTGTGAAGAGCTAGTATACAACCATGTCACTACCATAGTACGGTAGTAGCACCCGTCACGTCACAGCACACATCACAAGGGTGGCTTGGCTAGGTACGACGAGAATTGGAAGCATTGCAGCAGTAACAGCCATCGCCGAAATAATCCCTATCGATGTGCTCAGCTCAGCATAATTTGGTATAAAGGATTCTCATGTGCATCGTCTGTGAATTCAAGTTTTCAGTGATTTCAATCCGAAGTACAAAGAGTTATCATTGTCCAGCCTCCACAAACAAGTATTGACCAGGAGCGGCCCATCCATGCACTACAAGAGCATGATGAGCTATGCTGTAAACAGCATGCCCAGCACTGCATGTAAGTTCAGACATTCCCTCCTGCCCAGAGGCATTCTGCGGAGCCGACCATTTATTCAAAGATCACTTCGAGTGAACGACAGTAAGTGATCGATGGCCTTGTTGCTGCTGTGCCGTGGTATGCAGCTACGCACATGTCCAGGGAATCTGTTCAAGTCAAGCGCTGAATGAACTGAAACCCCTTTCAGCTCTGTCTGTCGCTCTCACTGGATGCAGCAACAGCGTGGCTCACAGAAGCAACCCCAACGGCATCATCAGCAACCCCATCACTGTCGCCTGCACGTGTCCCACCCACAGCAGTGCCACCTGTAGCAGTGCCACCCACAGCAGTGCCACCTGTAGCAGTGCCACCCACAGCAGTGCCACCTGTAGCAGTGCCACCCACAGCAGTGCCACCTGTAGCAGTGCCACCCACAGCAGTGCCACCTGTAGCAGTGCCACCCACAGCAGTGCCACCTGCACCAGTGCCAGTGCCACCCATTGCGGTGCCACCAGCAGCCGTCTCCCTGGCAGCAGTATCCCCATCAGCATCCGCACTGCTCATTTCAGCCAGACTGCTGTGATCGTACTGAATGATATCGCCACTCATACTCCACGCTGAACTATACCCCGTTCTGAAACTCGCACTCGCACCCGCACTCGCATTCCCCTCCCCTCCCAGCCACAGGCTTCGGACCGACACACCCGCCCCTCCCGGCTCCCTCACACTCCTCTCCCCCATCCCCACGTTCCCTCCCTCTCCTGAATATCTGCTATTCCTCACGCTTCCCTTCTTAGACTCCTCCTCTCTGGTGGCTGTGGCAACAGCAGCGGGACTAGTAGCAACAGCAGCGGGACTTGTAGCAGCAGCAGCAGCAGCAGCAGAAGCAGCAGCAGCAGCAGCAGCAGCAGCCACTACAGCAGTCGGCACCATTCCCCCCCTAACATCTCCCCAGCTTCCCCTAACCCCACTCCCTTCCCCCACCAGCACCCTCTCGCCGTCCTTCTTACCGTCCTTAACCTTCCCCTCTTCCCTCCCACCCCTCTCTCGCTCCCTACTCGGCCCAGCACCCAGCTCCTCTGCACCAATGAAAACTTCCGCTTCACCGTTCCCAACCCCGGAAGTTTCCCCTAAATCTTCTCCTCTCATTCCGTCCGTCCCATGCCCACTTGCGTTAAGCACATGCCCCCCTAGAGGAACACACAAACAAGAAACTCCTGTGCCATGCCCATGCGCATTCCCGTGCCCATGCCCATGCCCATGCCCGTGCCCCTCCGAATGCCGCAACAGGGGACCGTTCTCGCCCTCCTCCTCCTCACCTCCTACCTGCTCTCCACTGCCTTCCTCCTCCTCTCCTGTCCCTCGCACTCCACCCTCCACTCTCCCTACCATGTCCGCCACTTCACCATTCAACAGACCAGCTTCTGAGCCTTCAGTCACACCATTAGCCGCAGCATGTCCTGCTGTGCCATTTGGTGCACCCAACCCTCCTTTAACTACCTCGCTTCCACCAACCGCACCAACAGCAGCAGCAACACCAACAGCACCAGCAGCGGCAGCAACACCAACAGCAGCGGCACTCGGGTCAACATCACCACCCTCCTGCTCTGCTCCACGCGCATTTGACTTAGACAGCCCCCGGCCCAGCCAGCCCAGCAGCGGCACTCGTGCCAGCACGGCACCCCACCTCCACCCTCCCTCCCTTCCCTCCACTCCTTCCTCCCCAGCCGCCGCCACTCCATCTCCCTCCAAATCCCCATCCACACCACCATCACCCCCACCCTTGCCACGCCCCACCTTATCAGCAGCAGAACCATCGCTACTCGCCCCACCTACATCCACCTCCCCAAGCGACCCGGACCCTTTCCCCCGGCGGAGCGAGGCAGAGTGAGCAATCACAGATAGCTTCCTTTCCTCCACCATCGACGCTTCCAGCGGAGACACATAGAAATCCGGGTTGATGATCTGGTGAATGTTTTCCGAGGGGGGTGCGTCCGGGGACAGGTCTGGGTTGTGCAGCAGGCGCATGCAGAAGGGCATGTACTCGGGAGCCATGTCGTCCATGCGGTGCTGCATGTCGTGGCCCTGATTGTACTCGTCCACATCTACTGCTAGCTCCAACGGGAGGAACCTGCAGTGGGGATGGTGGGAGGGGGCCACGAGGGGGGGATATTTGAGGCAGCTCAAAGACCATGTCGTGGCTCTGATTGTACTCGTCCACGTCTACTGACTGCTAGCTTCAACGGGAGGAACCTGTGCAGTGGGGGAGGGGGGGGAGCACAAGGAGGGGAACGGAGTCTGTTTGTGAGGCGCCTCAGAAATAGATTCCTCGAATTCGAGTGCTGTGGCTCTGATTGTACTCGTCCACATCTACTGCTAGCTCCAATGGGAGGAACCTGCCGTGGGGGAGGGGGGGAGGGGGGCACGAGGAGGGGGGGATACATTTGAGGCAGCTCAAAGGCCATCTCGTGGCTCTGATTGCACTCCTCCACATCCACTGCTAGCTCCAATGGGAGGAACCTATGGTGAGGGGAGCACGAGAGGGGAGATGGGGCGCGAATAGTGGTTGTGTTGAAAAGGAAAGGGAAAGAAGGGAGAGATAGGAGTAGCGCTGAAGAGGGAAACAGGAGATAATGAGGAAGGAGGGAAGGGTAAGCGAGGAAGGTTTTGAGAGGAGAGAGAGCGAATAGGAAGATGAGGGAGGAGGAGCAGGGAGGAAGACGAGGGAGGAGGGCAACTGACTGGAAGGAGTTGGTGAAGTTGGCGAGTATGAGAGCCATGAAGTAAAAGGTGAGGGTTTAGAGCAACGGGAAGGGGAGCAGGGAGCGGGGAGCAGGGAGCAGAGAGCAGGGAGCAGGGAGCAAGAGGAGGGAGCAAGAGGAGGGAGGAAGAGGAGGGAGAGGAGTCACTGACTGGAAGGTGTTGGTGAACTTGGCGTGTATGAGCGCCATGAAGTAGAAGGTCACAAAGGGTAGCGGCGCTGCTGCTGCTGCTGGCAGGTATGCCTGCTTGATGACAAAGATGCCGATCACCGTGACCTGCATGCATGGGTGTGCCACGACAACAGGCATTGGGGTCAGCACTCGTGCGTGTGTACATGTGTGCGCGTGCGTGCGCGTGCATGCGCGTGTTTGTTTGTGCGCTTACGTGTGTGAGCGTGAGTTCGTGCGTATGTGTGTGCGTGCATGGCAGCAAAACTGTCTGAAGAACTGTTCTACTACTAGTGAGTTTTTTGTGTGTGTGTGTGTGTGTTTTTTTTTTCGATGCCAAACCGCCAATGTGACCAAAGCTGCCCAAGCTGCCCAACTGCCCAAGTTGCCCAAGCTGCCCCAGCTGCCCCAGCTACCCAAGCTGCCCCAGACCTGTGCGATGATGAGAGCTGCGTTCACGTGGCCCACGAACTTGATCCACAGCAGCCCTCCCGTCTGGTACGGGTACGAGTACACATACATGATCTGAGAGGGGGGGAGAGGTGTGGGATTGCAGGAAAAGGAGGGGGGGTCGGGTTGACTTGTGGAAGTGCGGGTAAGGGCGTGTAACTAATTCCGTGTGGACGGAGGCCCGTCCGGACTTTTGTAGGGTTACAGCTTTCGCCTTAGTTCGTGAGGAACTTCGCAAGCCCCCCTGCGACGTCGCCACCGTCCGGACCAAATCTGACACTTATTTGTCAGAAGGGGTCCGGACCATCCTTCTGACACCGTCCGAACGGCAAAGCGGACCGTCCGTCCTACCTGCGCTGTCATTGGCGCACGAAGTTCACTTACAATTTCGAGTGTGCTGATGTAATGCGTGTTACTTTTCGCAGCTACATTAAAAAATTCGCCCACGAAAAAGTTCCACATCTGTGGTCCGGACGGGCTGTCGTCCGGACCTTTGTACCAAACGTCCGGACGGAGCTTCGTCCGGACGGTTTGGAAGCTACGTCCGGACTTGGGCCCCTTTCGGAAAAAGTTACACGCCCTAAGCGTTGGGAGAGGATGGGGGAGTGGGGCAGCGGAAAGGGGGGGCGGGAGTGGGGAGGAAGGGGGGGGGGAAAGGGAGGAGGGGATTGTTTGGAGATAAGAGAAGGCTTACACGTAGGACTGTGAGGAATGACATGGGTGTGGGTGGAGTGGAATATACAGTGTAATGCAACTGAATAACCCACCCACCTGGTGCTTCCACACGAGGTACCCAATGCAGGAGTAGAAGCAGACGAAGGGCAGGATGATGGGGGCGATGACCGCATACACGAGCCCGATGGTGATCACCAGGTTCTGGTACGGGAAGAAGATGTGGTAGTTGATGCCGCCCTGAGGGTGGTTGGGATGCGATGCGATGGGATGGGATGGGATGGGATGGGATGGGATGGGATGGGATGGGATGGGATGGGATGGGATCAGGTGTACGGGATATGAGGAGTTGAGGAGCCCGATGGTGATCACCAGGTTCTGATACGGGAAGAAGATGTGGTAGTTGATGCCGCCCTGTGGGTGGTTGGGATCGGGTGCAAGAGACGAGGAGCGTGAGAATGATATATTTCATTCAGCTTTCAGTAGACTCAGAGATAAACTGGTATGGGAAGAAGATGTGTTGGTGATGCTGCCCTGAGGGTTGGTTGGTTGGTTGGTTTCGCGTCCGCATATGATGACAACCCTGAATGATGGCTACGGGACGAGAAAGGAAGAGCAGATCGAGCAGAAAAGAAGCGGGGGCGAGTGGGAGAGGTAGCGGTATAGGGGGAAGGTGTGGAAGGAAGATGTTAGCATTGATGTGGATAGCCTGGGGTGTTAGGTGCATGCACAATCCACACTCCACTGTGGAAGGGAAGGCAAATGGTTGTCCAGTGTTGAAAACTGAGACGAGACAAAGAGTTGCCATAAATCGGGGTGCTCTGAGAATCGAACTCGGGACCTCTCGCACCCGAAGCGAGAATCATACCTCTTTATTGACACTAGTAAATGTACAATGGATACAAGGCAAATCCAGAGACGTAGTGTATGGAGAGACATGCAGGCTAATCCTATTGTGAGGCCTACAAATAGGCCTCTGTGATGTCTCAATGGTCCTCTCCCAAGTAGGCAAAGTCAGCTGCAGAAAGAGAAGTCACCTCGGGTGGTGCGTGGTTGACGCCCTCGGTAAAACGAATTTGTGCACGACGACAAACAGTGCGAGCCTGCTCACGTTGATGGACCAGAGAAATCCGTTTGTAGAAGTTGGTCTCAAACAGCTGGGGAAGAGAATCTGTGGCACCACTCAAGTCGCGGAGTTGTGACGCCCCTTTGCGGCTGCATTGGCGAAGGAAGTTGTTGAACGAAGAGCCGAAGCAACCAAAGGTTTCGATGACAAGGGGAAACAGTTTGATGTCTGGACGGTCACGAAGTGCTGCAGCATAGTGGGTGGTCTTCTCACTTTCACGAGTGGCTGCTGCTGAACCAATCACCGTAGCTGCGTTGGAGTGCGGAAACCCCTTTTGTGGATCAGCAACAGAAACATCCAAGGCCCAGGTGGTACCAGAGCTAATATCGCGGCAAGTGATGTCTGTGCGGCGGCCAGGCAGGAGATGCTGGTCTTCCATCTGCGCAGAGAACCCAAGCTCCAAGGCAATGCGATGAACTTCTCGTTTGATTGCGTCGTGCACCTTAGTAGGCTCGTTGTTGCTAGGGCAGCGAAGGACATGAGAATGGATGGAAGGATCGGTGAACGGGGAGTTGCAGGTGCAGGTGAGTGAAGATGAAAGGTGAGGAAGAGGAAGGCCTAAGCGGATAGCTGCTGCAATGCGCCATTCAGTCTCTGAAAGCTGCATGTGCGGGGAGGATGGAGCCACAGTGAGCCAGTCACCTGCATGCGGGCCCTGCAAAGAGGTTAGACGAGCAAGGCGAAGCGGGGACGTTACTGTGGCTCGAACCTTCTCCAGCAAATCGGCTTCGAGGTGTTGGGAGAGATGAGTAAAGAGTTTAGGAGGGTAGCCCGATTGAAGCACAAGCCATGATGGGAAGCGATCACGAATGTCTTGGGGAAGCATGGTCATGGTGGATGAGATTGAAGGGTCGAGGAGGTTAATGGAGTCCGTGGTGACGTAAGGGCGGAAAAGAGGAGCACCATCAGTGATGAAGTGGGTGGATAAGGTCGAAACTGTCTGCGCCCAGCTACAAAGGTAACTGAGGGGGGCGATGGATGCAGAGCTGCGAATGCCGAAGCCACCTAAGCGGATAGGGAGCGAGGCTTGGAGGCGGGCCGATGTGGACTGTTCAGAGGTGGGATTCCAGTACTCAGAGCCCAGGAGCTGAGAGAAGTGGCTGAAAATGGTGCAGTCCCATGAAGAAAGTAGCTCTTGGATTTCGGGAAAAGGTGCGACAGTTCGGAGGAGGAAAGAAGGTCGGGCAGTGATGCATAAGGAAAGGATCCGTGAGGCAATCTGTGGGTCCTGCAGTTGATGCAGTAAGGGGAGGGAGGAAGTGAAAGAATCGAGTTTGTCACGAACTGTAGAGATGATGTAACCGTCGGAGCCGGTAGGAACGCCAGCGACAGTGAGACCGTTTGCAGCGATGGAAATACCCGGGGGTGGAATGCAGTGTTCGGGCAGGTCCATAGGGGCCCATAGAGAGCACTTAGAGGGTTGGACTGTAAGGCCGAGAGAGAGAAGGCGGGAGGTAAGGTCAGTGTATGCGGCAAAGACGTCTGAGGGAGGGCCGACCAAGTAGGTATCGTCTGCGTATGAGGTAATGAAAATTGAGGGAGACTGCTGCTGGGTTGGTTGGATGGCTAGCTGCTGTGTTAGGGCATAAAGGAAAGGGCCACAAGGGTCGCCTTGACGAACACCAGAAGCTGATTGGAATGTGTGGAGAAGGGGGCCGCTGCGGTAGTGGAGAGGTGAAGGGGTGGAGTAGAATAGGCGGAAGAAGGGAATGAGACTGGAGAATGGGGAGCGCCTTAATGCCTCAAACATGGAAACCCGGTTGAACGAGTTGAACGCGTTTGCAACGTCCAGCTGAAGCACCACCCAGTCTGGATGAAGGGAGAAGGCGGAGCACACTGCGTGCGACATAATCTCGATCCCGGCCGGAACTGCTACGCCAAATTGAAGGTGAGGAAGGAATGTCTCTCGCATCTGCTGCTTAAAAAGGAGAGTGATGCAGCGTGAAAGGAGGCGTGGTAGCACTTCCCCAATGGCGATGGGACGTACACCACCATGCGGTTTCTGCAGGGCCACGAGGTTCGAAGCGGTGTAGAAAGGCCTGACTGTGGGCGGAAGGTCACCCTGCAGCCAGTTCTGGAATACGTGGAGGAGAGAAGGGAGATGCTGCTGGTGAGAAAGAAACGTGTCCCTGAGGTGCTCAATGAACCACCCAGAAGGTCCAGCAGCTGTGCCACGGGGGGCGGACTGTAGAGCGGCATGGAGAACAGGGACGGTAAGCTGTGGTGCGGCTGCAGGAGTGAAGGTGTGTACCCAGTCAGGAATCTCTGCTGCAGCAGGTGGGTGCTTGGAGCTGAGGGCAACAACTGTTTCTGATGATGGAGGAGCTAGCTCGCCAGCTTCCAGTGCTGCCAGTGACCGCGACCAATCCCCGCATTTTGCAAACCGCTTCGCACGGTTGAGACGAGCCTGCTGCGCTGTAGAACGTGCTGAAGCCATGTGCAGAGGTCTAGCGGCTGGAGTGGCTGCAGCTACGGCTTCGCTGAAAAGAGAGTGCCAGTCACCAGTGATGAAGCGGCGCGCTAAGGCAGCACATGAAGAGGTAAGGGGCTGTGTGGGAGCAGCGGCAGAAGGTAGGCGCAGTAGGAGACGCGGAAATGCCAAGAGAATGAGGTGTGCAGCGACGTCAGAAGGATGTTGTGCAAGGCGGCGCAGTGGAATGAGAAGTGCATCGAGAATGAGGAGTCGGATGCGGGAGGGGATTCGGCGGAGAATAGGGCCAGGTGAGACTGCCGGGCTGAAGAAGGAAGGCCAATCCCAGGAAGGAACGGCCTCCCAAGTGGCTTGAGGAATTGCAGGTCGATCTGCGGCTGCAGGCGCCGAGGTTGGGGCTGATGAGCGGGGAGGAGGAGGGCGAGCAGCTTGCTGACGTGTGGCGGTGTTGCGAGAGCAGGCTGGAAGGTGACGGGCCAACGAACCTGAGTTGGCAAAGGTGCGTCGACATGTGGGGCAAGAATTAGGAGGTAGTGGGTTATCGGAGGTTGATGAGGGCGGGCAGGGTTGCGGGCATGGCTGCGTAGAGTGAGGGGTAGGGGAAGGAGGAGGGGGATCTCGAGAAGGTGAAGCAACAGTTTCATAGTGTGATAGTGGGTGCGTGTTGTCGGCAGGGGCTGTGGGATTAGGAGCATCTGCTGTAGTCGTCGGTGGAGGTGTTGAGGTAGATGAAGGATGGGCACGGGAAGTCGAGAGCTGAGGGTGAGAGGTTTGAGGCCGTGATGGAGACGGAGAATCAGGAAGGGTGGCTTTAAGGACCTGCTGGAGAATCTCCTTTTGTTTGTCCGAGACAATTTTTGGCGCTGTTGTTGGCTGAGGTTGCTGGGAGGGAGCAGAAGATGATTGAGGCTTAGGAGTAGGGGGTGGTGCAAGGGCTGATGAGGAGGTCGAAAGAATCGCGAAGGCTGGAGTTTGTCGCGAACGGGCAGGCGGACGAGGAGAAGTGGGTTCAGAGTCTTGGGCACCACGACCCCTTTTGCGGCCTGTCATTCTGTAAGGTATTGGGCTGGTGGCATGCAAAATGATGTTGGAGGTAAAGGAAGCATAAGAAATGAGGTGGAAAGTGTAGTCTTTGTTTCAAGGAAGAAGTTGGTGTAGCGAGGAAGGTCACAAAAAGTGGTTGGGGAGAAGCACAAGCGCGGATGTGAGGTTGGCAAAGTGGCGGGAATTTGGGTTGATGGGGGGAGGCGAAAATGCACGTCGGGGGAAGGGGGTTCGCAAATCTGTTGTTCGTGTAGCAGGAGGTAGAAACTGATGACGGCACCGTGCTGTCCACTGCTGCTCAACACAAAGCTCAAGCCGCGCCGTTGCAAGGAAGATTCCACTCTGCGCCGTGCGCTAATTGCCTGCCAGATAAGCACTAGTTTCGTATCAACGTGCGCCAACACCGACACGGTAGATCCACGATTGTAGTTTCGATCGCCTCTCGCGTCAAGGGTGTCGCGGATTGCTAGCAAGTCGTGGCTCAAATGTACGAGTATAAGAGAAGATGCAAGGTTGCTGATTTCGCCCTTTAGCGGAGAGTAGTGAGCTTAGCAGCTTTACTTGAGCGAGCAGCTTAGCGAACTACTACGAGGAGCGTACTAGCGCTTTTTATAGGAGCTGCAGCGAGCTTGAGTGACAACGAAGCAAACTACTACGAGGAGCGTACTAGCGCTTTTTATAGGAGTTGCAGCGAGCTTGAGTGACAACGAAGCAAACTACTACGAGGAGCGTACTAGCGCTTTTTATAGGAGCTGCAGCGAGCTTGAGTGACAACGAAGCAAACTACTACGAGGAGCGTACTAGCGCTTTTTATAGGAGCTGCAGCGAGCTTGAGTGACAACGAAGCAAACTACTACGAGGAGCGTACTAGCGCTTTTTATAGGAGCTGCAGCGAGCTTGAGTGACAACGAAGCAAACTACTACGAGGAGCGTACTAGCGCTTTTTATAGGAGCTGCAGCGAGCTTGAGTGACAACGAAGCAAACTACTACGAGGAGCGTACTAGCGCTTTTTATAGGAGCTGCAGCGAGCTTGAGTGACAACGAAGCAAACTACTACGAGGAGCGTACTAGGGGTTTTTTATAGGAGCTGCAGCGAGCTTGAGTGACAACGAAGCAAACTACTACGAGGAGCGTACTAGCGCTTTTTATAGGAGCTGCAGCGAGCTTGAGTGACAACGAAGCAAACTACTACGAGGAGCGTACTAGCGCTTTTTATAGGATGAAGAAACAATTGTACACAGCTACACTTCACACCTACCTCCACCCTTTGCCTGAATAGATTCAGGAGTCCATCCCATAGCCTCTTCCCCAACATCCATATTCACGTCCCACTCTTTCTCCCTCATCTATGGCTCACCTATTCCTTTCCCTCCCTCTCCTCCCCCTTTCCCCTTCCCCCCACCTTCTGTCCCTTCCCCCCCCCTAACCCACCTGGTTCCAGAGCTTTTCGCGGTCGGCAATCTGGACCCCAGTGAAGAGGATGCGGAAGAGGTAGACAAAGAGCGCGATGGGGAGGCGCAGCAGCTCGACGCCAAAGATGATGGTGGAGGTCATCACGTACGACAGGTAGAACCCCGACGTGCTCGGCACCGACTTCCCCAGGATCTCCAGCACGTATGATGGTTGCTCCAGGAGCAGCTGTGGACGGGCGACGAGGAGGGAAGAAGATGGGAGAAGGGGAATGAGAAGGGGAAGAGAAGGAGCGAGGTTTGGAGAAAGGGGTTGGGGGAGGAGTTAGGTTGGGAGCATTGTCGAGACTTTTTACTTCCCCAGGATCTCCAACGCGTACGATGCCTGCTCCAGGAGAAGCTGTTGATGGGCTCGAGTCGAGGAGAGAAGAATTTGGGTGAGGGGGAAGAGAGGGTTTGATTTGGATAACTCTATCGAGAATCCCCTGCTTCCTCAGGGTTTCCAGCATGTATTTTAACTGCATCTGTAGTACGTTCTTTATTTGAAATGGTTTCTATCTATCCCCATCTGCTGCACCAGCAACACCATTCACTCTCAAATCCGCTGCATGTGAAAAAATACCATTCACCCCGACATCTGCTGCTCTGAAAAAACTACAAATCGCATGCCTGGATTTACTGCAGCACGGAGGTGGTAAAGAAGAAGCCAAAGAACACGTTGCAGAGCAGGATGTAGTAGAAGCGCGTTTTGAGGCGCCTCAAAACACCAACCACACGAGTTTTGCGGCATCTCAAGCACCATTTACAGCAGATTTGAGGCACCTCAAGCACCAATCATACCTGGATCTGCTGCAGCACCGAGGTGGTAAAGAAGAAGCCAAAGAAGACGTTGCAGAGCAGGATGTAGTAGAAGCGCTCTGCAGCCAGGCGCTCAGCAGCCGAGGTGGAGAGGCAGCCCTGCATGTAGGAGAGCATGACCATGAGCGGTGGCGCTATCCAGTAGCACACACGCAGCCCCACTGCCGGCAGGATGAGCGTCAACCCCTTGAACAGCCACCCACTGCCAAGGAGAGGAGGAGGGGAGCGGAGGAGGGGAAAAACTTCTGAAACGGCAGGCTCGGACTGAGGGAGTTTGGGGGAGACCAGGAGAGGCCAGTGTGAGTCAGGGAAGTAAAGGCAAGTGAAGGATGTAGTAGAAGCGCTCTGCAGCCAGGCGCTCAGCAGCAGAAGTGGAGAGGCAGCCCTGCATGTAGGACAGCATGACCATGAGCGGTGGCGCTATCCAGTAGCACACACGCAGCCCCACTGCTGGCAGGATGAGCGTCAGGCCCTTGAACAGCCACCCACTGCACAGCGGGGATGGAGAGTGGGGGAAGAGAGAGAGAGAGGGTGACCACGGGTGACAGAAAGGCAAGCGAGAGTGACCATGTGACTGTATGTATGCCAAACAAATGGCACTGCAATGCATGGTGGGAGAGGAAACGATTATATGATTCAATAGCATAAGAACGGACCGGATTCTTTAGGGGACGGGAAGAGATAAGGGTGCGATGAGAGGTGGAGTGGGGAGGTGGGATGATGGTGCGATGCAACATCATATTCCTTGGATTCCCCAAACGGCCCCATTCATTCCTCGGTTTTGTTTCCCAAACTTACATGTGTTCACCCTGCATTTTTCCACTGGCTCTCCAGATCCAGCCACCCACCCAGCCTCCCACCCAGCCACCCACCCAGCCACCCACCCAGCCACCCACCCAGCCACCCACCCAGCCACCCACCCAGCCACCCACCCAGCCACCCACCCAGCCACCCACCCAGCCACCCACCCAGCCACCCACCCAGCCACCCACCCAGCCACCCACCCAGCCACCCACCCAGCCACCCACCCAGCCACCCATCCAGCCACCCATCCAGCCACCCATCGACTCACCCACCCTTCCATGCACCCGCCCATCCACCCACGCACCCACCACCAGCCCAGTCGCCTACTTTTGATCGATATTCTTGAGCGGTGGGAAGATGGCCGAGAGCGTGTCAAAGGAGATGAGGAAGCTGGCGGCGGTGACAGGCAGGTAGAAGAACACCACAGAGCACACAAAGATGCCATTCGCCACCTGCGTGCGGATGCGCCGCTCCCAGAACCGCGGCTCCAGGTTCTGCCACGCCACGTCCCGGGGCTCCGGTGCGCGGTGCACCAGCCACGCAGAGCCCTGCAGTGCGTGGGCTGTTTGGACTGCCACGGCTGAGGAGCGCCGCTTGCGGAAGGCCACAAAGGCCGCGCCCGTGCGCCTGGGGGTGAAGGGGAGAGGGTGTGGAGCAAAGGGAGAGGATGAGGTTCTGCCACGCCACGTCGCGGGGCTCAGGCGCGCGGTGCACCAGCCACGCCGAGCCTTGCAGTGCGTGGGCTGTTTGGACTGCCATGAGGAAGGATGAGGGTAGAGGGAAGCCTGGTGCATTCGGCATTGGTAGTGGAGTGCAGTGCAGTGCAGCAACTCTGCTGCTTGCAAAACGCACCACCAGACCACCAAACCATCAAAGGCGCTGCAGCTTGCACTCCTAGTTGTCCTCTTCCCCCTTTCCCCTTCCCCCCTTCCCTTTCACTCCTTACCCTTTCGCATTTTTCATCTTCCCCTTCCCCCTGCCCCCCCTCCTCCCTCCCTCCCCCTCTCTCGCCTTGCCCCCAGCCCTTACCGGCGTGCGGAGGCGGTTCTCTGCGCCTCTTTGAGTGCCTTGCTGGCGTCCTCCACCTGGCGGATCCAGTAGGCAATGCTCGGCTCCCTGGGTCCCACCATGAACACCTGCACGCACACGCACAGACACACAGGCACAGGCACAGACACACAGGCACACGCACGAGCACGAGCACACGCACGAGCACGAGCACGGGCACGGGCACAGGCACGGACACACGCACACACACGCACGCACAGCCACAGCCAAACCCCGAGGCACATGTCAAATGCTAACCAGTACCAAGGCCTGGAAAACAGATACTGGAGGAGGACAGGGGGCGTGCAGGGGAGGGGAACAGCGGGAAGAAGGGGGAACGGGACAGGGAGAGAGACCTTGACAATAAAGGTCCATTCAAGAGAGGAGAGAGCACACACCTGGCGCAGCAGCCCATCGCGTCTCATCGGCACGAGCTCCTCCTCCAGCCTGGGGTTCTTGCGCTGCCGATTCCTCTCCACGCTCTGCTGGTACCGGAACATACCAGCGGAGAGGGGGAGAGAGAGGAGAGAGAGGGAGAGGGAGGAGAGAGAGCACACCTGGCGCAGCAGCCCATCGCGTCTCATCGGCACGAGCTCCTCCTCCGGCCTGGGGTTCTTGCGCTGCCGGTTCCTCTCCACGCTCTGCTGGTACCGGAACATACCAGCGGAGAGGGGGAGAGAGAGGGAGAGGGAGAGGGAGGAGAGAGAGCACACCTGGCGCAGCAGCCCATCGCGTCTCATCGGCACGAGCTCCTCCTCCGGCCTGGGGTTCTTGCGCTGCCGGTTCCTCTCCACGCGCTGCTGGTACCGGAACATACCAGCGGAGAGGGGGAGAGAGAGGAGAGAGAGGGAGAGGGAGGAGAGAGAGCACACCTGGCGCAGCAGCCCATCGCGTCTCATCGGCACGAGCTCCTCCTCCGGCCTGGGGTTCTTGCGCTGCCGGTTCCTCTCCACGCTCTGCTGGTACCGGAACATACCAGCGGAGAGGGGGAGAGAGAGGGAGAGGGAGAGGGAGGAGAGAGAGCACACCTGGCGCAGCAGCCCATCGCGTCTCATCGGCACGAGCTCCTCCTCCGGCCTGGGGTTCTTGCGCTGCCGGTTCCTCTCCACGCTCTGCTGGTACCGGAACATACCAGCGGAGAGGGGGAGAGAGAGGGGAGAGAGGGAGAGGGAGGAGAGAGAGCACACCTGGCGCAGCAGCCCATCGCGTCTCATCGGCACGAGCTCCTCCTCCGGCCTGGGGTTCTTGCGCTGCCGGTTCCTCTCCACGCTCTGCTGGTACCGGAACATACCAGCGGAGAGGGGGAGAGAGAGGGAGAGGGAGAGGGAGGAGAGAGAGCACACCTGGCGCAGCAGCCCATCGCGTCTCATCGGCACGAGCTCCTCCTCCGGCCTGGGGTTCTTGCGCTGCCGGTTCCTCTCCACGCTCTGCTGGTACCGGAACATACCAGCGGAGAGGGGGAGAGAGAGGAGAGAGAGGGAGAGGGAGGAGAGAGAGCACACCTGGCGCAGCAGCCCATCGCGTCTCATCGGCACGAGCTCCTCCTCCGGCCTGGGGTTCTTGCGCTGCCGGTTCCTCTCCAGACTCTGCTGGTACCGGAACCGCGTGCGGTCGAGCATCTGCACGGCGTGGCGCCAGCGCCCGTACGCGCGCATGACCTTGCCGTAGCTGGCGACGCCCTGGTTGTTGAGGTACGAGTCGGGGTAGAGGCGCGAGAAGAAGCGATCCACGAACTGGGAGTCGGCCACGGCGGAGGCGGAGGTGCAGTCGGCGCGCTGTGGGGGTTGGACCGCGCCCATGGTGACGATGCGCAGGAGGGTGAAGAGGCGGCGGACGGCCGGCTTGCTCAGCTTCACTGTCGGGCTGCGTGGGGGAGAGAGAGAAGGAGACGGGGCACAGGGAGCACAGAATGGCATGCGGCTTGGCGTGGCGTGGAAAAATGGACAGGGAGGAAGCTTGCATGATGGGGTAGGAACTTGTGTGTCTACTCTGCCAGGAACCAATGCTCCCACCCAGCGCATTCCCAGTCCCAACCCTGAAAAAGATCATTCCAATAGTGCGGGGAGGTTACGCAAGGAGTCACAATTCCACTTGCTCGCGCTTCAACCGGAATGGCCCCAATCCCAGACCCATGATCCGTCTACCCAGCTCGCACTTACACAACGCCTTCCTTGGGGGCGAACAGCCCCACGCTGGACTCCTGCCTCAGCTTCGGCGGCTGCGGCACGTCAGTCACGAGCACCACATACTCCTCTGGATGCAGCACCTTGGCTCTCGACGCCAGGTAGTCGTGCCTCAGCCCCCACACGTGGCGGTACGTCCACCAGATGATCAGAAACGTCGTTATGGACACCGCATACAGCATCACCAGATGCGCCCAGAACACCGGGGACCCCGGAGGCACGTTGCTTATAGAGAGGAAGTCTAAACTGGAGCTGTTGAAAGGGGTGCTGGTGGTGACGCTGGTGGCGGTGGTGGTGACAGTGGTGCTGTTAGGAGTGGAGAAATTTCCCGTAGGGATGCATGTCCAGGGGCCACCTGGAAAAGGAAGTCCGCCCGTGGACGAATTATCAGGTGCGGTAGCGTTGTCATATCCTGTGATATAGCTGAAACCAGTGCTAGTGTAGTTGACATCGACACCGTACGGAATCCCTATCATGCTGATGCAGTGCTCTCTCAGCGTGGTATTCCCACATGTTTCAGTCACATTCCAGCAGCCCTCTGTGCTGTTCCAATAGTAGCCCCTACCAGTGCCATACACTGTGCCATTCTTGCCCGCAATCCCACTGCTGTTCCTGCCGGCGCTGCCGCTGGTATTCCCGCTGCTCGCAGTGACTCCTAAAGTGCTCCTTTCGCTCCTCATACTGAACCAATCGTCCACCCCTCCGTTCCTGCTCGCGTGCCTCCCCGCACTCCTTATCGGAGTTTCAAGTAAAATGTGACTAAAACGGGCGGTTGCATTTCCTGAGCCGCTGCTGTTCTGGCTGCTGTTGCTGCTACTAATAGCGTTGGTATTGTTGTAAGTAGTAGTGGACACAGTCTTAGTGGTGGTCGTGGTTGTCGTGTTCCCCACAGTCATAGTCGTCACGGCACTGATGGTGATGGTAGAGGAGTTGCTAACATACCCGCCGTGCATCAACAGCTCACGGCTGCTCACCGCGTTAAGCGGCAGAAGCACCGGCAGGCAAAGCAGGCTCAACACCCCGAACAGCTGTATACTGAACTGGAACATTCTCAAATACACCGCGGCATCGAGCCCTGCACACTCAATTATATCCGCTTCCGTGGCCTTCAACACAGGAACGACCCAGTCGAATGGCCGGGCCATGGGCTTGTGCGGAGCATGGGGGTCATTCATGTACATGCGCGAGGCGAGCAGGCGACGGAAGAAGGTGAAGAAGTGGAGGAGGAAGAAGAGTAGCAGAAGGGCGCCGAGTCCCGAGAACATGAAGATCACCAGCGTCGCGAAATCCGCCATGGAATTCGCCTCCATGGCGCGTGATTCTGTGAGGACTGGAAGACGGGGGTAAGGGTGGTGCCGCTGCTGCTGCTGCTGCCGCTGCTGCTGCCGCTGCTGCTCCTGCTACTGCTGCGGGTGCGCGTGCTGCTGCTGCTTATGCTGTTGGAGGATGGCCGGACCTAGGATGTTTAGAAAAGCAAGCGCCGGGACGGCCTGATGAACGCCGAAAACTGGCGGGTGGTAAACCCAGCGGCGCGAGAGATCAACCTGCTTTTACATTATCTGACGAGACGCGTACAGAGACCATCAAGTTTCGCTCGTGATGCCCCTGAATCGTCTGCACGGCAAACCCGACGCGCATCGCATGAGAGCAGCAGAAGAAATGCTGGTGCTACTGGAAACACGGAGAATCAGCTCCTTTCCTGCCGGGAGTTAAGAAATTGCTGCACGAACCGGTGCTGACACGAGGCCGGTTGTCATGCTTGACCGGATCAGACCAATCGGGCCAAGCAATTGTCAGTCGCCTTAGTGGCTGAACAAACAGGACGGGCTTCCATGAAATTGGAAAGGTGACTAAGCATGGGCAACAGATTGTTGACCGACCTTGACGCCAACCCAGGAGCAGAAAAGCTTATCAAGCAGCATTTATCAGCTCCTAAAAGAGAGCGTCACCTGGACAGGAGTTGTGGTGCAGCCAAGTACATTTACCACCAGTTGTGCGAACAGGCAAGGCGAGATACTGTACATGTGTGTGAGTGATGGCTTGAGGCATGGAGGAATTTGGGAACCTCGAGCATGACGCACTGCTGTGGCCAGGGCTCGTCACGTCACACGAAGCGAAGCAAAACGACGCACGCACAGGGGACCGCGCCCGAGCCACAGGCTGGGCAAACTGGTCCGGTGGAGCAAGCGGCGTGGTCCACGCGCAGCACCGTACCTTTTCGGTGGTGGTGGTCTGCTTCGACAAGGGATGAGTCGAACTATGTGAGGCTTGGGTGCTTGGTGTGTCGAAAAATTCGCAACGGTGGGTTCATTTCACATAAACGTTCAGAAAAGAACTACACCCGTGTAGATGTTTAGAAAAGAAAAGCTAGTTGATAAGAGTGAAGCCATAAGGCTGGAGAATGTACAGTAACTAGCAAAGAGTCATGCCAAACCCACTATTGCCACCACCCACTCCACAGCCCATCCTAAACCAGCAGCAACATACCCCCGGGCGACACTGAGCCCAATCCAAAAACTGTCAGATGAGACGCGTGTGCTTGAAAATGGCACTTTGCGCCATCTACAGAGTGAATTGTGCAGGCATGAAAGCATCTGCTCCGGACAAGCATGTGCTGGGAGCTGCAGCATGGACAGAGCATATGGCTGGTAGCTATGGGATGGCGTGCGGCAGAGAGGAAGACCAGCAAGGATAGGAGGAGTCATTGCCAAAGTTAAAGGAAAAGTAGACAGGAATTGGGGGACAAGAGCAGCAACTGGAAAAAAGGCAAGTAGTACGCAAACAGCAACAACACTCCAGGAGCAAGAAAGTGAATTCAGGTCCCAAAAGGCTGGCGAAGGAGAGCAGAAGAACCGCGGCGGGGCGCAAGCGATGCGCAAGTCGCACGGTGACAATATGGAATGGAAGGCCAGAAGGATGGTGGCTGGTGCAGACAGGCAGGATGGCAATGACTGGTGAAGGAGGGTGGGATGGATGATGGCTGATGAAGGAGGGTGGGATGGACGCTGGATGATGGCTGGTGCAGTCTTGGTCTCAACAGCAGCATGAGGTGAACCCCAAGATCTCCCTTCCATTACTTCAAGGCTTGAGCTTTTCCTAGGCAGTGGCATCGAAGCACGAGAGCAGGCTGGAGAAGAGCTCATCCTCCATGATGCCACCAATGCCGCCACAGTCCAGCCCGCCCAGCAGCAACCCGGCCAAGTCCTCGCCCTCCCCTTCCGCACCGGCAGCAGCAGCCTGAGACTCCTGCTGCTCATTGCTCCAGTCAGTCACAGCACTCTCAGGCGATCCCTGCTCAAACGCGAATGCTCCCTTCATCACCACACCAGTCTCCGCCTTGGCAGCAGCAGCGGCAGCAGCAGCGATTCCGGCCTCTTCAGGGGTCGTTTCCTGCTGGTTAGCTGGCAGGAGATCCGCGAAGACACTGGGAGGAGGCGGGTTCTTGAGCTCGTCCGCGCGGCTGCCGCTGTTGGAGCTGCCATTGCTGCTGCCCGCGCTGTTGCCCTTCTCAGCACTCTCACCCGCGGCTCCAGCTGCTTTTGCTGCTGCGTCGTCCTCGAGGTTGAGCGGGATGCCAGCACCAGCAGCGGCCTTGCGCAGCGCCGCGAGCTCCGCCATGAGGCGGCTGTTCTCCATCTCCAGCCGGCTCATCTGCTGCGTCGCGCGCCCCAGCTTCGCCACCACCTGCGCAACGCGGACCGACCAACCAGCACAACGGGAGGGAAACGGGAAACGGAGCGGGAAGATGGAGAGACTGACGATGCTCGGTTGCCGTGGCATGGCTCAGCGACGGTGCGCGACGGTAAGAAACGACACCGTGTGACGAGCGGCGGTGTAACCGAGCGGAATTGGAAGGAATCGGCAAGAGAGGACGCGCGCAGGGAGGGACCCGCTATTTGAGACGACCGATGAGAGTCGACAAAGGGCAGATGAGCCGGAGAACAACAGAGTCGGAGAACGGTAGGAAGCAGCACGCACCTGTGCGTGGTCGGCGTGCAGCACCTCCGTCTCGCGCTCCAGCTCCTCCAGTCGCTCCTGGCGCCGCTGGCGAGAGCGCTTCGCCGACGCGCGGTTCGACATAATGCTGCGAGGGACGACGAAAGGAGGAAACACCGAGGTGCGGAAGGGACAAACAGGAAGACCAACGTCACGGACGGTTAGACACAGGGACATATCACAGCGAAGAAGAATCTGACGAGAGAGATAGAAAAAAAACCGCTGAAACGGATAGATGTAGGAAGCATAGACCGTTGCTCGCACTCACCGTTTCGTCTTCTTCTCCTCCGTCTCGACTTCCACCCCCATCAAGGTACTCGCGAAGTCGCCGGCGCCGAGTGTAGGGTTTGACGGGGCAGAGGGGGCGAGCTGCGCCGCGAGGGGAAGGAACGGAACCCCCGACACGGTTGCCGGCATGGCAGCCGCAACCGACGCCGCGGAGAGCATACTCGCGGCAGGAAGGCCGGTTACTGCGCGGGCAAGCGGGCCGGGCAGCGCGGAGGAATTGCCGGTTGCGGATACCCCGGAAATCCCCGCAGCCGCGCGGATCCAGGAGTCCATGGCGGAGGACGGGGGGGGAGTGGGCGCGGGGAAGGGAACAGCGCGCCCGGACAACTGCTGCGATTGGGAGAGGTACTCGAGGAGCTTCTGCTGCTGCTGTTGCTGCTGCTGCTTCTTGATGTCCTCAATAACGGACTGCTCCATACGCGCTATAAAGTTCGACGCGGCGTTGTCGAATTCGGAAGAGACGGACGCCGTCTGGCGCATGATCTTGGCGGGCCTGGCGGAGGAAGCAGGGGGGAGGGATGGCGGAGGAGACGAGGAAAATCAAAGTTATGAGCGAAGGCGGAGTAAAGAAGTTGCAGAAAAAGGCTAGAGGACATGGGAGAGAGGGAGATTTAGAACGAAGGCAGAGTTCACGGGGAGGGGAAGATGAAGGAGAAGGGAGATACGTGACTAGCGTGAGGAAAAGGACTTGGAAGCGGAGAGGCAAACACAATTGGGGGTAAGAGAACGCAACATAGCCCAATTGGTTAAAATGCTTCCGTCCGCCGATAACCGGACAAAGAGCCGTGCCTCGAGCACGAACAGGATTTTTTTAGCAGGCTCAAGGCCGCGAGAGGCCTCTGATGCCCAAAAGTCCACAAGCGTTAACTGCGACCAAGCATAACAGCTCAAATATGCATGGTTACCGACATAACTTCCTCTGCATGGGCCATCCCGGCAGCTTGAACGCAAGCTCGTCAATTGTCGGAATCTACTACCCACAGGAACACAAGATCTACGCCCACAGTCTACGCTGTACTCCGTTCGCCAAGCGAAAGCTACGGCCACGGTAAGAAGTGCGCAACTCTGCCAATCTAACCTTCCCGGTTGCCGATCTAACCTCCCGCGGGAGCAATGACCAAGAAACGAACTCCCGACGACAACTGTACGCAAGTGACGCAGAGGAGAAAGAGAGAGGGGTGCGATGATATGCGGCTGAGGAACGGAACGGATCGGGACGCACACTTGGAATGGAGACGTGAGCTGTGGGCCGGCGCACGAAGCAAGCGGTCGTTTCAGTGGCAGCTGCGGGGCGGCCAGGAGAGATCCATTTCTTCCAGAGACAGACACGGATCCAATTGCGGCGCCTGGCGCGCGAGAGTAGATAGGTAAGCCCGTGGCGGGTGGTGCCACGCTGCCCCGAGCGAGGGCAGCTGCGGCCCGAGCGAGATCATAGCCGCCACCGCGAACAGCAGCAGCGCCAGAGGGCTGCTGCTGAAAGTTCGCGGCCTGCGGGAGTAGATCAGGAGGACGACACATGTTGTCTTGGCGATACTAGATCGATAGTGTAAAGCTAGGCAGAGAGAATGGTTGAAAGGCAGTCGACTCTCATTCAAGGAGGTTCCAGTTCGCTTGTCAACTAGGTGACTATTCAATCTGGGTGGAGTGACGCTTGGGTGGACAGGAGAGGGTTTGCTTTGGGAGTGAGGCAGTTGTTTGGATTCTTGGAGGTGATGTGCGGCAGAGAGTGAGGCGGAGAAAGCGAAGCGGGGAAAGTGGGGTGTTGGTGAGGGGAGGAGACTGGGGTTTCCACAAAATGTTGGGGGAATGGTGGAATGCGGGGAACGTGTTGTGGGTTTGGGGGAATTCGGGGAGGGGATGGGGAAGAGTTGGAGCAACAGTGGATGAGGCGGGGTGCGGAGAAATTCCCCTTGGGAGGAGGGGTGGACAGAACGGGATGGGACGGGAGCAGCAGGGTAGGGTTTCGTTACGTTTCTGCGTCAGACGGTGAATCGAAAGGCTCATTTCCAGAGAAGTCATATCGCGGTTTGGGCCGGCCCGGACCACGGCGAACCAATCGGAAAGTGGCGCGGCAACAGGTGAATGGATGAAACTCAGACATTGGGTGGTTGACGATGAGCGAGAGGTCATGCATGATACCACCAAGTGGTTTGGGATAGGTTGGTGCAGAAACCGTGAGTGTGGGACTTCGGGAAAACATTTTGTCCTGTTAACCGATAACAATTGAAAACAACGTCGAGAATCTGGATGCAGTAACAGCATTATTAATGTGTATTAATAGTTCCTCGTGTTAAGGTGGCTGCCCAAACGTTCAGGGCAGATAATACTGACAAAGCTGACTCTAGTTCGAAAGGAGTGAGTGAAACTCCGAAGTTTGAGCGCACAGAGTACGGTGGCTACGAAGCGATGCTAGTTCGGCAACGCAGCTGCAAGCGCAAAGCAAATGCGGAAGGCAGCATTGATCGCGCATCACACGAACCGCCATGCCGGTTCGATATTATTTCCTGATTCTCCCTTCATCTCGAGGCTCGCTGGTTGGCCCACTCCAGCTGCCTTCATTCTGGACTCAGTGGAACAGGTGTATGGCAGGTTTCCCATTTCGAGCTTCAAATGAAAGGCCAGAATTCCGGTTTCTTCACGCGTCAACTTCTGAATACACGTGCTCTGTATTGGCATCTCGGTCTAGGGATTATTGCAGTTTTAAAATATACTAATACAACTGAAATAGGGGCTAGATCATGCTAGTCAATGAGACCATGTTGTTGCTGTAAGCTCGAAAAAATCAGCTCTTTGTGCTGCCACACATCATTGCCGAGCAGATTGACCCTCAGCGACCCATTGATTCGGCGATTCGGCGTCTCCCTGCCAAATCTCGCAGCTGCCAAATCTGCCCTCACTTGCTGTGAGGGACCACCCATCCGCAAACATCGGTTCTCTCACACAGACCAACAACTGTAGCAATCCGAAATTTGCTGCGCCCATAACGGTTATCAAGTTAGAATGCTATATCTCGTTATGGTAGCGACCGTCATTGGTTACAACTATCTAAATACTTCCACGTTGGTTGGTTACTGAAGGTTTGCTCCCAATTAAAGCCAGGGTCTCATGTACGGGTTGGCTGTGCAACTGCAAAGCACTTGGGCGAAAAGTGGGTTCTTTGGAGAGTCTCGATTTGTCAAAACTTTGGCCCCAAATTTGTAAACCAATCAGACAGGCCCATTTTCATCGACTGCAAAGCACTTGGTCTACTTGAGACCCTGGCTTTAAAGTTCGATCATTTTGAGGTTCCACGATGCAGTATTTGCAGTGCATGAGGTCACAACTGAACGCATTATAACGCGGTGGTTTGAGTTAGTTAATTATAACGATGCAGTATTTGCAGTGCATGATGTCATCACTGAACGCATTATAACGCGGTGGTCACCACTGAACGCAGTATTTTTTTTACAAGACCAGACATGATCAAAGAACTAAGCCAGTGCGGGCCATGTGCCATGTAGCCGAAGAAGGCATAGGAAGATAAGTGGCGCCGTTGCTGACTGCAACACTACTGATGGTGGTGGTGGTGGAAGGGGAACTACCACGGGTTCGAATAGGCTTGAGTTTGACCCCCAGCGCTGCCATAGAAAGTTCCTCTGGTCTGGACGATTCTTGTGAGCCCATTTTGTGCTTGGACCAAGATGCGAGGGAGGTAACAGACAGAGGCGAGGAAGCGCAAGGGGAGTAGCAGCAGGAGGAGCAGGCGTCTGGGGAGGAGGAAGAAGGAGAAGCAGCAGCAGAGCAGTGTTGGTGATGTCTGGAAGCAAAGTAATCCTTGGAGCAGGTCAAGGTGGAAAGCGAGCAAGCAGGAGAGGCGGAGGACGCAGAAGCTGCAGAGAGCCACGCAGTCATAAGGGATGAAGAAGCAGCTGAGTTGGATGATTGCGGTTGAGGGGAAGGGCTGCTGTTAGGGGACGCTGCTGCTGATGTTGCTGCTGAGCTGGCTGCTGACCCTACAGCCGAGCTCACAACAGACGCTGCAGCTGACCCCAACCGCGAAGATGCTGCCGACGCTGCTGCCGCTGCTGCTGCTGCCACGGCCTCGCAGTAATCCAGAGACGCGGCAAAGGGCGACACGCAGTGCATGCCTTGTCGGGCAAAGAACGACTCGAGGGGTTTCCTGAGCATGTGTGGCCGCTCTTCTGTGACGAGCGCGCCAGGGGCCTCTACTTGGACCCAGGACGTGGTCATGGGGTCAAGGTGGCACATCATGTGTGCGGCTTCTTGCATTGAAGCCTCGGACATCTCGCCTGCTACCAGCAGCACAGGGCAGCTGAGGTGCAGCAGGAAGGGCGTGAGGTCGATGCGACTGAGAGGAATTCAGGGAAATGGAAAAGGGCGAAAGAGGAGAAGGGAGGGAAACGGATGAGCGCACTGGAGCTTTCCGAATTGTTGAATGGGCTGGAGAGGGTGAGGAAGGTTATAACAGAAGTGCCGAATCAGCGCTGTTGATGCAAGACAACAAGGGGGTGTTGGTGCCGGACCGTTACGTTTAGAACGCGGTGGTGATGGTGATGCAACACGGACGAGAACTGCGCGTGAGCATGAGATGAGCCTGGCTTACCTGTGAATGATGTCGAGGTATCGCATGACGTTCTCTGGCTCCCTGTTGTCCAACTCCTGCACCCAGTCAGACAGAGTCAGTCAGAGTCAGTCAGTCAGCACAGCAATGTTCACCAGAGCAAAGCAGCGCATGAACAAGCAGTCAGAGCCAAGCAAGAACAAGCACAGGAGGCACCAATAGCAAAGCAGACTGCGCCCTCACAAGCCAAAAACGTGATGCCACGCACAAACCAAAACCAGCCGTACACACCACAGCCACTAAAGCACACCTCTGCGCGCGCCTCAAAAAGGTTATTTTCCTCAACATGTGTCGCCTGCCTGCCTGCTCTGCCTGCCCACCTGGCGGAACATGAGGATGGAGTCGGAGGCGGGGCCGTGGAAGCCGGTCTGCTGGTGGCAGAAGTACCGGTGCACGAGCGCGTCCTTGACGTACTTGCTCATGCCCGCCACGCACAGCACTCCCAGCAGCACCTTGCTGCGCGCCCACTCGCCCCACGACGCCGCCCGGCACACGGGTGAAACCAGCACCAGCGACTGCACCGCGTGGGGGCGCTCTAGCTGGTGGGGGCCACGGCGGAAAGGGGAGGAGGGGGGGGGGGAAGAGCGGGGGGGAAGGGGGAGAGCAGGGGGCAGGTGCGGGAGAGGGGAGGAGAAAAGACAAGTGAGAGGAATGGAGGGGATGGGGAGGAGAAGGGGAGGAGATGGGGCGGGAGAGTCGAGATAGGAAGGAGCCAGCAGGAAAGGGAGCATGAGGAACAAGGCGCGAGCAAGCAGCAGTACTGACCGCGAGCAGCGTGAGGACGTACGCGCCCGCGCCGACGCCAATGCACACGGCGGGCGGCAGGCGGAACCACGCCATCACCTCCGCCACCTGCTCCGCCAGGTCGCTCGCCGTGAGCTGCGCCTGCAGCGGAGAGATCTCCTCCGCGCCCGCCTCGTGCCCCGGCGCGTCGATGTGGTAGATGCAGAAGTTGCCGAGCAGCAGATGCGCTGTATCGGGACACAGCATTAGGCCCTCGAAGCAGGTAGAGTCTGGCGGTTTTGGTCGCGCAGGCGGGTGGGGCGGGGTGATTGACAGGGAGTAGATAGGAGCTGGAGTGAGACGGGAGATAGGGGCGTAGTGAACACAGCGAGCGGACTGATGATGGCATGCGGACGGAAAGAGGACGGTTCTCTTGGTACGAAGCGGCAAGAGAGTAGAGAGAAGTGGCAAGTGAGAAGCGAACTTTCTTGAGGAGAACGAAAGAATGGGGCAACAGTGTGGTGAGCAAGCAAGCAAGCAACACCCTGAATTTGACAGAAGACAGTGGAGAGAGGGGTAAAGAGTCGGGGATGAGGGAGGGATTGTTGCGAGAGGACGGGCGCTCACGGTTCAAGCCAATGTCGTGGTAGGTGAGGAGAGGCGGCAGCGATCGGTTCCCGCACACCGTCACGCGGAGCGGCCCGTGCGTGGTCATCACAGTTTCCGCCTGCACGGAGGAAAAACAACGGTAACGGGAGTATTGGGGAAGGGAAGCCGAAGCGAATGGCGGATGACCATGGCGGTAACGGACGGGACATGTGAGAATTCAAAAGGGTAGTAAGGGAAAGCACGGAGGAGCGTGATAGGAGGAGAGTACTCGGCTCGAGGGGGCCGTGACGGCTGCCGACTTAAGCACGGCGGGGGAGCGGCTGGAGCGACTAGAACACAACTGCTTCAAAATACCTGCAGCATTTTATAGACGTCTCAGAAGAACTGCAGCAGGACTGCTGCTACTGCCACCACTAAATGTCTCGTGGTCATGCCTGCTTCAACCCGCCCTTTTTCTCTGACCGCCGCCGCACCATGTGCGCACGGGTTGGAATGCCATCGCCTATCACACTGTGCGTCTCGAACCACTCCCCAACGGCGTCTCGGTGGGGCCTGACTTGATCAACTGGAACTAATCGGGTGCCACATGTCGATCTATTCAAGGGACTCCTATCTCCTATCTCCTAACTCCGATCTCCTCTTCCCTGTCCCCACTCTCCCGTCTCTTATCTCCTCTCACCACTGTGCTATCATCTCCATGCAGATATAACCGACGGCGCTGAGGCTCACCTGTCCTCTCCACGGCGCTTGCTCCTCGTCGCCGGAGTAGTAACCCGTGCGACCGCTGCGATCGCTGTGGTCTGCGAACTCCTCGTCGCAGAAGTCGCCATCTCCGCCCCACATCCACTCCGTACTACTGGATGATCCTGTCATTGCGCCTAGTAGCTCCTAGTTGGGAAACGCACCACTCTAACGGTGGCGACGGTCGTTGTGCGACGTTCTCTGGTCGCCGCGGCAGCGGCCAGGCGACGTTATGCGGAGGTGAATTAGAGGCGGTGGAAATCGCAGAGAGTACAGCGTAAGCTACGACTAATATGATATGTCGTTAGTAGGGAAGTCGAAGGATGTACTTCTGGATCGTGACCAGAGAGTCGAGAGTGCTCCAGAACTTAGATTTGGTTTGTGTTGTTACCACGGATGTGAGAGAATAAACCTGACGATCGGATACTACCGAATGTGTCCCCTTAGGCTGTTCTTGTTCCGTCTAAGGCTCCTTCGGAGCGGGGGAGTGGATTTCAGTAAGCTGATCGAAGCCGAAAAACAAAATGCTGGAAGAGAGGCGGTTCATCCAATTTGAAGCCTACTGCTGCGACTATGATGGCGGATTACACTGTTCGTGTATGTCTTCCTAGTCTAATTCGACTCCTAATGGGATTGACCCCGCTGCGGCGTGTGCAAGGCAAGGCAAGGGAGCGTGGTGTGGGGTGGAGAATCTGAAGCGGGGCATCCAACTGACTCCACGCCTCGCGACACGACGAGCCACATCCCAGTGGCTGCAGCCTGGCGAATGTCGCTCCTTAGGAATTTCGCTATGTGAGAAACCACAAATTTCGGTCAGGCGGCAATTTGCGGTACAAATGGGGAGAAACTTGGCGATGCGAAGTGGTCTTTGGGCGAATAATTGCCACACACAAGTCACCACGTTACACGATTTTTTTTTTCCATTTTGGGCGTTGCTCCAGTTTTTTTCTCGTCGTTCGCGCCCATGTCGAACCTTTGTCACAACCCATTTTCCCTCCAGTTCTCGTCGTGGTTTCAGTAGGCGCCAGCGGGCGGCGCCCACCCTTGGTTGCCGTCGCACCGAAATTTTTGCCACGCGTGCGACACGGAGGGGAGGAAAGCAAAAGTTTAGGCGGGCCGCACTTGAATGTTTCGAAGCTTCCGCAGAGCCATGTTGCTTTGCTTGCTGCATTCGTGGGGGGCTGGCTGGTTGTGGGGTTTGTGGGCGACGCGGAGGAGTCCACTCTCATCCACGCCCCCACCACAGGTTCCGTGCTGCACGACAGCTTCAGTCGCATGAACACTCCGGCGTCTCGCAACACTCGATTGAAGTATGTACGAAAGGTACCCCTAAATGAAATATAAATTATTAATTTATCCCTGCAAAATGGCCTAATTGATTGGTGTATACCTTGTAGCACTCATTTGACAGCATTATAAGTTGGGCACACTCTGCGTGCCATCAGTGGTTACACAAGTCTTAATACAAACCAAGTGACGCAGAACATACATGCAACTTGACACCTACATTTAGCTCCATCAAACCAGTTGTCTGGACAACCGTCCGTTAAGGGGTAGATGCGGCAGCTGAAAAGGCTGCCATGATTAGATAAGTTAAAACTAAGATAGGGAGAGTTATTAGCGCTGTTTTGAGTAAGAGAGCGATATGTGTGCAGCTTTTTGGTAGAAGTTAAAGAAGACTGCAGGAAGCTGGGGACGTGGCTGTGCTGGCAGTGCAGATGTCTTCAGAATCAGGAGTGAAGGGGATGCGAGAGGTATTGCTGCAGCCCAAGAATGGGTGTTGGGATGTCGTGGCTGTTTGACTGTTGGATGTCATGGGTAACTGAGTTGGCATGTGTTGGATTGGCTGGGTGGCGGATATGGCATGCGTCGGATGGCATGGGTGGCGGATAGTGCATGTGTTGGATGCCATGGTTAGAGAATGTCGTATGCGCTGGAACCCCTGGGTGGCGGATAGCGCATGTTCCAGATAGCATGTGCTGAGCTCGCTCTCCTTCCATTCCCTCATCTCCTCCCCTTCTCATGTGCCTTCACTCCCCTCCCTCGTCTCCTCATCTTCCCTCCCCTCCCTCCCCTCCTCCCAGCCTCCGCTGTCATCTTAGGTCCGCCTCATCCCCATAGTCCCCATTCCCATCCCCTCCAATCCCACCCACATGCGCCATGCTCGACGCCATACGCGCTGCTTTCGCAGCCGCCATTGGCGTGGCCTGGGGCGTCGGCACCACCGACTGCGGGTTGAATATACGCCAGGGCGCGCACGTGGTGCTGGCGAGAGCCATCCACATGTCAAAGCGGGCCTCCCATGAGTACGGGCTGGACGTGTGCAGCTCCACGGCTACTTCGTTGGAACCCGTGCGGAGAAGGGAGCGGAAGGAGTCGAGGGAGACGGAGAAGGTGGACCAGGGCGCGTTGGGACTTGCATCCATGGACGCCTGTGGGGTGGGGGAGAGAGGAGGGAGGGGGAGGGGGGGGATTGTTTTTTTAAGGGATCAAGAGACAGAGAAGGTGGATCAGGGCGCGTTGGGACTCGCATCCATGGACGCCTGATGGGGAGGGAGGGGAGGGGATGGAAGGGAGAGGGGAGCGTCGGGAAGGGAGGGAAAGGGGGGGTGTCCATGGGTTGGTGGGAGAAGAGGGGGGAGGGAGTGGAGGGATGTGCTCAAGCCTTTTGAGAAAGTCAAAACGGCCGTGTTGAATGCTCCGTGTTCCATATCCCGTGTTACATGTTCTGTAATCCATAACCCCCATGTCCCATGATCTGCATTCCATGTGCCGTGGACTGTGTAACGATAATACGGATAAACTCACGGGGGTGGTGGGGAGGACGCGGCCCTGCGGAATGTTGGAGCGCAGCACCTCCTTGCCGTTCACATACACCACAAAGCCATGTGGTGACAAATCTGTCCTGAGGCGTCTCAAAAGCTTGTTAGATCTTTCTTTCTCACGTGGCCATAGCCCTACAGAGTGCACCACTCACGGGGGTGGTGGGCAGGACGCGGCCTTGAGGCATGTTGGAGCGCAGCACCTCCTTGCCGTTCACATACACCACAAAGCCATCGCTCGCCACCGCGCCCAGCAGCAGGCGCTGGTAGCACAGCGTGGACGTGTTGTCCAGCTGGAACTGCTTCCGGAAGTAGAACGCCAGGGATGTCTGAACACAGACACACACAGGAGGGCGGTGGGGGGAGAAAGTGGGGACAGGAGTTTACATTTGAGGCGCCTCAAAAGCAGGCGCTGGTAGCACAGCGTGGACGTGTTGTCGAGCTTCAACTGCTTCCGGAAGTAGAACGCCAGGGACGACTGCCTCACACAGGGAGGAGAGAGGGGGAAGTGGGGACAGGAGGGGGCGAGAGGGGGGTGAGAGGGGGAAGGGAAAGGGGGGCGAGAGGGGGAAGAGGAGGGTTTGACGGGTGAGCATGCCGGACACGGGAGACAGTACAGGAGCTTGAAAGTCTACAAACGCCCGGCCCCGCACAATAGACTCTAGAATCTAGACTCTAAACTCTACACTCTCAACTGAAGAACCTACACTATGCACTACAGACTCCCAACACTTGACTCACAGCTTGCGGGCTTGCGAGCGTGGTAAGTTCGCCCTGCCCCCCCCGTCCAAAGGGCCCCACGCCGCGCTTCCAGTTAGAGTCAGAGGCAGCGAGGGGCTTGAGCGAGAGGACTTTTGAGGCGCCTCAAAAGGACTCCCGAGACTTGACTCACCGCTTGCGGGCTGGCGAGCGTGGTGAGTTCGCCCTGGCCGCCGCGGCCAAAGGGTCCCACTCCCCGCTTCCAGTTAGAGTCGGAGGCAGCGAGGGGCTTGAGCGAGAGGAAAGAGGCGGGGCGCGTGCCGGCATCAGAGTAGCGCCACGTGCCTGACGAGGAGAACACTCCGCATTGCCTGTTTGGATAGGAGGGGGGACGCA